ATTTGTATGATGCTGGCATTTTTCCTCTAGCCTGAGACTGTGCGACAGAGATTAAAACAGTATGAGGAAATGACAAAGCCACTTATTGATTTTTATACGTAAGTACAAACAAGTACAGTATGTTGAATCATTTTGGGTGATTTAGTCTTCAGAGAAACTTCATGTTTTATGATATTTCACACTTTTTAAATGCTGTTTTGTTTACAGGAAACAAGGAATACTTGAGTCATTTTCTGGAACAGAAACAAATGTAATATGGCCCAAAGTCAAAGATTATCTTACTGAAAATTTCTTCAAACTATAAGAAATTGTTTGGGTGCGACATACTTCGCAACTGTCTGCTTTATATAATTATTCACAAGTTGTTTACTAAGTATTTTCTCAGGTTCTTTGAATATTTTTACATACTCACTGATCATTTGGCAAATAATTGTCAGAAATCGTGCTTTGTTTAGAAAGCCTTCAATTCTTGAAGGTTGGTGGAGATTTCCTAGTTCCATATGGATTTAAACCACAAACAGTTGTCTTGTTTCTTTTTCTGGTATTTAATGATTTTTATAGGTTATCTAGTCATAAAAAAATTCAGATTCAAATCTTTGCAAATGAGAAATTTCAAATTTTCCAATGTCAAAAAAACAAAAATCAATGACTCTATCAAATTGCAAGTTTTATGCTATTATAAAAGCCAGAGGAAATAATCAAAGGGGAAAGAGTCATGTAATTCAGGCTATTATTGTGGGCTTTAGGTTTTGCTATTCATGTAATTAATAAGGATTAAAAATCCCAAATAAAATGGGAAGTGAAAATAACTTGTTGGAAGTAAAAATTTTTCTTACTGATTGACATACTTTCCTTAAATTTTAGTTCCAAAACTTATAGAAACACAAGTAAATTGATTTTCTTAGATCTTAAATCATTTCTCTTTAGTTGGAAAATTTACTGAAGATATATCAGGGAATTATTAATTTAAGTATAGTTAGGTTGTATCAATTGTGAGGGAAATAAGTCCAAAAGAAAATAATGTGTAATTAAGGAAAACAAAAAAGCAACCTTTTGTTTTTTGTGGCACTTTATAAAGATGAGTGGTAAACCATGTGCAGTTGTGTTAGTAGTTCAGCACTGTAGTCTATCATGTGAATGGTAGATTGTCAATAAAAGAATAAAAATTGTCTCGTTGTGAGTGTATTGAAGATGATGGCATTACATGTACAGTGTGACATTATGTAACACTTTCTCCAGGGTTGCATGAGGGGTACTAGGTAGAATTCATGTGGTGATCTGTATTTGTCCAATGTCATAACGGTAACAAAAGTAATAATAATACAAATAATAATGATGATGATAAAAATGACATGTAATAATTGATAGTGCAAGGTTTCTTTTAAGATATTTTAACATTTTAAATTTAAGTATTATTATAAAATAAGACTCCGTATTTAAAATTCTGAACTCATACGAATATTTATGCCCAAAAAGTGATCAATTGCTTTGAAATAATTTTTTTTTCTCAAGCAAAAAGATCGCTCAAATTGCGACTGTTGCCCAAAAATGCTACTGACCCGTAAGATCATTCTCATCTTATACGCGAGGTATAGATCACATCTTGAAACGCAATTCTCTCCGGTGGTAAACCCTTCAGCAAAAATTTACCCCGAGCCGGAAGAAACTCGAAACCCTAATAAGCGTGAAAAGAAAATTTGAATATGAATGCATGCAACAAAGAACATTATATTTATTAAACTGGGCAAACGCCTTTTTTCAAATAGTAAGTTAAATAAATCAAAGTGGCAACAAATATATATAAAAACAGAGAAAGAAACTATATCTTAATTTTAACACGTTTGTCAAGTACTCAGTTGCGTTTCTCTGATCATTTTGATAAACAGCACCTATCATCCTCCATGTTGATTGTAATTACAGGTCTAGTGCCCTTGGCGAAAGTGTAAACTTCTTTTCATATTATTTCAAATAATTATTGAGCGATCGGTTTTTGACGAAGGATCTATCAGAGGATAAAATTATCATTTTTGTTATCGCTGTCTCAGCGGACTATTAAATTTCCATCTTCATCCTTACTTTGAAATTTAAGAAATTTTTTTTATCAGGAACTTGAACCGTTCGTCCCTTTCGAAGCCTGAAGTCAGTCATTTAATACTTCTGCCTCTTTGGCGGCCAGTTTTCCGGACAATTTTGATACCATTCGAAAATTTTAAGAGAGAAGCAGAGGACTACACTTCGAAAAAAAAGTTATCAAAATACTTGCTCCCTTTTCATAAATTATTGATTACAAGTCCAGTATGAAAATAACATTTATCTCTTCTTTTTATATTTTACCCCAATCTTTTAAAATAACCAGTTGGCGTGACACCATTTGTAACCAGGGGAGACAAGTTTACATTAGTTCGTCTTTCTTCACTCCTGTTTATTTGTTTATTTTTTAGCCGAAGAATACAAAACCCACAACTGTGCAGGAGTTTTAATCTCACTGTCGCATTTAAATTTTACTGAAATAAAAGGAAGAAACACATTTACACCTTATCTCGAACTTTTAAACCATTATTCAATTACGACCAAAAAAATTTATGGCGCCAGAACTCTGCATGAAAAAGATTAACGAATAGAATTTCAGCTTGAGAGAGGTGCTAATCAGAATCCCGTAATCAGTTCGGCGGTTGGAAAAGGTGAATCTATTAAACCAGAACGGGCCATTGAAAGGTAAGTTCAATTCAGCGTTACTTCATTCGATGAATGTCGTGTTTTCACCTATGGATTTCAACTGCATCGCAGCATAGTTAAATCTCCTTGGTTTAAATGATACGCGATAATAATATCACTCTCCTAACCATACTATAATCTGTTTACTGTGTCACGAATTTCAATCATCTGGTACGTGGAGTAAACTTCGGCTGATTTTTCGCCGTATAAAGCTCCATTAATTCGATATGTCATAGGCTCCTGGATGTGTTTATTTAAAAGCGTCTTTACAAGAAAAGATCATGGAAAACTTTGGTATACATTGATAGGCGATTTGGTCTATGCTTTGATTGGAGTTTTCTCCGTATGTATTAAAGTGTCATTTAGAATAAAGATCGTTAAAAAACTTTAGCCGGAGTTGACAAGTTCTTTCGACTTATGTTTCACATTGATACGTACAGGAATCCGAACATCGGATTCAGGAAGCTTCAAAACGTTCAAAATGAAATATTTATACAGTAAAATGGTAGGACACACCAGGCGCAGACTAATATTACACTTGAAACATTTTGTTGTTTATCGAGAAAAAATTTTCGTTCGATTTTTTCTTTTTTCGAGAGGTTTAAATTTTCTTTTTACAACCATGCATTGCTCGATGTTCATAATTTGTGGCACATTCCCGTCAAAATGTTTTTCTTTTTTTTAACGATATCTACAATACAGGACTTGCTTGTTCCTTTCAATGGCCCATCTCATTAGCAATTTATTCAACATTCAGTCAGAAAAACAAAAGCTTACAAATTTAACTCTATTCAAAAACAAAGGGATCACCGATTTCAAAGTCCATCTTACAGGACAAATTTCCTCTTAATTTATTCCTTTTGTTACAAACGTGGATCAAAGGAATTATCTGAGCAGTCCCCATATTTCTGGTTAATAGGAAAGATTTGAGAATTAATAAAGGACGACTAAAAACAAACAGCAGGATACAATTGTATGATGAATATCGTTAAGACGACCTTAAAGAACCCAACGGGAGATAATTTAAATTGTAAAAAAATTCAGCTAAATTTTTAGCTGAATTTTAGCTGAAAGCTCTAGTTTTCTCCTTGTAACAAACAAAAAAAGAAGATAAAACTATGTACCAGCTGGTATTTTCTATTGCTTTTTATAATAAAGCATGCAAATAAACGTTCGATATGATCGTCTATACCAGTCTGTAGGGAAGTCTGGCGGTTTAAAAAAAATAATTTGAACATCACGAGGAGATAAGCTTTTCACAGGAGATTTATGGTACAAACAAACTGCAATAAAGTAGGAGAGTAAAAGAATTTTCCCGGAAAACTCTTTAGCCAAGTGAAATACTGAAAATTGTTTAGTCTTACTATTTTAAAAACAAAACCTTGAATACTTAATTGCAGATGTTTTAATCGGGTTTTTATGGAAGTTTTAAGAAGAAAGTAATTGCTTATTTGTCTGTCTGTCAGTCTGTTTTTAGAAAAGAGTCTATTGGGTTCGATGAGGCGTGCTGTTGAAAGGTAATTATGACCAGCCCTTTTTCTTGTTTTATCCACAATATGTAAATTTCAAAACGGGCTAAAGCGACCAGTGACTGCAATATGTATCTATCAAACCAAACTTCAGCCTAATTTTTACGGTAAATAACATTAATAGCGTTTACACAAAAACTTTTTCGGTTTCACGCAAGCTTCTGCGAAAAATTTTAAACACAAGCTTTGGTCTTGAAGACAGGCAAACTCGAACGGAAAAGTTCTTTGTTTAGCCACAGCAAAAGTGCAATTCTTACCGTTTTTCAATAGACATACAGCTGTTAGAAGAATTAGTCTCTAACACTCGGTTGAATTTTCTTTATTACCTATTTCTTTGGACATAAGTCCACACTGTTCTGCTTTGCTATATTCTCTGATTGAAAGATGCTGTGTACCAGCTTATAAAGGTGACACCAAAGATGACACTTCTAAGCTGTCAATCTTCTTACATCGCGATCGTTCCGTTTCAGCCAGCGAATCACGTTAGAGTACGTACGACAGTTCCTGTATACTAAGTATGCACCTTCGAATTGTTTACGCAATTACAAGATCGTCTTCTACCTTAAATTTCTTAATTTTACGGTTAAGATCGGCCAGAACAAAGACAAGATTGATAATATAAAAATTATAGTTAACCTATTGGTAGAATTGAAATTACGCTTGAAAAGATAGTTTACGAGAAAATAGCCTTAGAGGATTGTTATATAACAACAGAGTAAACAGAAAATTCGGAGAAGAAGGGGTGTAATTAAGGTACCGCTCCTAAGAAAACTACATGTTATTCGCATAAGTTATACAATTACAAATTCAGTGCGGAGATGGAAAAAGCATTAGCTATTTACAATCATAGTCACCTTTTTTTAAGAAGAGGTGTTGAAGGTGTTAACTTAAAATTCAAGAAATATTCTGGAATCGTAAATTTGACTTTAAAATTTGACTAAAAAAAACCAGTCTGATAGTAATCAATAGTATAAGAAGCAGGAGTTTCCAGGAATTCCTGTGCGAGGTTAACTTTTACCAGATAGATTTACAACTAGAAAATTGACATGATTAAAAACATAGCTTATCACAAAAAAGTACAACTAATCACCGATCACCGTAGAAACGGAGCAACTGTTTTCGTACCAAATTCACAACCGCAATAAGAAAAAAAGGTGAAAGAAATTGTACTTAGATGAGATCGACAAAAGCAATAAGAAATAATCAACCTGTCTTATTGTAATTTTTGTATCGAATGGCTCAAAGTAATATAACATTTCCATTCTCTTTCCCAACACCCATATATGGAAACCCTTACAATATTTCAGACTAAATGTAGTTCTATTTTTATCGTTTAACACAGCCCTCTACGGACTGCTTTCGAATAAAACACGTGTTTAAGATTTCCAACGCAATCTCCATCTCTTGCTTTCCTTCAGTTAAGCTTGTTGCAGTGCAGCCGGAGAACGTGTAGATTACGTCCTTGAGCCGCAGATCATATCTTTACCCAGCCCAGGAGAAACAAAAAAAATGGCTGCCAAAGTAAAGAAGACTCGCAAAGGACTACAGAGCCAGCTGAGCCTAATCAAAGTTGCCTTGGTTGTGATAGCTTGTTCTGGTTTCTATCTATTTGTTATGGTACATCAGATAGATAATCCATTTATAAACAGAGATTTGTCTACACAATTCATCCATGAACCAGAATCGCAACGGAATGACTCCTACACCCAACTTGGAGGCGTAGGTTGGAGGGCAGAGGTAATTTCTGATTTTGTAAGAAATGACGATGCTTTCAAAGATCTACTTGACTTGGACGATTACGATGCTCCAAAAAATTTATCTTCAACTGATGTTCCTGTCTCCAAGTCCAGCAAAGTGTTACATGAATCAAATGATTTTGACCCAGTCACTGACTTGAAACAGCAAGATGAAATGGGTTCTCCTCAGAATGTATCTTCATTTCTGGAAAGAAAAATGAATACAATTGATTCGGGAGAACTCTCAAGAAATAAACATGGGAGTCCAGTAGAGTCCAAATCGGATTCCGAAAGATATTCTGAAACAGCGAAATCTTCCCGAAGATTTGACAACCGCTCGCCCAACCGGGGGTTTGAACGCCTACGGCATCACATGTTACACCCTCAAATCGGATTAAGAAGGAAACTGGAGAGACAGTTTAAGTTTGTAAACTCATCAAAACACCACATGGTATACAATGACACAAAGTCCATCCTTCAGCAAGAAAAAATATACAAAGGTGAAATTTTAAATCAGACTGAAAATCTCGCAACAAAAAATAATTTCAGTACCAATGTATCAGACAACTTAAAAGAAAAATTGAGCGACAGAAATCCTCTTCGTCTTCTCAAACATGATAACAGCGAAAAGGGGAATATCATCAAAGTTAGTCCTGTAGACACTCAACAAATGTTGGTGAAAAGTTCCCTTCATGCATCTCTGTTGTCAGGTAAAATGCCAGTTTCAAATGATCAAGATAAATCATCGCTTAGTAATGTGCAAAATTCAGATCGAATTCAAAATAAAAATTCGAATCGACAAAGTTTTAATCATGGACAGAATTCAAGCAAAGTGGCAACAAATCTTCATAGTCATAGATCGCGACTAAAAGATGAGGAGATAAAACGTACTTCCGACCAGCTTCCGAAAACAACTTCGGTGAAAAAACGAAAGAGTCTCCTTATCTTCGGTGACGATCGTTCTGGAACAACATTCGTAACTAAGATGTTTGCTGCTGATCCTCAAATGTTTACAGTTTATGAACCTTTGTGGGTAACTAAGAAATGGTTTTCAGGATCTATTACAGGAAGTAGAGAGCAAGTTAGAGTTACGTTGGATTTGATTAATGCCTTGCTGTCTTGTCATTTCACGCATTCCAGAGCGGGAAATGATTTTCTTTTTCATACCTCATCGCATTGGGTGGGTGCAGGGGTTTTTGAGAAAAACGTCTTCAGAACTTCTCCATTTAAGCGCAAGACAAAAACTGGAAAGTGGTTCTGGCCTAATCTTCATCGTTATCCGGAATTTGCAGAAGAGGTTTGCCTCAAAGATTTTAACCACAGCGTAGTAAAGGTCGGACAAGTTCGCGTTCCGCGCGAGAGTATCTCGACCATTATCCCACGCGTGTTCCACGCGAATCCCGACACTGACATACGTGTCATTCAAATAGTGCGCGATCCGAGAGGAAGCCTAAATTCACGAATAAAGAACGGGTGGATCTCGGATTTCACTTACGTCCGATTTCGTTCCCTGGTGCGAAAGATGTGTGGTAAAATCGAAGCAAATATTCAGTTTGGCAGAGAATCAAATTCTGAATGGAAAGACAGTTATATGGAGGTAACCTACCGAGAAATTACTACAATGCCTGTTACCACAGCTAAGAAGATGTATAAATTTGCTGGCTTTGAAATGCCAGACAGCTTAATTGATTGGATTATCAAGAGCACGAATCCTAATGAAGAGGAATTACAGGATTCCTTGGATAACCCTTACTCTCATGTTAGAGATTCTCGTACAAATGATTTAAAATGGCGCAGGGAGTCACCTGTTAAGCGCGTGCGAATAATCGAGGAAGAGTGTGAGGATCTGTTGAATTTACTCAGCCTTGATCCAATCGCTGACGAAATGGAAACATTACGCTCTTGAATAAAAAAGATGTTTCAGAGCTAAATCAAAGTGAGAAAAATCGTGGAAAATACAAGACTTGAAAGTCAAGAAGTCATTCAATATTTTGGAGTTTAGAGAGTTTTTACTGTAAGAAGTTCACGACTGAATTTGAGATTAAACTTGAAATTTTTAAAATAATTCGCAGTCCGAGTTTGTGAGTAAATTGCTTTGTTAGGTATATCACAATTATGATAGACCCGCTGTCCTTTTTTCGCAGCCTATCCGTCAGACGGAGTGGTCTCGGCCTCTAATATTCGCCATTTCTGCAGTTTCCCCGCACTCACATCGGGATTTACTTCATTGACGGTTCCTGCTCTAATTACTGTGCTAGTAAGGTTAACGGGATCATGTTAAGAGCTCTTAAACAAAAATAACCAGTTACTACACAGTTTACACGAAACAAACAGGGTATGCTATTTAAGGATAACTCTCACTGGCTCCAGCGTTGTAAACGCGTTTGTGAGCAGGAAAATCGGAAAATCGGAGACGCAAGGGGAGACATGGATCAGGATCGGAAGAATCATTACAGTTTCATTTTCTTCTGACGCGTATGTTCCGTTCAAAACTAGATTGCGTCACTCACAAATAGCAGCAGAAGAGCCAACCAGTCATACTACGAGTTCTGTTACCATTCGATAGGTTACCACTTTAGAAATCTAGGTTTTTTAGATCACAAGCGACGGAGTCACAAGCGGCAACTGCACTCTGTTTGTGATTGCGTTTTTTCTTATTTTTGCCGGATCATATTTCTCTGCACTTCTGCCATCAACTCTGACTACTACTTTGAAAACCAATCTTAAATTCATTCGTGCCAATCAGCGCCCATGGACCCTCAGGAGCAAAGCAGATTAAGATTACGCTCATTTCTCGTTTCCTGTCATGGGATTGTTCAGTTTTGTGCAAAGGACTTGGTAACAGTAATGCCGCTTATAGGTGAATTCAAGAAGGAATCAGACCGTAAATACCAGAATCAATAAGGGAAGTAAACAGAGCGTTGAATAGACTGAGGTTTACGGGTGACACTGAAATGAATAAAGGGGTATGTTTCCATACAAGATTATTCAGTTTTATCGACCGAGTTAATAATGTGAATCGGCTACTGTACCATAGAGAGGACAATAAGGCTGACGTTTCGAGCGTTAGCCCTCGCTCTGCCGAAGGGTATTCTCGGTCGGTTTTCACAATAGCAGATTGTTAGGAGAAAGTCAGTTCGGGGCTTTCGCCATATTGAAAAAATGACCGAGAAAGCCCTGAGGATGAGATTGCCTCGACCACTTTTTCTAAGAGTCTGGGTACGAACCCATGATCCCTTCCTCTCTAAGATGGCGGATGAGATATGAGCGTTCGTGAAAATTGATAACTGTGGAAATGGCTGCAACATTTTATGCAGTGGTGCTTTGCGTTCTAGCCAATATTCTTGTGCGGTGGTGTGTATCTTTAAGCACCTATTCAGGTACCTTGAAATTGAAGTTCTCTTCTGCGATCTCGTGGAGATAATGTTTTGAAATTTACACGCGCGCTTGCTTTTGCTGAATTTGTTTCTCAGGAAAGGGAAAACCCCCAATGTTTGGAGATTATGAAGCACAGCGACACTGGATGGAAATAACATACAATCTTCCGTTTGATGAGTGGTAATCCTGTGTTATTAAGTGCCTTTTATCGGTTACATGTACATGTAGCCATTGGTGAGAGTGATGTGTCTGATCAGCAGGTCGTAAAGTCATGTCGACGAAAATCGTGATTTCTCTCTGAGAAAATTACATTTGATCGATTACTTTGATCATCCGGATAAGAATGGTACTGAGAACAGCTGCTGCAAGGAAAAATATTCTGGATGCTTGTGTTTGGTTTTGGCGGAAGAAGGAAAATCGTTATAAATTTAAAGAAGACCTTGAACCCTCGAAACTTCCAAGTTCTATCGAGGAAAGCTAAAGAGGATGGCCTCTAAGTATTGGCCACGTGAAAAGACAATGCGATTAAGGATCATGTATTGTTCAGACCTTCGAAGACTTATTCGTGATAGTTGGAAACCTATTTACCCACAATATCTCTCCCAAGAACTGATGGGTGATTCCCCTGACTGCGGACCTTACATTTGTTGATGACTATTTTTAAGACTTGAATGTCAGGGTGGAGAATAATTTTTATAATTTCATTACATGCCCTGTTATGAGTGGATTAAAATTATAAAGATTATTTTTTTCTTCTTGTACTTATCAGTACTGAGTATCAGAGAGTTGATGAGTTGTCAATGATTGCAATCTAACTTTATAAAAAATATCAATATTTTTTGGAAGGTACACAAACACAACCAATAATGACTTAATGTATTGGGGCTTGGATTACCCTCCACTCACTGCATACCACAGCTGGGTTTGTGGCTTCATGTGAGTACTTCAATTAAAAATAATTCTAGAATTTTTGTCTCAGACAGCAATGACCCTTTCACTCCCATGATTTACATTTAAATTCTCCACTCCCTCTGCCTTTTACTTTTTTCAATGAGGGGAGAGATTCATTTTTGATCACTCCCAAGATTGAGAAGGTTAACCCTCAGAACATGGTGCTTAACTGCAGGTTTAACATAACTGTAGTAAGAGATTCTGTTGGTTCCAGGACGTAATGTTTGTAGAGCTCTTAAGAAATTCACACACATTAGTACCTAATTCCAAACACTGACACTATCATAATGATATTTTCTTTATATTGCAGAGCTAACAAGATAAATCCAAACTGGGTTGCACTCAACAAGTCCAGGGGACATGAAAGTCACACGCATAAACTGTTTATGAGGCATACAGGTGAACTGATTTATAGAATCATACTGAGTCTTGTAATTTGATTTTTACAATTATAAGTGCAACTGCTGAGTAGGAAATTTAAGTCAAGTTTATCTCATATTTAACTTGCTGTTTTGATTTTTTCAGTTGTTATAGCAGATATATTGGTGTATATTCCAGCAGTCTTAGTTTTTGCTTTTGTTTGCTTGAGAAGGAAACCAGCCATCAACAAGGTAATGACAGCATTTGGTATCTAAGACAAGCAGGGTGATGTGCAGGCCTCTTCATTGCAAAGTTACATTCGGAGTGTGAACTTGTGCATAAAGATTAGCGTAGAGGGAGTAAAGGATAGATTCCTCTGTGGATTCTGAGCCCCTTAAAATGTACCATAGTCTCAAACATTTTGTATTAAAGCTTCCTAACAATTCACTGTCTTCCAAGGCTATCATCTAAATGTTAGTTAATTTTTGATCATAATGATATCTTCGTCAAAGATATGAAATGTTTGTACCAAATAATTTTTTCCATTAATTTCTAGGTTCTTACTGCAGCTACAGTGTTATTCTACCCAGGGCTTATCCTTATTGACCATGGTCACTTCCAGTATCCAACCTGATGGAAGATATTTGATATGAAAAAGACAATGCATCAATTTCAAAATTGTCTTTTTAGGGTGTCCTATGCCTGACCTTCCATAAATTAATTAAAGAGGGTGCCTGGCCAATGCAGCAAAATTTTGTAAAATTGTTGAAAGAAAATTGAAAGAAAAGGTTACTGTGCAGTATATACTCAGATTTAAAGACGTGTTTTTTAACTCTTGTAACCCCAACTTAAGTAGGCATATTCTCCATACTGTTCTCTATACATATGTTTGGTTCTAACAAGGATAATTTATTTAACAATCAAACTTCCATAGGTTGGTGATCATTTTCTTTATTCTCATGATTGTAATGAATGATTGAGCAGTATTACTGTTGGGAGAAATTAGATGCTAGTCACTTTTAGGGTTTTTTAGGATTAATGGAAGGGAGGGGAAAAGTTAAAATTAGAAAATGACAGTCAAGTAAAAGTACATAACATCACTGGATTGTGTTATTTTTAAAAATATAAAGTTGCCTTAAAATGCAACTGTTTTTTCCTTAACTGACTGATTCAGATATAATTCAATAAGCCTTGGTTTAGCTCTGTGGGGAGTTATAGGACTGGCTTGTGATCATGATTTGCTGGGCTCAATTGCTTTTACACTGGCATTAAACTACAAACAGATGGAACTTTATCATGCTCTCCCTTTTTTTTTCTATTTATTAGGGAAATCATGGAAACAAAATTCTTGGTAAGTATTTTTGTTAATCACACAATTAAAGTAATATAACTTGAGCTGAACTAGAGTAAGGTTGAAGATGTTTCAAGTGCATATTGATGAACAGATTCTAAACATTCTAACTCTAACAGGGATTGCTTTATATGTAGGTTTTATTATTTGTAACATATGTTTATTCACTCTATGGTGTTTTGCTGTCAACACTGATCCTGCAACTAAGACTTAATCTGTTGATTGTTTACATAGGTTCTCAAGAATATTTAATATTGCAAAAATTGGGATTGTGGTTGTTTTAACATTTGTTCTTTGGTAAGTGACAAATTGCAATCACCCTTGAAATAATTTTTCATTAATTCAGTCATTTTAATTTAACAATAAATTAATTTTTCAAATAATGAATTTTTGTTTGTACTTTTGTTTGTGATTGTGAATTTTCAGTTGGTTACCATTTTTGACTGGATTACCAATGGTTTTACAAGTTCTCCACAGACTTTTTCCATTTGCCAGAGGTATCTTTGAGGTAGATATCAAAATTTCATGTCATCCAATAACAATCTGTAACAGTCAAATGCATTGTGTGCATATTGAAAGTATTAATCAAACTTGTATTTTTATCATTCCTTTACAAGGACAAGGTGGCCAACATTTGGTGTTCAATCTCTGTTCTAATTAAAGTAAAAAAAATACTCTCACAAACTCAGATTATAAGACTCAGGTAAGAATACATCATTCACTCAATGATACATGAAAGAATTTTCAGGAATTAGATTTGTAAAATAAGTGATAAGAAATAGGGGATGTCAAAATATTAACGTTAAGGCTAATAAACCTAACAAAATACGCATTTTTTTCAATTTTTTATTTTTATTTTTAATCTTCTCTCCATATTATTTATCCTTCCCTTGCAGCACCTGGTCAACAATCATAGCTTGCCTACCATCCTCACTGAATTTGCTAAAGAATCCAATGATAGACCGATTTGTTTTAGCCTTGGTAAGGATCTAGTTCACCTGAATGTTATGAACTAAATTGCCAAAGGCAGCAGCACAATTTGTCTTAAATATCATTGTCTTTGCAATGTGATCATCTAAGGTTGACCTTACATAAGAATCAAGTAACATTCCTTCTACCTGAAGAATACTTCAGACTTTAAATTGACTCTTGAGTTAAAGTGATTCCATAATGTTTTTCTACCATCTTATAATTTGTCTATTACTTAAATTCCAGGTGAATTCTTCATTGGCATTTTTCCTTTTTTCCTATCAAGTGCATGAAAAATCAATTTTGTTAGCAGCTCTGTAAGTACTGTTCTTTTTAACAATTAATCTAGCAAAGGAAGTTTCTTCTGATTATGTGTTTCCATGTTGAGCTAAGGAGTGCTATGACAGCTTCTGATCAGATTGATTTTATTCTGTTTGTGACTGTTATGTGACAACATATGACTACAGTAAGACTTAAATAATTCATGTTTCCTTATTGATCACTTCAGACCTGTTTGTCTTCTGCTTCACTATAAACCCTTTGAGTGTGTGTGGTTCTTAGTCATCTCTACTTTCAGGTTGGTGATAAAACATTTTAAGTTTTGCAGTCTGTAATTAATGTCTTTCAGTAAAACTTACTGTCAATTGAATGTCTCATTAGTCAGCCTTCAGTCAATCATAATGTAAAATTAGCTTGTCTTCACCATAAAATCTCTACTGTGAATAGCCCCCCCCCACCTTGATGTAGGCTTCCTCTAATTATCAAGCAATGGGTGTTTTGGTCAAGGGAGGCTTGACTTAACCCCTCCCCTCCCAGATGGCTAGGTAGGTACTAACATCCTCCTGCAATATTTTTTCCATTGCCTTTGGTACCAAGCTGAATTCTGCAGCTAGAGTCACCCAACACAATGATTACTAACAGTAATTACTATTAATAATTAATAACTTATTTTATTTTCCAGCATGTGGCCCTTACTACTGAAGGATGGTTTGTCTCTACCCTATATTTCATGCATGTTGTTTTTCTACACCATTGCTTATCATGTGTTTGAGCTCAACAAGGTAGAACCACTTAAACAAAGTTTGGTGAGTTGTTCATTCTGTACAATCCACACACCATTAAAATTGAGCCAGTTACTTCTTGAAGAGCCCAACTATTGATATATTCTCCAAGGAGATAGGTGATAATGAAAAAGAGGGAACTGAAAATCATTCCATGATATAAGGTTTGGTTTTACACCAAATTTTCAGGGTTAAAATTTTATTTAATGTATGGTAGACAGTGCTGAGAACTGATACGAAGGTCATGGGAATGAATGGGTGAAAGTAGTGTTGTAGACTTTCATTGTGAACTCTGATAGAGTTACCAAACAGAATACATGATTGATCATGGTTATGAAGAGTTAAACGCATTACAGCATTCAAACTGTAGAGACATCAACATCTGTACAGTTTAAATGCTGCACACCTTTAATTCATAATGGTAATCAAACTCCTGTTTCTTTCCATAAGATTTTCTTGTACCCAATATTTTTTTAGTTTGTTCTGTCAGTGATTGGAGCCTTGGGTTTACACATTGGATCAGCAGTTGTTCAGCCCCCCAAACGGTACCCAGACCTCTGGCCTGTACTCATCTCTCTCTATTCCTGTGCACATTTCTTAGCTTTTCTGTGTTACTTTAATTATATTCAGTTTACTATACCATATACTTTACGGTCCATTGTCACAAAAGAAAAGAAATCCTAGGAACAGAAATTATTTCAAATCATTATTTACGGAGATTACTTCTGCCAAAAAAGTATTTGATACTGGTAAAGATTTATACCTGAAATTAATTTTGACATGCAAGAAATGTTTTTCTCAGGAGACTACAACTTGCAATGCAATAATTGAAAACATCGAATAGTATGAATGATTTTTGGTATGGAATCAACCTGACATTCATTGATGTAAAGATACACACACCTGTTACTAACATGTTCAACACTATTAAATAAGTTTTTAAATTGTCATAATTTTCTTTAATATTACCAGTACTTCCTGATCAATGTTCAATTTTTATTCTTCAATTGTCATGAAAAATTCTACCTTAATTAGAGTCTTAATGAAAACCATAAAAATTCTGTCACATGTTCCATAGCTGTTGAGAAACTTTTTAATGATGAATTTGTGAAGTGCTGACTGTTGTTGATCTTGTAGATGTAGAAATAAAGGCATTACAACATTCAAACTGTAAAGAAATCAATATCATTACAGGTAAAATGCTGCACACCTATAATTCTTAAATAAATGATCCACATCCAACTTCTCACAAACATCCAGAGACAACATCAAGCAAAAAATGATCACAAGGAAGTCAATTTTAGTAAGACAAACACCAACAAAATCCAGTTTACCAGACAATTTACTTATCAGTTGATGTGTGGCTTCAGTAAGAATGTAACAGTACAAAACAAGTCAATTTCAATTTTCCTACCCCCCATCCCCTGGTGTTTGCTCAACCTACCTACTTACCCCCCCCCCCAGTATTTGCTCAATTTACCTACTCCCACCCCCTAGTTAATTAAAACTAATTAAAACAGCTCTTAAATATCACATTCAAGTACTGAACTACCTGTTTGTATGTATTTCTATCCTTCTGAGTGATCAGAGGCACTTTAAGACTCACTGTCTTGACCAAAAGAACACAATGTTATGTCAGAAAGATATCAATTATGCTGTGTCCAACTGAAAAACTGCTGATCAGATGTTTATTGGTCCAGAGGACATGATTATGAAAAAGTTCACAAATGCAGATATATTGCTTGGAACATTTAATACTAATTCTCTCATTTTTACTTCTTGTAAAGTGATCCAGAACAAAAGTATAACATCCTTAAAACAAGGCACAAATACTGTCAGTAATGATACATGTCTACCCATGCTTTAAACTCCTTCACTCTTTTTTAGAGATACCTTTGAAAAATTAACTTTTTGCCTTAAAATACACCATTCTGAAAAATAAATACATCCTTATAGGACATTTTACAAACATAGTATCAAAACAGGTGGCAGTTTTACTACAGAACTAATATGATTTTACATCATTGAGTGTTATGACAATATCTCGTCATTTTAGCCATGTAACCCTTTAATTCCCAAGATCTGATTGTCAATCCTCTCTACTGAGCTGCTACAAATTCCCTTCTTAATCAGTGACATGGTTGATAAAGATAACAACTTCTACCTGTTAAGTTTGAGTATATTCTCATTGCCTATTTGCTGGATAATGTTTGGATATTATAGTAAGAGGTTGTCAGTCACTTCTGGAGTTAACTAGTTAAAACAACAGATGTTAATTCAATATTAATATTAGATGCCATTTTTACTGGAAAAATATTTCTTAAGTTAGACACAATAAATATGTTAAGTCTTACAAAGGTGAGATATGCTAACTAAAGTACCTTACAGGTAATAACTATTATTAAATATTCCTACGTTACATAAAATTCCTAGAGTTATAATATGTACTTCTAAATTAGAAGTAACCCTGTCATCAAACACGGCAGTTCTGAATGGTGAAGGTCACTATGTCATAGGCACCAATTTCTAAAATAGACAATAACAAGTACAATTACTAAATCAATAATGTGGTATAAGCAAAACAGCTTGCATGTTTAACCCTTTAACTCCCAAGATCTGATTGTTAATTCTCCCCTCTAGCTGCTACACATTTCCTTGTAAATTAGTTATGAGAACTTGGTGTTAGATCAAGATAGCAGCTTTTACCTGATAACTTTGAATATTCTCATTACCTGTTTGCTGAATAATGTATGGATATTGTAGGGAGAGGTTTTATGTTAATCACTTCTGGGAGTAAAAGGGTGAAAAGGATTTGCACAATTCATGTGAGAATCTACACCTGTAATGATTTATTTTGCACTTTTAGAATAACATTGATACAAAAGAAAACTGATCATTTTATGTATTTTGATGAGTGGTTGGTGTACATGGCACAAGCAGCACCATAATCAAAATATTCAATTTTTAAACTTTTTTCTTGCATCAGACTTATAAACCAGCCTGAAGAGTGCATGGCATTACGATAAAGATTGGGATGGATATGGTTGATGACAAGGTGACAATGGTGACCCCAGAACTGCTAACCTCTAAAAATTTAAAAGGAATTTTTTTTTCTTTTGGCCAAAACTCATCCCTCACTACTGAATCTGCCACTGAACCACCTCCCTTTGAAATGCTGTTGATGGCATGCCCCCTTCTGCTTTGTTTGCAATTTTACCCAATATGTAAGAAAATGAAACCAGAAACTGTAAAATAAGCATGAAGAAGCAGTAAATAATTAGGAGTGATTTTGGAGTTTCAAGGTAAGGTTTTTAGGGTAATTTCTTTCAATTAGGAGATCTTACAAATCATGCAACTAGAAGAGACTACATTCATGTTCTCTGTGCAGAAGACCTGGAGACTGTGCATAACATATGATGGTGATGTCAATAGAGATAGTGACTGTTGCTATAGCTATACTGGTATTCCTTACTTTATGAGTTAAAAACTAACCTTTCAGTTTGTCTAGAACCTGATTTTCCTCATTTTGAAGAACCATACATTGAACAGCTACCCAGGCCTCATTATCCAAAGGAGAGAGTGTGGCAGACCTCTGAGAAAAAGCAGATCATAAGAAACATATTAATCATATGGTCTTCATTCATTTACAAGAAACTTCTAATCTCCTGCTTAGCGACATTTTAACACATTTTGATGAGTTTACTCACTGGTGATTCAACATGTAACTTACCTTTCCTGGTGTTATTTTCAGTGCTTTTGGGAGATTTACTCTTTCCACATTGTATTCAACCATCACATACCTGGTCAAAATGATCATCTAATTAACACAGTTGAAAACTTTAAATCATGCTTGGAACCTTAAATTGCATTTTATGAATTGAAAATGATCCAAAATGTGACTCCAAAAAGTTAGAAAATCATACTTGTCTGCATGGATGATCCCTTCAATTCTTGATGTAACTGTCTTTACAACATCCTATGATAAAAAATAATAAAAACCCTTGTTAAAATCATTCTACTTAATTTTATCACACAAATATTCTGATCCAAATGGACAGTGTTTCAAATTTAATACAGCAAAATCTGCCGCTAAACATGGAGAGTTTTAGCAAGTTTATATGAATTGCATGTTCATGACCCAATGCTAATAACTTCTAGATACCATTTAATTATACAAAGTCACAGTGCACATTAAGAATTACCATCTGTAACTACTAACCTGAAAGTGGGCTTTAGGGTTTGCAATCAAAACAGCCTACATATTGAACAAAACCAAAAAGAAACCCTGTATTAATTTATTTCATTTGTTAAATAGTTTATAATTACGGTCATCTCCAGAAATTGAGGGATGCTTTTCTATGTGAACCTCAAAAGCAAGATCAAATGAAACAAAACTGCAGAGGGAACATTCTCTTTCAAAAGGTAGAGAGGACTAGAAAGAAACCACTGAAAATCTTCTCCTCCCTGCAAATTATGATTATAATAAAAGAGCTGTGTCAGCCTCAGGCCTGATACTTCATAAATTGATGCATTTATTAATCAGTCAATTGACTGATTAATACCTTAAGATCAGTTATAAATTAATCAGAAATGGATCAATTATCACACCTCAGTCTTCATAATTTCAGATACTATTTCTAGTCCACATGCTCTCATTGTGTCCCCTGTTTCAACAAGATCAACTTAAAAAAGAAAAAAAACAAGAAAAAAACCAGTCAATAAAACAATGAATCAACTTAGCCTGTTACCGCTGCAGACAGATATATTTATCAACATGTATAAATACACCTTTGACCCTTTTACTTCCACGATCTCCTTATTAATTCTCCTTACTGTCTGCTATACAATTCTTATGACTTGAGTTTGAAGAATTTAGTATTAGAAAATATTATATTATCATTAAATTAATATTTTCCTTTATTCTAATCAATTGTCTGCTTGCTATTGTATTGTTTTTGTGAGGGGTAATTCTGTCTTGATCACTCGAGGTGAGCTTTTGCCTGAAAATATAATATCTTTACACTTGAAAGGATCACTGTTGCTATTTCATTGGTGTTGAAAACTAAAATATTTCACTTATTCACTTTAATCACTCCAAAATATTTTCAAGAGATTTTCAATTTTGAAGAGAAATTTCCTATCACTGCAGGGCCATGTAATATGCTCTATATTGTAATATTTCCCTTCTAAAGTGAGTTCTAAGCTTGGGGCTAAATGTAGCAGTGAGGACGACATCAGTTGACACTCTTACCTATAGCATCAGCAACTCCCAGGCTGCAGGCCACCTGACAGAAAAAAAAAAAAAAAAAAAAAAAAGGTTGATTCCCTAATAGCATTTGTATGTGTTAATCATGATATGAATCATGCTTGAAATCTGAAGAGTGGAAAAGATGCATAAGAGTAGCCTATGGAGTATTTTTTAATATCTCTAGCTTCTTGGGTCCTCTCCAAACTTCCATCAGTATCTGTCATATCTTGATGAACCTACAACTAAGGCATGAATATATTGTCTTAAAACATATTCCCTCCTTTATCTTCAATGCACACTGGAACGACATAAAGTTTATTGATCAAGACCCTTATTACCATATGCGCAGGGTCAAAGAGGCAATTCATATAAGACTTCACCCTAATAACATCAACAGGGATAGTGGAATAGAAATTCCAGAAGCGTGGATGCCCACGTTAAAAAAACACAACGACAGGAGAGCTGTACGGCAGCAGACTGCTGAGGGAGCAAATCACTGAGTGAACAGCAAGGATTGAAATGCACCAATCAGAGCTGTTGAAAAAACAACTAATCACAGCAGAGCATCATGCTTTATAGGATCATGCATGACCAGTTGACCTCATCGCCTGAAGAAGACTAGCAGTATGCAGTCGAAACGTCACAATCTAAATCACATGTGACTACATTGTGAGACAAACAAAAAACTTAGCTTTTATTTTTATACACAATATAGTTGTAAATATGAGCATTTTTCTAGCTATATTAAAATAACAATTGACTTACTTCCACAGATCCACTGACATAGTTAATCGTGGTAGTGTTGTTGGGATCATATTGCTGCAAATGCAAATATTGATAGATGACAAAAATGTCAAAAGTGATTTTAAAAAATCAGGTATTCAAGTATGAAGAACTTACAGAAAGGTACTTTCTGGTGACATTTGGAAAGGATGTGACTATTCTTTTTCCTGTAAAGAAAACAGATTAAAATGATGTTAATAATATTTTTATAATCTGTTTAAGCATTCCATATTTAAGATTTGACAAAAAAAATACAAAGATGTTCATACCAACAAGATCCTCTGCACTTGAAATTTTGGATGACACAGGTGCCTGTATACCATGCAAAATAACTTGATTATTTTAAGGGATACTTAAAATTAACTAATTGTAATGATAGTACTTGCCTGTACTGCCAGCCTGCACTTGCCAAATCCAAGGTTCAATAGTTCATGAACTGAAATCATTCAGCAATATGGTTAAGAAAACATTGTTTGAAATTAACTAAAAAAGTGAAGAGAAAATCAATATGATATGAAACATAAAAAAGGGGCTAAAAGAAATTATGCAACAAATACTACTACCTTTTCCTCCACTTTCTGCCACAACATCTCGTCCTGTGATTCCCATGTCAATTCTAAGGAATCAATGTAAATTTTACTAACAAAAAAAATCAGTGTTATCTATCATTATTACCTTGACCACGAGTGCAGATAATAGTACAACAAAGCCTCTTTTGGCTACAAATCTATTAGAATCCATCCTATAAATATGAATGTTATGCCCCAAATTTATTTGTGAGTCCTGTCCAAGGAAAAAAACCAGAGAACAAAGAAGTCCTGTGCATGTGCTGGGTCAAATACACAGACCCTTATAATTGATTGGAAAGGGGGAGATATCAAATGATCTTAAAGTAAGATTTGAATGACAAGGCAAGGGATGTAGTCTTGAGTTATGCCATCAACGGCTCAAAAGTACTAGCATCCAGTTATCTCTAGATCAAACAAATCAGATGAAGGGAAACATTCCCAGTTAAAGATTCAAAGCTCTTGATTGTACCACAAACCCTACTTGTCACTACCACAAGAAATGTATAAAGAATGTGATAGAGAACATTCATATTAATGTTGAGGTCTTAGGGAGTAAGGTACTTAGGGCTTATAACTCAACTCACAAAACCTCCCCTACAGATCCTGATACTGACCTTCCTTGACTAACATAGAGAGCAATGTCCGATGCTGGGAGAAAGACAAGAGCCACTGAAAAGTTAAAACAACCATAATTAGACCTGTGATGACCTCAAGCAGCATGAATTTAACAGATGAACAGAATTTTGCCTTAAACAAGCAGATCCCTTGAACTTGTAGGAATCAATACCCTCTAAAAATGTACTGCTATCATCTATGTGTGAGTAGAAAATTATTCACATATATGACAATTAGATGGAGCAGGTAGTTGTTTGCAGGCCATATTGCAGCAAATGGAAAGGATGGAAAAAATGCAATGAGAGATGAAAAACATATCTATGATGTGAGAGTACTAGAGTTTTGACAATGACTTACTGTTAAGTGAAGTACAGAGAGCCAAATCCAAACGTGCTTTTTTGCGATACTGTAAGAAAATGATTTGTTTAATGAACTTGTATTGGCAGTTCTTCAGGAAGTAGAGGTATGTCAGATCATACAAAGGAAGGATTTGACTGGATTTAATGTCACAACTAAGAATCTTAACCCTATAAACCCTTAGAGTTACCACAAATGAGAGAATTAACATTAAATGCTCTCGACAACAGTTTTTAGTTCTGACCTCTTTACCAATAAACATCTGATCAACAGTTTTTCAGGAGGAAGAAGCATAATTGATACCTTTCTGACATAGCACTGCGTTCTCCATACATATCTTTCTTACTTTTTTCAGATGTGAATAAATTAATTTTTTTCCGACACTGCTCAATTTTTCGACGGCTTCGATTTCACCTTCAGTGAAACTTATGTTCTCAAAGATTTGCATAGTGGGGGGGGGGGGGAATTTCCATAGCAATCGAGCCGCCACTTTTGTAACGGCGTTCAGTGACCGCACCCTCACAACAGCAGAATTTACTTGGCCACCCCCCACTGTATGGTTCCTTTATCGTAAATCTTTACCATACAGAAAATTTTAAATGTTAAGTCTTGTTCAAATTACCTTTACTCCAGCCCTATCCAGTAACGCAATACACTGATCGTAGAGTCTTCCTTTCTTCGGCACTGCCATAAGCATACGATTCTTCAACTGTTCATCACTTACATTGAGCCTGAAAAAATATGATTGCGCTCAGTCGCCACAAAAATATAAAGGTGAAATACTTTGATGCATTTCGAAGGCAGTTGTAATTTTCAGAGCAAGACGACGGTACTGAAAAGCTTTGTACTTGTACAAAATTGAAATTACAAATAGGTCCATGAAACACACGTGTCCTATTATCAAATAATTTTGATAATCTATAATCTTTCAGTGAAATCAGAATATTTCTGCGTCACGTAAGGTAGAACAAACAAGCTATAGCAAAATCAAAATCCATGTACCTGTTCAAATTTCCCTCAAAAGAGGGATCTGCTTGGATACTCGCCATCAAAAACTGAAACGAACTTTCCAGAGAAGAGATGCTGAGTAGCGCCTCGTTATAAATCCAAATACGAAATAATCGAATAACTTTTACAATTTCCTACTTCATATACGCGACATGTAATGTATCAAAGAGGACTTAATGATCCAACTGCAAAAAAAAATAAAAAAATTAAAAAAAAGGAGAAAAAGATTAGGTAGCTTAGTACACAGACCGATATTCCCTAAAACAAAATCAAACGCTTTTATTTTCACCAAATTTTTGCTGCCCTTTTGAATCTAGTTTCTTGTATTTCTAAGGGAGTGCTGTGGGGCTTTTACTAATAAACACTAAACAAAATGTCACACTACAGTGCACAAACATAACCCAAAATCATTTGATAAGATGATGAGAGCAGCATGGCTTAAAGTACTAGTAAGAAGAAAAGGAAGTAAATCTATGGTTGCCTGTCCCGTAATTAACTTGCACAAGTGCTAAAGTAAACTTTTCAAATTCAAGATTACTTCAACTTTCTTCATTTTATTTTGTCAACAAGTTATGCACTACACATATCTATTTTCCAAGTGTACTACTACTGTATTTAGCATGAAATAAATAATTCCTCATAATCAACATGCAGTATAAACAGTTTGAATTGTTATCAAATGACATCACAAATTTGAGTACAAAATTAGAGTTTATAGTTTATTTCAATTTGTTATCAAATGATTCAGTGTGTTGCCTCTTTCATGCATTCCAAAATTTGGTAAATGACAGATATGAAATTGCAAATTCACTTAACAAAATTTCTTTGGTTGTTAAAAGAACTCCTAAATTTTTTAATTTAATTTCCACTCAACCCAATCAAAGGTGTTTTTTAATCATATGATTCATAACAAAAATGAAAGCAATTTTTATGGAATGAATTATACCTTTTGATAAGCTTACTGTGTACATAAACATCTCAATTTATTGTAACTGGTCATGTGGCATAATTAACCCTTTACACCCTAACATCAGCACCCATGTTCTCTCCACACTCTTCTATATACATTTCCTTTGGTACTGACAAGGAGAATTTATTTAACAATCACAGCTTCTTAGGTTGGCAATCATTAAATTTATTCTCATGATCTTAATGACTGATTCCAAAGTAATACTTTAAGGAAAAATTGGATGCTGGTCATCCCTTGGGTTAAAGGGTTAAAGGTATATGAAACTACAGTGATTCTGATACTTATTCCCAGAGATTCCTGAGATCCAGGGTAACAATCAAGATACCTTACCACAACATGGAGTAATAGCATTTCCTGAGATGTACTACAACAATCAATAATTTAAATAGTTACAACTTGATAAATAGATTTCCTTAAAAATATAACCTTTTACAGCATGTCTTACATTTGTACAAAAAGTTTTGTTGGGGGGAATCTAGATATTTATTTATTGCTCTCTGTTCTAAACAAGAGATGGAAGTTGTAACATCACTTAAAATCAGGCTGTCCTTTTAGTTTATTTGCTCTTCTGCCAAATAATTTTAGCATAAGATTAAAAGCAATGACACAACCACAATGTAGGCAAGAACCTGAAAATGAGTTCTTGTTTTTATCACTTGAATATAGAAAAGAAAATCCAAATTTGTATTTTTCTTTAACTCTTTAACACCCTCACATCAGTATCTATATTCTTCATACTGTTGTCTTTACTTTCCCTTTGGTACTGAGACCAAGGAGAACTTGTTAACAATCAAAGCTTCTTAAGTTGGCAATCCTTTCCTATATTCTCATGATCTAAATGAACGATTCAGCAGTATTACTGTAACGAGAAAGTAGATGCTGGTTACTCTTAAGGTTTAAAAGACTGGAACAAAAACATCCTACATGGTGATCCATCTCTCTATAGTCTTTCCCTCACTGAGCTTTTGCTTCCACATCTCACTAGAAAAGTTTATACATATTAACTACCTTTCAATCACCACCAAACAGATAAATTAACATTAAAGACAGTTAATGGAAAAATGAGGATGGCCTTAAATATTAATATCAACAAATGTTACAATGCTAGTCCAAAGATAAATTGAATGACAATGTTAATGACAAGAGAGAAAATCAAATTTTCATTAATAACAATTTAGCTAAAAAAAAATTGCTTCAATGTTTACTGTGTAGAACTGACATAACCACAATTTTTCCCTGTCTATCTCATTGAACCTCACTTTATTGAGTAGCCCTCTCCAGAAATCCATTAGTTAGAATTGCTTCAGAGGGGAGAACAGAAGATATCTGATTAAGTGTGCTGGAAGAGGTAACTCTGGAATCTCTTGGGCGGGAACATGATTAATAACAACCAATCTACACATGTGCTGAAGATTTAAAATTAATGGCAACTGCCAAACCCTGACGCGTCCATCTTTATAACCAGCAGCAACCTGCTGGCATGTTCTTGTAAAGGCCAGGCAAGACACTTCTGTGTTTTGATACCATGTTCTTAGACCATCTGGTTGAAGATGAGCATTGAGGACAAACAATACACTTAAACTTTCTGAGTTCAGTGCCAAGACCTTGGAGTCTGATGTACCAACTGCTAACATTGTACCATCAGGGGAAAAGGCAGCAGACCTTATTTTCTGCCATGGAGTCTGCAATGCATAAGCAAGTTGAATACATGTAAGACCAGGTTCGTCGGCAGTAAGAGACCATGTTTGAATGGTGCCATCTTCAAGACATGATGTCAAATACTTATGTCCATAGCGAGGATCAAACAAATACCAACATTGTAAGTGAGAACTAAGCGTGCGGCGACTTGAGTGACGGAATGGAAGGCATAAACACGTAGATGATGTGGAAGTATCCAAGTCTAGACTACTATGGATATGAAAGTCTTGAGTGTCAAAAACAATTAGCTGTCCAGAGGTGCACGATACAGCTAAGAACAAACCATCAGGCGAAAATACACATGATCGCGGGTGACCGCGAATCTTTGAGCTTGAGTTCGTTGCGGATTTCATTTTTCTGACCATTTTCTTGCTGGCAATGTCAATAATACAGATATGATTTAAATCACCTGTCAGTTTAGATGCTACGACAAGCGATCGACCATCAGGAGAGAACGAACAACACATTAGTACTCCTCGTCTCTTTCGCCAAAATCTACGCATGTGAACAACTTCAGCACTGGTAGTTTTCCAAGATCTCATTCGCACCAGCGCAAGGGAGTCTTCGCTAAAAATACAAACCACCAATTGGCCATCGGGCGAAAAATCGCAGGATCTAAATGAGCGAGGGAAGTCAGCCAAAAACCCAGTGTTGATTTGTTTCTGATTCAGGTCCCATAATCTTATCGATGAAAATTCGCGATTATGGCGGAAAAAAGTTGTTTGTTCTACTTTGGACGCGGTTAAAAGGACGCTATCGTCGTCACTTGGAAAGAAACACGAATATATGTCCTTGTCTTCATGTTTTAGCTGAATAACAACATCAAACAAATGACCATGACGATTTTCGATTGGTAAGGAGCGATGTGATCTGCCCGACAAACGCGGCACAGCTGCGCGATTGATGAGTGAAAATTCTTCCGTGGGCCTAAAGTGGGAGGCATTCGTTCCCATTTCTACGGGCAATATGTCAATATATCAAATTGTTCTTCTCTTTGATTGTGTCATTCTCTTCGACGCTTCCTTTTCACTGAAGGACTTGTTTTTTTCAAGTGCAAATTATTCCACAGCGACACAAGCTCATACACTTTGTTGTTTTGATACTCTCTTGCTGAGTAGCCTGGCCTCTTTAACTATCTGGACAGCAAAAGCCTGTCTGTAGTGGTATGGGGGCTAATTGAATATGCATAAAGCTTGATCTTGAGCGATTGCATCGCAACGCACAGAAGGCATCTATAATGGTGGAAAGTGGCAACAAAATAGTGAGCTGTCTGAAGGGTTAAGATTTGCGAAATTGCCAAGATACTGAAGGCAATGGCATCCGAACAAACGTAAGTCGTCTTGCTAACCCACATTCACCGCCAATGATTTAGTTACCACAAATGGCTCTAAGAAATAGCTAAAGCAGTCCAGGAAGATGGAAAGAAATTGACGAACTTTTAGAGGAATTATGTAAAATGAACTTTGATGTCATGGAACCAAAAGAAAAGTTATTTTTTCCAAGTTTTTTCCTTATCTTGACGTGAGTATCCCACTGTCTATCTGCATGGATGTAAAGGGTTGTTTAGTTGTAAATTCATTGACCCCTAAGAGTGACTAGCATCTAATTTCTCCTCAAAACACCACTCGTTGTCTAACAAACTCTCCTTTCAACACTGAAGGCAATATACAATGAATAGTATGGAGAATATGCATACTGATGTGGGGGTTGGGGGTAGGGGGGAAATCGAAGAGCATTCCGAGAAATTCAGCCCCTGTATTCTTCGAAGTCGCAAGTTTCAAAGACATGTGCGATCCTGCTCACCCAAAAAAATTAAGAAAGTTTCAACGCAATATGAAGAAACTATTTTATTGACTACCAGGCAAACGCGCCAATCAGTTAATGATGGCAGAAATTATACCATGAAACTAGCACTGCGGAAAACTGTCAGCTCAATGTACCACAAACCAACAGACAGGAATTCTTTGGCTCGTGTCTGTTGGCTTTTCATTTGCAGCCGTTACGTGAACGTCAAGCCACAACTTGTTACGTGACTACACCACTTGGTCACAAGAGGAAACAAGAAAAACAACTTAGTAGCAGCTCCTTGACTTCCGGGAAACATCAAAATACCTAGTAACACAAAAGTTTCGCTGTCGATCATTGAAAGCACAAGGTGGCATATCCAGTGCGTACAGGTCAATTTCATGTCCTGAATTAAAGATAGAAGGCTCCAGAACGGAACAGATATCTCGGACGAGACAGCCACGAACGTGTACAAATATTTAATCATCATTAGCGACTGTTTCTTTACCCCTTCCCTCCCCCGTTGGGCACGAATCATTATTGCTTTTATCCACGACTTCACATCGGTCTTTGGCAGGTTCATCGTCGTCTTCGTGTCCAGTGCTTTTAAGCTCGTCATCTGGCTCGGTCCTAGTCTCCTCCTCGTCATCTGCACTGGGCCCTTGGACACTGCTTTCTTCATTAGCTTGGGTGTTTTGACCACGTTTTAATGCTTGGATACGACGATCAATTGCGGTCCATAGCCTCTGGATGTCGTTCGGTGCAGCCTACGAGAAAAACCAAACAAGTCACGTAACGTACAAGTGTCTGCTGATATTTCGGAGAAAGTTAATTGGGAGTAGAGCTCAGCATTCAATAACGTTACGTACAAAACGATTCCGCATTTTATTAAAACAATTTTAATAGCTAGGACTCGCCCTTCAACGGTGACACTTAAATGAACTTAAAAAGTTATTCAAATCATCTGGTTATTTTAAGTGGAGCTTTATGCTTCTGTATTACAAGCTAGTTGTTTAAATGAAGCTTTATGCTTCTGTATTACAAGCTGGCTCTTTCGCGGGGGACAGACACGAAGGTGTGAGCGCGCGTGGGCGTACATGCGGAGGCCGATGCTGGTGTAGGTGTAGCTCACAACTGGAGGCCTCTGAAGAGCCTGCTCGCAGTCTAAATGACAACATACAATCGTGAAAATAATTGAGATTTTTCAAAGAAAGGAAAAAAAGTTATCATATATAAACCATACATTAAGCCACTCGTAGGATAATTTTAACCATCCCTGATACAGCTAAACAAGTAGTTTGGACTTTCTTTTAATGTTTGATTTGTAGCTTACTTAGGATAACATAGAAAAACTCAATTACCATTATGAGGTAAATTTTGATGTCCTTATCAGTGTCCATGGCAGTTATCCGTAAACTCTTCTCATTTCCTTTTTCAAGAGTCATACTTGGCCAAAGCTTAGTGTTGAGGACAACACGTAAACTACCTTGTGTGCGCATCACTAAAATGGTGAATTTAGACAAACATTGACATCAGAATAGCCTATGCAAAGGCTCTTGGTCAGACGAGATGAGCAGAAAAAATCAGCACAAAAAGCAAATCTCTATCTCAGTTTTAGTCAGAATTTTTCCTCGTTTGTCAGGCTTTTTCACTTGTCCCACATACTGCATGACTGGAACAGAGTTTACTTTAAGTAATATAAAATACATGTAAAGGTCAGTGCAGCAAGAGGAGAAATTGCATGTAGGTAAAAGAGTGAAAAAAAAAATTGAGAAATGAAAGATATAAAGCAATCGAGTAGTCTAGATAGTCAACAAAAATGGTCTACAAAAATAATTCACCAGTCCCTTCTGATGGTTCTTGAGGGAATAAAAAATTTTATGAGGTTGAAAAATAACTCACCAAGCCTTGACTGGAAAATTCCTTCTGTCATTGATTGACACATGTCATTCAATCTGAGTATCCCTCTCCCTTTCTCCCTCCAAGAATGTGTTATTGTATCAAACACAAACAGGCGGCAGTTGCTCTGAAATAAAAAGGCTTGAAATGTTAACATTTGAGAGTAAGTTGTCAAATTCTTGGCCTACACATGGAACTTTTTCTTGAATATATCAAATCTACTTCTCAGACCATAAATCAGTTGCCAAGGTGGTTAGTTATTCTGTGAGGTGTAGCGCTACAAACAAAAATGCATATGACCAGACAGGCAACAGAAAAATTAACGAATCCCTCATTCATATAAATGAAATAACATTATATAAACTAAAAAACATGTAACACTGCCAAGAGAAAAATAATTTGCCTTTTACTCCTTTTAAAAAAATTCTCACCTGCAGAACATTCCTTTCCTCTTCTTCACCTGTGACCACAGACACCCTGGCAGGCTGTGACTTTGGTGGACTAAGGTGTTCCTGATAAGCCATAGCAGCCTCTGCGAGTGACTTGTGAGGTTTATCTTGATTAGGTGAGCTTGGACCAGGGGCATCAGCATAGGAGTGGGCCACATCTGCTAATGTTTTTAGTTCATCCCCTGCAATGAAAACTGCTACAATTAGAATGAATCTATCCTTCTGAAAAACCCCACAAAATATGTAAGAGTGCCTTCATGAGGTGCTATTAAAGCAGTGCTTCTGAAAAAGAGTGCTTGTGTAGGACTGCTGTTGTGGAGAGTACATATAGCTTTCAATAGCAAGTTTCTTGAAAAGCTTGGTCATACAGTGTAAGTACTGGAGAATTGTGACATCACACTACAACTTTCTACAACATTCTATTAACAAATGTAATAATAATTTAAACCTTGAAGACTAGTCGCATTTGCAAAAGTAGTAAAATGGTTTCTTAATTTCAGCCTACTAGATGAAGGCAAGTGTAGAGTAAAATATAAATGCAAGTTAATCCCTACAGAAATAATTTTTTTGGCAATATGATAAAAAAAAAGGTATGATATAGCATATTCAATGTCTGCTACAAGGGCAGTTATCTATGAATACCACAAATATTTTGTTCATATTCAAATTGAATAACACTGCACAATTGTTGGCACAATAACTTTTTTTGGGCACAACTGGCCCTCAAACTCATGCAAAGTCAAAATTTTCCCACTGCACCTTGTCTTAAGCCCTGTGAAAGTTACAGCCCCATCACCTCTGATTTGCAGATTACAAGGTTACAATGTTCGGTTAGTTGTAATTTTTGGAGAGGTAAAATAACCAAGTAATCAAAGGAAGCAATTTACAGTCAAAGTGTAATGTCTTTTTCAACTGACTCTCATGCAAAAGGAACCTTCTCCAGCCTTCCTCCCTGACTAAACCAGCAGGAATCAAGGACCAATGATTTACTATTTACAGAGGAGCAGCTTAATTATACACTCTGTCACGATATTTTACACAATATATTAATTAACAAGGATTTTAAAGCAGCAAAAAAAAAAATTTGCAGACTGTATATTGTATAACTGTCTCTAAAGGGTGTTTTACTACAATATTGCAATATCATGTTTCTGGAACCTGTTTTGTGATCCTTAGAGGAACTATTTGCATCGGCTGTATTCTCAGGGTCTGATTTCTCAACAGAACCTCCATCTTCTGTGGCACTATCAGTTGAGAACTAACAGATAAAGAAAAGAAAATATAATTAAATAGAAAAATTCTGATAGATCCACTGCACTTTCCTTCTTTTATGTCTACTAAATTTTAGGGTTTTTTTTGTCCTCCAGAACATTGACATTTTGTTCCTCACTTGTACAATGTAAATATATTTTGACTATGACACTGTATTACAACCATCAGCTACTAGTCATTGAATCCAGTTCGATTGTTTCAAAGTGCCATACCTTAGTTTGTGTGTGATTGATTAAGAGCATTTGTCAGCTTCCTTACCATAACTCGATCACTCATGTTTTGTCCAAATACAAAGGACCCACCAGAAGGTTTTGTGGAAGACCTAAAAAAAGTAACAACAAAAAAAAATAAAAAACAAACCAAAAAATATTTCATGAGGCAAATAATTTCCATACCACTAGAAGCAGTTTAACTTACTCTTTAGAACCAAAAAGAAATTGTTCAAAATAATTTTTGGATGATGCTCCAATAATTCCTGCAAGCTGCTCTGGGGGAGCAGATTCATGTGAGCGCTGTGATGCATCCGTGTTCAGCTCTGCCACCGAATTTTCACTGCTAGAGACTCCTAAAGTCTGTGATTAAGAGAGGGGAAAGATGAATCAGAATTATGTTGAATTAAATGTCATAGCTCTTCCAAATAATTTCATCAACGAAATATCACTTACTTCTCACACACAACTGAAAGACACAACAAGCAAAGTGCAGCATTGAAAAAGACAAAGGGAGAACTTTAGGTATTTGAAATTTTATCATGAGTTAATATAAACTACCCAGACATCAAATTCCCAGTAGTATTAAGATTGAAGTTGAACAATAGTTTACTATTGTTTACAATCTCATTGCAAAAAGATGACATACCTTTGGGACAGGTGATGCTGTGGAATTTCTATCAACTACAAAATGAATAAAAAAAACACATCATGGTTTAGCTTAATCTCTAGAGAACTGTAACACAACAAAATAAAACAATAAGCAAATTAAGCTTTCAGGAAATTAGTTTTTAACAAAAAACACATTCCCTCTATGATAATATTTATATGTGATTTTCTGACTTTTGATACATCCTGTAGAAAGTGATGAAAATTCCCAAATATGAGCATTATCAATGCAAAAAAAGAGTAGATTTCAATAAGTTTACATTTACTTTTTGCTGACGAACTTGTCAAGTTCTTTGCCACATCAGAAAGGATTGATGGCTTAAAGATAAGCTTTGGAGGTTTAACATCTTCTGTTTCTGAAATGAGGTGGAAAAATAATGAGTAAAAACACAAAAATTAAACAACTGCACACATTTGAGAGTGAAATTTTGGCATTCCCCTTGTTACAAGTGTTTTAGAACTTTAGCAACCAATATGCTCATCTACAAGAAAGGTTGCTGCCTGTCAACAAAATACACAATAGCCTTGCCATTTAATATTTAGCAATTACTCCATGGGCATATGTTGGATATGAGAAGGTACATACTATTAACCAATAAGGAGCATAACACTGAGTTGGCTTTAACTAATCTCATGTCCAACAAGAAATAGAATAACTGTTTTATTAAACTTTATAAAATCCTGAATGTTTGGAAATTTGGAGCCTCTTCAGCAACGGTTGAAGCAATGCATTTTCATATCAGGTGACTTGGAATATGAACTGATAACTGCATTTGAGTGAATGAACCAGAACACTAGAAATGCAATGATCAGAGTTGAAAATTAAAAAATCTAAAATATTCTTGTAATAGGTAGTAATATGTACCTTGTGTGCTTGTGTTGTTGAGCTTTGCCACTTTTTTAACTGGGGATGAACAAGCAGCTGTAGAAATATTTAAAGTCAAATCTGTCATTTGCCTGTATACTTCACATCAACAAGCACACTCACATTTAAAATAGTTTCGCAGACCTCTGGTTTATGTTAAGCTGTACTTTGGCCATAAAAAACAAAAAATGATATATATACACAGGGATTTTTCTGTAGTCTATGGATTTGAACAAAACTCCAATCTAAGACATATAACTTGACATATAACTTTCACAAAGCCACTTTTAAGGATCTATCAAGGAATGATTCTTAAAACAACCTGTAGTTTGCTACAATACCCACCTACACTGCATAGCTTTGAAGGATCACAGAAAACACAGTACAAGAGACAAAGTTGGAGAGAAGGCAAAAGTCAGAGAATTTGGATTAAAATTTGTCAGCAATCTCAGTGATAATAAGTCCAATGTTTTATGGTGTATAAATGATTGTCTGCACTTGCCTTCCTCTGGTTCTGATTCTTCATCATTTTCCTCTCTCTCTGCACTTCTCTGTGATGGAGATAAAGAAATTCAGTTCTGAATAGATATTTTCTCCCATTCAGTCTTTGAAAACTTAACAAAGCCTGCATTGAGACTTCGTCAATTGGCTTTCAAGATCAGAGCTCATAGTCTACCTACTTTCTACAGGGTAAAACAGCCAGGAGTAAGATATGGTTTCTTTTCCTAAATGGTTTACCTTAACAATCCATTTTAATCCTTTCCCTTCCAAGATCTCATTAGTAATTCCCCCTACCATTTGCCATACAATTTTTTCATATTAATTTGAAGAATTTGGTATTGGATCAACTAGTAATCCCCTAATTGTCATTTAACTCTATTCCCATTACTTGTCTGCTTGATACTGTAAAGAAAAAATTATGTCTTAATCATTCATGGGAGTTACAGGTTTAACATATTTGCAAGGCCTCTTGAACCTTTTTTCACCTTACCTAATGATCAAAATATTTCAGTTGTCCTCAGAAGTGTTGGAACACTTTTAGTAATTAAAAAGAGCTTTTTATAAGGGGCACTTTTTTACATTTTGAGTTTAGAGGCACATATTTGGAAGCATCTATATACATCTATCACTGTTGTTGTTGTTGTTGTTGTTTTTGCTGTTTTCTTCTCTATATTGCCTCTTGCTATATACCCTATAACTAATACCTCTATAAAAAAAATATCATTCTTTGAAATTACAAGAAAAAGAATTTAGCCAAATTTTGAGAATACCTTAACTGCAGATCCACTAGAGTTGAGATCTGCATCTTTAATTTCAGTGACAGAGCCATCATCATCTGGAAAAGTGTTCTGAAGCAAAAATAAATAAAATAAACAAAACAAAACCAAAACAAACCCAAACAATCAATTTAAAAAAAAAAAAAAAAAAATATATATATATATATATATATATATATATATATCTTAATCAAACAAATGACCAGTGTCAAACATACTATTTTCTTATGTCTTATCAATGAATTCTGTTTAATTCACCCAAATGCAAAACAAGAGTAGACAACTGCATCATGCAGACAAAGGTAATTTAATTGACTTTTTGCAGCTTCAAAACAAAATTGCTGGGTTTATTTATAATACTCATCATGTCAATGTATCCTTGGAGGCTCCATAAGTTTAGCTTAATGTGGCCACAGCTCTATACGACCAAACTACAAGATTATGGTTACTATTTCACGAATAATCCCCTATCCTGTGGGAAAAAAAATTAAAAAAAAAAACAAAACGCTTTCCTCCGTATAAATACAATTCAACCTCAAAGTTTTGTTTAAATTCTTAATCTAATGTAAACACACACAATACAAACTCAGCCTTGTCTGCTCACTAACAGTCGTATACTATCAGTGCAAGACTTGCAGAAATCCCTGAATGAATTATTATTTCCAAAACTTTACATACGAAGATGAAGAAACGAACCGATAAATATGAAAAAAGAGACGTTTCTCCTAAGCGTGGTCGGGACGCGTACTTAGTGACTGAGGAGTAAGTTTTTCCGAAATAAATATTTGAAAAGTCGTTTTACTGTTTACACTTACGCACCGTAACCTTTCCACTCATGTCTTGTCTCAAAGTGAACTTCGGTGGGGCTAAAATTCTTACAGAGCCAGATGTGCCTTGAAATAAAAATTTAAGAGGTTTAAAATAAATAGAAATTAACTTTGGACAAAAGCCTAAACAATCGTGTCCCTTCAAAACTGGCAAATTGTCAAAACAATCTTGGACCAAACCAGGGCACATTACGGAAAGTTCAACACATGTTGTGTTAGTCGTGTTTCTCGCGCATACCTTTAGAATCCTCGTTCTCAACCACTATTGCAGAGGGCGCTAAAAAGGAAACAACACAGCTCAGTTCCTGCTGTAAAAAAGATTGAAAATGTCAAAGGCGTGAGCTATTTAAGCCCCTCAAACTTCAAAACCTCACCATTTTCCGCCATTTTTGTTGATACTACCGAAAGTACGCGTGCGCAAAGAGATTCGACCCAGTTTTCTCTCAAATTAAAATGTAACAGTAACTTATTTTTTTTAAGAAGATATACGACAATAAAGTAGTTAACTCCGATGCGTTAATATTGTAGTTGTAATTTTGTTGCTAGGGTAGCTATCCAGTCAAATAGCCTAACGAATGTGAAATGAGATACCATGATGATTCCTTAGATCAGCGCCTTCCTCCGCATTAGCACCCCCTTCGAAAATGCGCCCCTCCAGAATCAGCAAATATTAAAATGTTGGCACTCATCCTTAATAATCATGTATTTGTGCATTTATTTGTGCATTAACAGTCTTTACACTGTCCTCGAACGAGCGTGTTTTCATTCGATACCATTATAAGTGGATAAGACAACAATAAGAACGTTTCGTTAGCATTTATTTATTTATTTTGACAGCGATCCCGCCAAAATTGTCTTAATTAACTTTCGTTTCCCCATGTGCCGCATTATTTTGGTCTCGAGATCATGTTGTGTACGCTCGATTACCAGCCCCGCGCTTCTCCCCAAAACCGAGAGGGTCGAAGAACCCAGGGACCAGTCATTATTTACCGCGTACCACCTAAGGGGTGGTGAGGAGGTGGAGGATTTTGGAGAGGATCACATGGTTTTCAGGGGGAAAGAAGAGGGGATCAGTCGCCGCCAACCGGGTATAAACTGCGGGGGACTATAGAAAATTAACTGCCAATTAGCTTCCAGTGTAGGGGTAAGTGGGGGAGGGGGGGGGGTCGTAAGAATGTCACTTATTACAGAGCCTGATAGGGGGATAAGTTAAATTTCATCGTGATCCCCCAACCCATCCTTCCCCCCGCTCCGGCGATGAAAATGAGCGGTCCCTTAGATACTTCATTTTTCCTCTTTATTAAAGCTGTATCAGATGACGGAGATTTCAGAAAAAGCCGCCGGGCAATGAAATACCGCCGCGGCACCTGTAAAACCTCTTACCGCCGTCTGTTTAATGTTTGGCCGGCGAGAAAGTTAGGCTCTTGTGTTAAGGTTTCGCCCACGCCCTTTTCCGGACACAGCCGCCTATTACACCGCCGGCTGCTTATGTCATTAACCCTTTAACTCCCAAGATCTCATCAGTAATTCTCCTTCCTGCCTGCCATACAGTTTTTTCTAATGTTAGTTCGGAGAACTTGGTTTTGGATCAATTAATAATCCCCCAATCGATATTTTTCTTTATTCTCATTACTTGTCTGCTTGATATTGTATTAATATTATTAGGAGAAATTATGTCTTGGTCACTCATAGGAGTTAAAGGGTTAAGGAAAAAAGTTATTGAAACTCTTGTGACAAGTAAAGATCGCTAATTTTCAATCCCGTCCTTTGGCATGATTTTCTTTTTATGACTTGAAAAGTCCGAGGTCCATAAATCGGATTTTATAAAATGTGACAATTAAATTTAGATTTTCCCACGGTGATGATACAAGCATATTAAATTCATGCACGAAACAGGGGATTTCTGTGACAACCAGATTATTTTTTGTTAGCACGATATGATGAAATTTCGAGCAGATCTGAGAAATTCTGATCAGTCTGAAGAATCACGGGTTTAGCTCGCTCAGTATGTGTTCCTCTCCACTGTGGAAATAAGAATGTCGTAGAAAACCGCAACATAGTTTAAAATATATCTTCTGTCGTTAAGATTATTAACTGTTATTTTTTATGATTAGATTTGTCACCGACAAATTGCCTTGGGCTTTTTCAACTCTGCCCCATGCCAATTTTTTTAAGAACCTCCGAAAGGTGCTTCACCAGGTTTCATTTGAAACAACATCTGTTTGAAACCGGATTCCCAAGACGATATTTAATAGTAGGAAGATTTACCTTAACTTCCTTAAACTCTGAGAATGGAAAAAAAATTCAAGAAAGATGTTCATGTGCGATCTTAAGTGATGCGCGTTTGTTTGTGCGTGCGTATTTTTTTCTTTTCTTTTTTTCATGCTCACAAAGTTAATTTCAAAGCTGATGAAATGTATTTGTTGTTACACAAAAACTCTAGGAATCTCATTTCCCGACTTCAGCGGCACAACACTGCAGCAATATTACTCTCAAACGTGGACTAACCCATGAGTATTGTAAGTCATAGCGAAATGTTTGATTAATGCCATTTAAATCACGATAAACATTGATTCCTTCGATGAGTGAAATGTAGATTATCAAATTTGCATATCAATCGGATTTCAGGGAGTGAATTCAGTTAATGGCAACTTTGACGAGTCCCGGGGTCAACGACTGCAATTATATACACATCTTCGACCTCTTGCACGCTATTGAATCCCAAAGGATTTATCACTTCTAAGTTTCTCTTCTACTAATTGCTGCTTAATCTAATGATACCAGGATATTTTAATTTCTGGGCAAGTGAGCTAATCTGATTTGATTTTTTAATTTCTTTAAGGTAGAGAAGATAAAGGAGTTAAATCGAATCGAGTTGATCACGATTCCACGTTATTTATTGGTAACCGCGCTGTAATCACATAAAGATTGGCTGGGTGGTTTCCATTGTTTATTCTTCCACAAATTAGCATAACTAAAAAATACAACAATATCTATCGAGTAGGCAATCCATCAACAGTTCATCTGCGGACTCCGGTTTAATCAGATGTGACAGGTGGAGAAGACAACACTCCTTATTACCTTTGAAAGCTTTGAAAACAACGCTGCTGTGTTGCAGGTCAGGAAGCTGGACAAATTTGAAGCAATATGGTTCGCCAAATCGTTTTGATTTCTGGCTGTTCCAGCGGCATTGGACTCGCTACAGCTGTATTTCTCGCCAAAGATTCTGAGAAACGCTTTAAGGTCTACGCCACCATGAGGAATCTGTCGAAGAAAGGACAATTGGTGGAAGAAGGAAAGGAATATCTTGGAGACACATTGGTTATCAAAGAAATGGATGTGAGCAGTGACGAATCGGTGCAGAAAGCTGTGGAGGAAGTGTTAGACACAGAAGGGAGAATTGATGTACTATGTAAGTACCGGTGGTCCTGTAATAAGATTTTATGATTTTTCCTCATAATCATTAATCATTTTTTACAATACCACCTTCTCGAGAAAGCTGGATATAAAGTTCAAGTTGCGTTTTCCTTAACCAGTACACTTAATGGATGAAAGCAATACCTTTAAATTGTACACGAGACGTACGCTTTTGCAAATCTTTTGTTTGCTGAGGTGACAATGCCAGTATCAGCTTGTGGCTAATCGTTTATTTATAGAAGACATCGCGAAGAAAGGATCTCTTAATGAATAATTATCCATGAAAAACCTGCTTACAAATTCCGTGGTTAAACCAAAAGTTGTTCGGAAATCTTAATAGCTAGCGCTTCAGGCAATGCGGTTTTGTTCATGAATCATAAAATGCCAATTGAAAGGTTACGACAGAGATCGATTTCAAGACTCTCTATTTTTCGATACTTTATTGTGTGTTAAACGATAACATTAGCCGGGCCGGAGACAAGCATTAACGCCTGCTGTTTGTGCAATCAAAGCAAAAAGGCAGAAGGAATTTTAAATACGAAAATCATCCACCACAAAGTGAGTCATATGAAGCGGGGTCGAAGGGTCTCTCTTGAGTACTTCATCAGCAAATACATATAAGACTCAAGGTCGAGAACAAGTGTTTGGTCATTTTTTTTAGACGTATCAAAATGATGGATGATTCACGCGGAGTTTTAAAACTTCCTAATCAAACCTGAGCTGATCGTATAAAAGAAAACGATAAATGCCTTGTCTTTGAGACCAAGTTTGATCTATTGCTCGAGGCGTTTGCTCGGTTTTATAGCTTCACCATGAATACTTCTTTGTGAGAATTTAGACAACTTAAGTGCGTAGTTATTTCAGTAAAACAAACGAGGATCATAAACGAGGCTATTGTGCACTAAACCCTTACTTAAAGCCAACGTAGTAATTCAGTGTATAGGAAATAATTGCCAGAACTCAATATTTTTAATCCTTTTAAAAAATGGGCAAAACGTCCCATTGCAGGAGGGTTCCCTGAGACACAAGGCAGTACAAGTCTCCCATTTCTTGCGCGTCTTCGCCTCTCTGGTTCGCTTTTAAACTGAGAAGTCTGCTTGCGTTGAAATCGACCCAAGGATGCTATGAGCGCTGGTAAAAGTGGTTTAAAATGACGGTAAAAAGGGAATCAAAGCTATTTAGACACTGCTCGCTGTAAACATTTCTGACCCCAATATAAGTGAAATATTTTATTTAGCTAAGAACTAACTGGTATTATCTATCCATAAGTTAACAACGCTGGTATTGGAGGTCTGTTTACTGCACTGGAATGCACACCACTCGCCCTGGTCAAGGAGCTGTTTGAAGTGAATTTCTTTGGCTCTGTGCGTTTGATCCAAGCCGTACTACCAGGAATGAAAGCAAGACGAAGCGGACATATCATCAACAACAGTAGCCATCTTGGTATCGTCGGGGTGCCTTTTAACGAGAGTTACTGTGCAACAAAGTTCGCTATGGAGGGACTCACGGAAGCTTTAGCTCCAGTCTTACTTCATTTCAACATCAGGTAGTGTGATAGTCTTCAGTCAAATCTCCGATAGCTTTTCTATAATAAGCCGAATGATACACATGTTTTGATGATTCTTATTTTTGGAATCTATTCAATAAATAGACTCTTCTTTGCCGTGCATTCGTTCAATGATAGATCACAGATGACGTAAAAATTTGGTAAGAATTACAGGTGGCTCACGAGGCGCAGTCAAGTGTGATACTGATCCGCTGACCTTATCGATGATCCATTGATAAACAGACGCACGGTCCAATGGAATCTATCTAAAGTCATTCATAGTGACGTCATCTATACGTCTATCTTCTAATAAATCATTGGATGGAACTAATTAAAATTCTCATATAGTGCAGCTTATCGTATAATTCTTAATTAGATTATGTACAAGAAACGGAAATCGAATTTTCGCGAATCAAGGGAGAATATCTCTTACAGAGTGTAGAGCACAAGCTCTGTAACCGCAAAGGTAAATTCACGCTTAAAGACAATGCAAACTTTTGATAAATGGATTTCATGTTGGCTTGGTTCTGTACAGTAATAGATCACAGACAAGAACAAAAAAGTGGCACACATGGTGCAGCTGAGTGTGTCACTGATGTTCTTACCATATTTTGACGTGTTCTGTGATCTATTACTGTGCAGACCCATAGCAATATGGAATATTGCTTTTATCAAGAGAATCTCTTGGTTTTATATAACAAAGAAGGAAATAATGGTGGTGATGACGTCTATATGTCTGTCCTCTGATAGATCATAGATCATAAGAGCTACTCAGTTCATTATTGCATAATAGCCCACTTTATCATTGTTAACTAGATTATGTATGACAAATGAAAATCTAATTTCCGCTTGGAGTCAAGTGAGGATGTATCTTAAATAGAGTATAGAGCAAAAGTTCAGTAGCCGCGAAGGTATATTTACGTTAAAAGATAACTACAAACTTATTGAGTTACTCTCCAAAAGAGGTAACTGAGGATGGTGATCGTTTAAATTCCGTCGGGAAAAATTTCCATACAATAACAGAATTGCAATGTGGGTGTGATGCTGATCTATTTCACTCTTTAAGGTATAAGGTCTCAGTTGGTAATTTCTGAGATATTTTTATGTTCTTAAGCCATTTCAGGATTTTTTAAAATCACTTTTTAATCCTTTTTGCCTTTTTTCAATTTTGGCCTTATTTCTAGAGCTTCTAATTCATACCCAAAAAAAAGCCATGTTTATATTGGTAACCTCTCCTTACAGGTGTACCATACTCGAACCAGGCCCTACGCAGACCCTCGGTCCTGAAAATGGCACCGCCTTCGTCAACAAATTCAGTTTATCAGACGCCGACCAAAAGAGTCAAGAACTTTTGGGAACCTTTGCGGGGAGAATGTTCTCTATGTTCGGAAGCACAATGCAAACTTCTCACCAGGTGGCAGAATACGTGAAGAATATTATCCTCTGTGAGAAACCACAGTTTCGATACCAAACAAATGCAAAATACAGACCCGAGGAAATCAAAGTGAAGCTTGCCGATCCTACAGGAAACACTTTAGTTGAAATGGTGAAGAGAGACTTTCTTGACACTGAATAACTCATGTTTGTAAAATTTGAACAATATATAAAATTTAGCGTACAAATACACTATGAATTTAATCAGTAGCTTTTTATCGGCTTACTACTCGAGTTTTCGTTGCAGCATGTTTGTGACTAATAGGGAGATCTGTTCATCAGTCTAATGGTTTTTTTCCCAATCTCACTTAGCATTCCTTGCGCAACTAATATAGTAAGCCAAACACTGCAACGATCTTTACATCCTTTACATCCTTTTATGTGAAGCTCTGAATGTTTTCGGGCAAAGGATCTATTTCGTCGCGCGAAAGAAGTTTTTTTCGTCGATTAGTAAATAGAAATGTTGCTGGGTTTTTTAGACCGTTTCATCGCAGTTCTGGGACCTACTTAGGAAAACAACAAAAAGATGTTAAATATACATATATGTGTGTGTGTGTGTGTGTGTGTGTGTGTGTGTGTACATATGAACCGATGTGTATCATACTGACTGAATCAAATGTCTTATCCTCATTCTGTGTCAGTCATCATTACTATTTCTCCCAGTACCGCTCGGTTTGTCGAGTACAAGCCAGTGCAACGTAGTAGAAGCACAGTTATGAAAGTAACTCAAGGTCATTTTATTACCCGTGTATCCCTTGCAACTTGTACTCGGAAAGAACAATTATATATATTTTTTGCACGCTTACGGTGTAGTCCTTCTCTCGTTATGGAGAATGATCTGGGAGCTATTTCCTAAACGGCTGGTAAGCTGTCTTTTGAAGGTAGCCCATGGTTTACAACTTACAAAATAATTTTTGACGTCTCCTTCGTGAAGGAACCAAAATTTGCTCGTAGAAGGCGTCTTTTCTTCAGGCTGCTACATCTGAGGCTTTTCTTTTCTAGTTTAGCTGCACTCGTCAATTCAAGTGAAAGCAACTTGTATAAATAGAAAGCATTAACTGTAACAGAAAACCTGTCCTGTCCTGCATAAGTATAGTGACCCAGGTCGACATTTTTGGATTACAGGTAAAATAACGAATATGTGACGTGAAGGTACTTTTTCCACAACGATAAGAAGTTTATAATTTTGCATTGTTCTTGTGCAATTCACGCTTTCAAGTTCTAGTTGTTGTTTTTAGCAAATTCCCAAATGACTTCTAACTGAATATTGGACTGCTATATAGGGCATTTCATTTTCCCCTTTTTTTTGGCCTATTCTACATAGACTTGTACCTCTCCCGCCCCGAATGAACTCTATCGGGGAGTTTGGGGATGAGTCACACATGACAACTCACGCTGCTTAGTCACGCGTTAGTCACGGCCGAAAGAAGCGACGTTGAGGGAAAGAAATCATGTCTTCTCGCCAAATCGTGTTGGTTTCAGGCTGTTCCAGTGGCATTGGACTCGCAACAGCTGTGTTTCTCGCCAAAGATGCCGAAAAACGCTTTAAGGTCTACGCCACCATGAGAAATCTGGCGAAGAAAGGACAACTGGAGGAAGAAGGAAAGGAATATCTTGGAGACACATTGGTTGTTAAACAGATGGACGTGTGTAGTGATGAGTCAGTGCAGAAAGCTGTGAAGGAGGTGTTGGACACAGAAGGGAGAATTGATGTACTTTGTAAGTTACCTTTTGTTAATTTTTTAACATTCTGTATTGTTTTGTTGGAGTTAAGTAGTAATTTTAAGCGTATACTGCGTGAATCGCAGTGTTGCGCAACTACGGTGGAACCCCGCTCACCCGAGAAGTAAGAATTATTTGCTTATCAGCTTAATACTCCATCACGGGTGAGCTCTTTTCTTTACTTCGTTTATCTCAGTGAAAAAAATTGGTGTAGGTAACAAGATTATTTCGAGTTAAGCGTCAATAAGCAAGGGTAAATTTTTCAAAGGCAACAAAATTGCATGATGTAAAAGTGCCTATTGACACCATTACTTATTAATAATTTACATGAAAAAATAATCTTAAAAAGTCACGAAAGACCAAATTTTGGCAGCGGGCCTGTGCTATTTCACATTTGCATTCGTGTTAGCATAGTTAATCACTTCATTTCGAGTCCAATTTGGAATAAATAAGCAGGAGTAAATTTTTTCAAAGACTAACAAAATTGCACGAGCCCGTAGGGCGTGTGCAATTTGTTGTCTTTGCAAAAATTTACATTAAAACAGTTACATTCGAAATCATGTGATTAACTATACTAATATTATACATGAAAAATACGAGATAGCTTATCATAATTATGCAGAAGCAAAGCGCGTGCATCAAGTGCAAAAACAATTTATTCAAACCATGCAAGTGACATTGTGCGTTCGGTTAAAACAACCGCGTACGATCAAAACAACAATATACAATGATATTTTCACATCTTTAAGGCGCAATACAGTTCAAAGTCTGGCTAAACAGTTCAAAGAATAGTTCAGACTGGTTTGTTACTTCTTTGCACTGAATTAACCCTCTTCTGCATTTAATTACCTGAAAACTGCATCTATCATAACCAATCAGAACTGAGTAATTTTTTCATGTATCTTATGTTATGAAAAATGAACTCGTTTTCAGCCAATCAGAAGTAAAATGCACTCCTTCGAGTAGCTCCGGTGAAGAATGCTTCCTTCAAAAGTTTGTGCTATGGAAAGATTTTCTTTTTTTTCAAGTTTCTTTCTTGATTTGTGCTCGTGTTATTTTGCAATATTTGCAGTTAACAATGCTGGCGTGACACTTCTAACAATCCTTGACTGTGTCCCCATGGAATTGGCTAAAGAAACATTTGATATCAACTTTTTTGGGACCCTGCGGTTGATAAATGCAGTTCTCCCAAGCATGAAAGCAAGAGAAAGTGGACACATAATCAACAACAGCAGTGTTTTTGGAGTTATTGGTACCCCATTCTTTGAGGTATACTGTGCGTCGAAGTTTGCTGTTGAAGGGCTGACAGAATCTCTGGTTCCAACACTTAAGCACTTTAACATAAGGTAATCAGTTATGAATCTTTTGATTATTTCTTTTAATTTTTGTCTCCTTTTTGCATCTAGGGCCCTGTTGGCAAAGATTTCAAGAGCAATTTGGTGTTAATAAGTGCAAGTAAATTCTGCAAAGATGACAAAATTTCACAAGTCTGTAGGGCGAGTGCAATTTGTAGTCTTTGAAAAACTTACAAGTGCCTATTTAAACCAAACTGCATGAGAAATCATGTTCTTATTTAACAATTTGCATGAAAAAAATATCACAGAACGTCAAGACTGGCAAATTTTGATAGTGTGCGCTATTTGTAATTTGCATTTGTTTTACAACTTTGCAACAGTGTTACATAAAAAATACACTTATTTACAGCCTATCAGATGTGTATGATTTTTTCATGTGTATTATTAACCACTTCCAAAGTACTTCCAAAGGCCTCTTTAAACCCATTGACCAATAAGGGTGACTGGCATCTAATTTCTCCTTACAATATCACCTCTGAATAAACATTAAGTCTACAATGTTATTGAAATGATCGCTGCCTAAGGAATCTGTTGATTATTAGACAAATTCTCCATGTCAGTACCTTAGTGAATATATAGAGAACAGCATGGAGAATATGCATACTAATGTTACGGTGGAGAAGGTTATGGTCTTGTCATTGGCTCTGACTGAGTTGAAACTGATTTTAATCCAAGGCTCTTTTAAATGTTGGCCAATATCATTTAGTATTTTAAACCAATATTCCTTAAATAATATTTTTATTTACTCTCATCACTGCTTAGCCTACCTTACTGTAAGGAGAAATTTTTTGTGTCACTTCTATGGGTGAAGGGGAAAAGTTTCTTAGAAATGTTGAAAGAACTCCATTTTACACGCTTTACTAGCCAGAATGTGCCTGCTGCAATTTTTTTAAAATTTGCTCAGTACCCTTTAATTAACCCTTTGATTCCCAGAAGTGATTAGCATGTAACATCTCCTTACCATTGTGTACATTATTCAGGAAACAAGTAATGAGAATATTCAAACTTATCAGGTAGAAGTTATCATCTTGATCTAAGACCCAATTCTCATGGCTAATTTTAAAGGAAACGTGTTGCAGCTAGAGGGGAGAATTTATTGTCTTTCTTTTTCCCTCTGAAATAGATGCACTTTGCTTGAGCCTGGCCCTGTAAGCACTTCAATTGGAGACAACAATGTTGAAAATACCAAGGGTATTGACTTGAAAACTGCTGACCAAAAGACACAGGACTTGTGGGTCAGAATGATGGAGAGATTGGGTCCAGCTTTTGAAGGAAAGTTTTTAACTCCACAGGCAATAGCAGAGGTTGTTCAAGATATAATTCTAAGTGACAAGGGCCAGTTTCGCTATCTACCTAATGAAGGAATGTTTAGTGAAGAAATTACTGCCAGATTTGCTGATGCTACAGGGTTTAAATCTGTGAACCTGATTGCCAAACAGTTTTGTGATGACAAGTAGTATTCATACAAAAACAAACAAAAAAAAAGGTAGATTAAGCAACACAGTGGAAAGGCAGTCTTTCAACATGACTATTCACTGAAGTGTCATGTGATCTGATATGCAAATTAACAGTAGTGTGCACAGAATGGTATTAAAAGACTTTATTAACACATTTCATGTCAATCCAGATAAAAAAACTCGAAATGCAATTGTATATTTTTGACCACAAACTCTACGAGGTTAGATGCCACCATATTGTAAAACTAACTGCATAACTTGACTTATGTGCATGGTAAGTTTCAAAGAACAGTTTCTCCCAACTTGGATTAAAGAAGGAAATAAATGAAAAATAACTTGAAATAATGCAATTATTGAGTGTGTGAAAGTTAAACCCCAATCACTTTCCCCATGGATCGAACTTCAACCACCATTAATCCCTTGATTATGCCTTCAAGTTCCTCCCCATTGTGTAAATATCCCCTCCTTAGAATATCACAGAACTCTGTTTCTGTTTCTGTTTCTGTATAACTTTCTGTTTCTGTTCAACACGTAGATTCCATCTTGCTGTGATTAATTTATGGTAAGAACATCAGTTACACACTCAGCAGAACCTCCTGTGCCTCTTTTTTATTGCTCAGGTGTTGAGGTGGGTTGCATGAAAGAAGTAGCTACTCTTGTTTCATAAAGCAAAAGTACAGAGCCAATAAAATTAAGTACAGTCTAAAGAATTAAAAACGGCTTCTCTTATTATAAATTATTTTGCCGTTGCATCGTCAATCTGCTGTCTTTTCCCCTTAATTTTTATATAGGCTCAGCCACTCGATGGAACATCCTCCCTCTTCCTTCCCCTCCCCACGACGAACTAAAAACTGTGCACCGCTCCGGAAGTGCTATCGGAAAAGCCGAAAAAGTTCTTAAGCGTCAAGTCTCTTTTTTTCTTTTTTGAAGACCGGGTCTGAGAGTAGTGAAAAAATAGAGCCGATAATTAAACAGCTTTAGCTTTAACTTCCTGATTTCTAGTCCGTCAGAGAACCTTAGTAATGAATCTTTTATTTGAATTGTTATTAGTTTTGTTATTTACTCTTTCGGGAAAATTTTTTCTAAAACGAAAATTTCCCATGTCAACCAAAGAAGTATTATTGTTTCCTCAGAAGCGAAAAGGCGTTCATATTTGAATTTACTTTATGGGTTACCAAGGTTTAAAACTTTAGCAAAAACTCTTATTTATCTTTCCCCACGAGAAAATCTGGGCTCTGCCTTTTTCTTATTTTACTTTCCCTTGGTGGCCTTCGCCTGAAACGAAGCAGAGCATACTACGTTTCCCGTTTTAATTATAATTTTTAAGCTTATATTTTGCACAGTTGATAGCCACACCTAATCTTTTACGGTTGAATTCAGATAGATTTTGCATCTTTAAATATATTTTCTCTTGATTTCAGGCAATTTCCGAGAGCTGCGATTTTTGCCCCCTACCTAGTTCAAACAAAGTCATGGAAGGTCAAGTACGGATAAATTAAGTTATTTTCATCTCCATCCGAGTCTTTGGCAGCGCTGATTTTTTAAACATGTTTTATTTATTCAAGCTACTTAGCACACCCCATTAGCAGACTGACAATCGTCAAAAACAACATGGCCGTCCAAATAGTGTTGATTTCTGGCTGCTCTAGTGGCATTGGACTCGCTACAGCTGTGTTTCTCGCCAAAGATGCCGAGAAACGCTTCAAGGTTTATGCCACCATGAGAAATCTGACGAAGAAAGGACAATTGGAGGAGGAAGGAAAGGAATATCTTGGAGACACACTGCTCATTAAACAGATGGATGTGTGTAGTGACGAGTCAGTAGAGAAAGCTGTGAAGGAAGTGTTGGACATAGAGGGAAGGATTGATGTATTGTGTAAGTTACTTCTTTTTCTTGATTTGTTGACAGTTTGGTTGCGGTTAAGGTTTAAATTTCCATTGCGTGAATCTGCGAGTTAACTGGTTACAAATATATGCCAATGAGCTTAGTGCAATATCACGGATGAATTCTTTTCCTTTCTTCGTTAATCTCAGTGAAAACATAGTATGTTATAATGATCGCAACCCAAGGTGTCGAGTTCTGTTTAGTCTTGCGTATGAGAGAAGCTTCATTTACTTCAGACAAGGACGACAAGGATAATTTAAAACGGTCCTCAGAACAAGAAGCCTTGACAAAATGACAGGAAGAAGCTTAACAAATGCTTCTCGACTTTTCATGCAATAGCGAGCACATTAATCATTCGCCAGAGCCGGAGGCTGATCACTGAAAAGTGAAGTTTTTTTTTTAATTAAAGGAGCCTAATGACCTTAACTTTTAATTAAAAGAACGACAAAAAAGCCTTCAAGTTGTATTTCGATTTAGCATCTTAAACGAAATTTCAAGGTCATCATAATAACCAATCAAAATAAAGGAAAATACCACCCAAAGTGTCCACAAGTAAAACAGCTTTTTTGGGACTGGTCGTTATTAAATGTTTATCATCTCTTGGTCGTTATTTATCGCCTCAAGGTGGGGGTGGGGGGTCGGGAGAGTTTGGTTCTGACACGACCAACCCCCTCTGTTCCCCCTCTGAAAACCATTTGATCCCCAAAAAAATACTCACCATCACTCACATCGCTCTACCATCACTTGGATGTTTATTTGGACCCAATTCATTGACCAGCTCCCAGTTGGCTTGTTAGCTCAATTGGTAGAGCGCTGCACCGGTATCGCAGAGGTCATGGGTTCAAATCCCGTACGGGCCTGAAATTTTTTTTTCAGGTCCTATTTACAACTACTCGTTTCAGTAGTGTTCTTAGCTGCGAGGATCTCCTAATTTCATCTTTCCACCGCAGTGCAAATATGTGAATGTTAATAATCTCTTGCTAATCCTAAATCGCGTGTGAGTAAAAAAGGCCGTGATTGGTTTTTATTGGTTGAGAATGGGCGGCGAGTTTTGTGACTCCAAATTAATTTGTACAATGGACTAAATTTATTATACTTTCTTATCTCTGCAGTTAACAATGCAGGAATCGGCTTAATGACTGCGCTTGAATGTGTTCCTATTCAAATGGCTAAGGAACTGTTTGAAGTGAATTACTTTGGAGCATTAAGGTTAATCAAGGCCGTGCTACCAAGCATGAAAGCGAGGCAGAGTGGGCTGATCATCAACAACAGCAGTCATTTTGGCATCGTAGGAGTTCCTTTTGTGGAAATTTACTGCTCATCCAAGTTTGCAATTGAGGGTCTGACGGAAAGCATAGCTCCCACTCTGCGACAGTTCAACATCAGGTATGGTGTAATTTAGACAACAAGCTGGTTATAAATAGTCAGTTAAAACAGCGTAATGTTGGCGCGTCGCGCATCTTGTAGTGTCACTAGTACCGCAGGAGTGAGGTGCGCGCTGACAGAAATTTTTTTCACTATATTTTCCTTTTTAATCGTGCAACAATGTTCGCCGAAATTGGTACGGTGTAATTAGTACATCCTTCATTTTTCGGTGATACAGACTGCCGCAAAAGTCCCCTTAAAATTGTTTTTGAAGAGCGTTTCATCCCCATTCATGTAGTTGTTGGTAAGCTAAGGTTGTCTTATAAAGAGAGGAAAACGTCATGGTCTCATTTAAAAAATAACTCTCACTACATACATTGCAGTTTCTTTATTGCGCATATGTCACTTTCAGCTCAGTGTAGTTTTTTTTTCAATTTGTTTATGTTTTCTGTTAGATGCTGCCTGTTGGAGCCAGGCCCCGTGCAGACTAGTATTGTACCCAAAGCAAACGAATGGTGCGAAGCTGGGGCGGACTTGACGACCTTAGATCCAAAGACAAAGGATATAATGGCAACTGTATTCTCCAACGTACAAAGTACCTTCAACGCCGCTATGCAGAGTTGTGAAGAAGTTGCGCAAATTGTGCTTGAAATAATCTTAGGAGAAAAGACAAATTTGCGACATCAAACCAACGACAAATTTGGACCTGGTGAAATCCCTGCCAAATTAGCTGATCGCACAGGAAATACATCAGTTGATATTATATCAAAGCACTATTTGGGAAAATGAAATATCTGTTTTAAACAGAAATGGTTCTTAATAATAGAGCTCTTTATAGTAGCTGGCGTATGAAAATCAGCAGTTAATATTATGTATGACTTAAGATAAATCAATGTTACTCTTTCATAAAGTTTGACCCCAGATATAATAAAAGAGAAAATGTCTAGTCATTGGTGTATGAATTATCGTCATTTACGTGACTTCAGAGGGTACCATATGATAACAGCAGAAAAATATATTTGCTGTTGACCTTTTAACTCCCAAGAGTTAATTAATAATTCTCCCTACTTAGTGTCATACTTTTCCTTGTAAATTAGAGAGGAGATTTTGGTCTTATTCCTGAATAACTCCCTCTGGCTGATAAACGCATTTGCTCTCATAACCTGTTAACAAGATAACTTATTGGAATTGCAAGGAGAAGTTACATGTTAATCACTTCTAGGAGTGTAAGGGTTCATTAATCGTTTACTCCATCCTTCATTGCCAATAAGACTTGTCGGTCTTTCACTTTCAAAAATAATTTTATTGATTCTTTAAGAATCATTATATTTACCTGTCATGCTAATTTTTAATATACTTTCTCAGCTTCTACAACATGATTTGACGTATTCTTCCAATATATTTTCATCCGTTTCATTGTATAAGTGGCAAAGACACAATTGACGTCATGATGGACACCGTTAAGCTGATACAACACTTTTTGATATCAACCATCACAAGAAGTGATTGAAAAAGCGAAGCCATCATGATCAGTCAAAAAGAAAGCATCAAAATATGCAGAATCATTCTGATGTGTGTAGCCCGGAGAATGATATAGCTCCTTAATTTACATAAAAGCTGTAGTAAAAATAACTTCACATGAGACAGCAGGTATCTTACGTACTACAAATTAGGTATTACCCATTTTAAACGTTCAATAGATGTTCTCTAAATTACATTGTAATTTACCGGCCCATTTTGAGCAAGTGACAAGTATTCCGTGATCCAAAGTGAATAAAAATAATCGCTGATCCGTTATGGTTCATGTAATGAGTGCGCCAAACGGATCTAACTATATATATTTTGCATTCTCCAACAAACTGCAGTTAAATTGCAGGGCCGATAATAAACAAAATTGTTGTTCTTTAACCGCGTAAGCGAAGTAAAGAGGCAACGAACAATTTCACTTTACAGCCATGTGGTTTTATTGCTTACTGGTCGCATGAGTACTTGATTTACGTAATCGCGTGCCTGTTCATTGTGTTTACGGAAATGACTCACTAAATATGCCATAATGACGCAGCTTAAAAAACTCATTTAAAGGTGGGCCCTGCAAGTACAGCTATCATCTGCAGTTGAAAAGCAAAACTGACCACAGAGTACTACTAAAAATAAATCATGGCTTCTCCCCAAATCGTGTTGATTTCTGGCTGTTCTAGTGGCATTGGACTCGCTACAGCAGTGTTTCTCGCCAAAGATGCCGAGAAACGCTTCAAGGTTTATGCCACCATGAGAAATCTGGCGAAGAAAGGACAATTGGAGGAAGAAGGACAAGAATATCTTGGAGACACACTGGTCATTAAACAGATGGATGTATGCAGTGACGAGTCAGTGCAGAAAGCTGTGAAGGAAGTGTTGGACACAGAGGGAAGAATTGATGTATTGTGTAAGTTCTACTGCTCTGATTTTCTTGAAATATGAATCATAAGGGGAGAATTTTTTTTGCGCGTCTTTGGAAAAAAGATACTCTCCTGAATTGGAATATCAGTCACTATAGAACAGAAATAAAAATAACTTTTTTTTAACCGATACTCGCAAATTTGTGAGGCTAATGGGCTTGGGGAAGATATTTTTGGACGCGATTGAAATAAAAGCATGTAATTGAAAAGTTCCGCCACCAGTGAAACTATGAATTAATTGAGAACCCCACCTCAATCCATTTGCTAATTTTTTTCTTTTTAAATTTACAGTTAACAACGCTGGTACTCTTGTTATGTCAGCGCTGGAATGTGTCCCCATCAAAGTCACCAAGGAGCTATTTGAAGTCAACGTCTTCGGGGCACTGAGATTAATCCAGGCCGTGCTGCCGAGCATGAAAGCGAGGGAGAGTGGGCTAATCATTAATAACAGCAGCCATCACGGTGTTGTTGGAGTTCCTTTCGTGGAAATTTACAGCTCGTCAAAGTTTGCTGTAGAAGGTCTGACAGAGAGTATGGCTCCACTACTCCGTCAGTTTAACATAAGGTAAGACGCTTTCTGCCCTCACAAGCGGGGTTAGCTTCTTTCGCCTCTCTTTCAAGACAGTCTTTGGAAACAACGCCGGCTTCTCCTCACTGAGAAGAGCGGCTGTTTACCAAGTCCACTCTTTGTGTCCCTTCCATGGAAATTGTAGGGTTCCGTGCGTCATGACCTCGAGCAAAATATCTTCCATCTGGCTTTCCTACCTAGTCAATAAGTACATATTTATATTCAGTTTTTATTATGAAATTTATGCTGATCTCCAGGTTTGAATCTGGAGAGCAAAGATCTAGATTACAATTTTCTTTAATTTAACCTATAAGTTTAATCTTAACACCAACCCATGTTTTGATTTCATGATTTCATATCTTAAATTCCTATCATTTCGATTGTTTATAGATGCTGTCTGCTGCAACCAGGCCCCGTTGAAACTCCTGTAAGGTCGAAAGCGAGCGACTGGAGTCAAGAGAGCGTGGACTTGACAACCTTGGACGCCAAGACGAAAAGTTTGATGGAAGCGGTTAATGAATATTTTGGCAAAATACTGGGTGAAACTATGCAGAGCAGTGAAGAAATTGCGCAAGTTGTGCAGGAAATCATATTAGGGCAGAAAAAAAGCCTGCGACTACAAACCAATGTAAAATACGGCCCCGGTGAAGTTGCTGCCAAATTAGCTGATCCTACGGGGGACGCATTGATCAGTATTGTGGCTAAACGTTATTTTAATGAATAAGTTTGCTGTTATTTGTCTAACTGTACCTCGTCAGGAATCTTCATGTTGCTTTAATAAGCCTTCAAATCAAAAATCTTAAATTAACCTTGGGTGAAGCATGCTTAAATATGAAAATCTCGACATTCTGAAAATTAATCATGACAATAATAAAATGTAGCAAAAGAAACGTATTATGTACGAATAGTTTGATGATTAGGGAAAGTAACTAAAATCATGGACAAGGTGAGAAGTTTGAACACTCGTGTTCAAATGTCCAAATGTCGTGATGCTTCTTAAAATACACCCAACCCCCCCTAACAGCCCCTCGTCCCCACCCATGGCCAATACTGGTCCTCTCTGTTTTACCGTCGCTTTAAAAAACTCGATGACACCAGTGTTGTAACAGTCTAACAATCCAGTCCTTTTCAAATAGATCACAGTTGAATATACTAATTTGGAAAGAGTGAATCAATAAGTAAACCCTCTCAATAACTTCTACAATTGCCTCAGGCGTTGCAGCCATGACATCGTCTGAAAAGCTAAATCAAATTGTCCCTTTAAGGACCTCCTGGATGGCGCAAATTAACAGCTGGCTACCACAATGCAAGAATGTACCAATAAACTCATTCAGATGTATCTTTGGTTCAAATTAAGTTTCTTCTGAATTTGTCTAAAGCTACCTATCTAGATTATTCATTATAAATTTTAAGTCTAACTAAGCCATATCAAGGAACGTTATTTAAATACCAAATGTGTAAACTACGTAACGTGACACGATCTTGAGCCATTTTACATATAAACCTGAGCATGAATTTGTCGTGGATATATGAGAAATCATTTTGTACTGCGCTATCATGCTCATCGAAATAATGATCACGAGAGAGGCACAGTGCTATGGTCAGGCGATTCTTAAGCATACTGATTAGTAAGATTCAACATAAGTTCGAATTAAAAGCAGCCAAGATGTTAGTGGAGCGAGCAAGCATCGTAATTAAATTTCTTTACAAGGCACCTGGAGAAATATTTTAATTGTCTGTCACAGCAAGTCTCAGCATGAATTTGCGCCGAGAAGGCAATGTTTATTTTTCTTGGCGGGCAGAAGCTTTATATCGTTTTCTTTACGTGTTCAGACACACACACACACACAAAAAAAAATAAAATAAAAAATAAGAAAAATAACAAGGTTCTACCCTAAAGGGAAATAGACTAGAACCCAGGGTTTTTCCGTTGATCCCACATGTAGCCTCGTCTTTCTATACGAGAAAAAGAGAGGAAACCTAACATTGCAGTATCACAAGCCTGCACGACACGTGAAAATACACCAAGCTACCGAAAGAGAAAGAAAAACGAACAACTGAAGAATGACCGATGAGATCCCTATAAGTTACTTGTAATATGTACAGAAGGCGTGAACAGGGGAAACTGATATCCTCCAGCTGACAGTTCTTTTTCGGTGAGTAATACGCCGCGAAATGGTACGTATACACCTCCTACTGCTGCCGGGTATCGGTTTGTCAATTAAAGGGTTTTTTTGGCCTAACACAACCAAGACCTTATCAGTGCTTAGCGTTCCAGCCAACATTTGGCTGCTTAAGGTCTCTTCAATTTTTTGACGAGTTTACTTTAGTGACTGAATTATGGAGCTAAAAGGTATGTTGAAGTCTGGAAACAGAGCCTTGTTTTTGTAATCATGCTTCGAAAAATAGTTGTGCGTTCTTCGTATTTCGCCTCGGTCAGGTTTGTTACAAAGTTCTAGGACTCAAGTAGTTCTAAGGCGCGCACTTTCCGAAGTGTTTCGCTTCTAGATCGCATTTCCTTGTGGCGAAAAGATATTTACAAACCCTATAAGGTTAATATTTACTTTCGTGCTACGCAGACCCATTTCTGTCAATTACTAGATGCATGAAATGACATGAAAAGGTTGTTAACAATTTGTTGTGAATACTCTGTATAATGACTGGTCATTGCACGCAAAGCCTAAAAGTCAGCTCGTTGTTTAATTTTCTCTTAGATGACAACCCAGTACAACCTTACATCGATGGCAAGAAACCTTATCAATTCCAAACTTAAGCAAAGTGGTCGTCTTGATAAAATGGGTTTATAACTGACATCACACATCTCTTTATCTGAGTGCGAAGAATTTTGGTGATGCATTAAACAATTCACATCTCCAGCCGGAGAACATTTATACTTACTTACCTATGAATTTCCCTATTTTTATCGTTTGAGTATTGCATTTATCTATGTATAGTCATTCCTTTTTTTTTTGTATCGGTTAGGAATGAACATATGGCTCCCTATTTTGGTTTTGTTTTGGACCGGAAGCACAGGGTACTCATACTCGGCGCACGAAGGTATTTTTTTAGTTTCAATTTTCTGATGAAGCCATCAGAAATTACCAAAATTCTCAACATAATGGATTTTTTTCCTCTCAGCATGGCACAGCGAGTCAATGAGAGACAATATCGATGACAATTTCGATATTGTGTTTCCTGAAAGAATCAACAAGGGACGCACAAAGAGAGATCTTTCTACAGGATCAAAGGTATTTGATCCTTTAGTATCAGTGAGAACTATAAACGTGCTCAATTTGCAATAAAGTATTATTTTACAAGTCTCTGTTATCTCTGCCTCTAAAGTTATGTTTTGACGCCTGATTTTTTTTTTCGTATCACAGTAAGCGTTAGTCTCCTTCACAGGCGTTATTTGGGATGTCACGTGATGAGAAAAGCGTCGCGCGACTTCCCAAAGGAGGTTAGGTGCGCGCGCGTGCGCAAAAAGGAGAGTTTACAACCCTGCTGTACACAAGCCCCCAGCCAGATGCTACTCCAAAAATATAGCCGGTTCAATCTGCCAATTAGAGTCATATGCCTTGCTTACCCTGTTCAGTGTTTAGTTCTTTCAGTCATTATAAGAGACTTTTCCAATCAGATATGTGCTCTCCAATTGCCATATCTAAAACTCCTTCCGCTGCCACGAAGTACTTTTGAGTGCAGTTTCCCATGACTGAGAATTTTTCATATTTCAGTGAAGAGATACTAAGAGATACCAACTGGCTGGGACGCCAACTGTTCCTCTTTGACAACAATGATTATAAAAAATTGATGTGTGTCATACTACTTTGAATTCGTGACAGAATGGCCATGACGAGGAAGGCGACATTTAAACTGAGAGCTTTCGGTAAAGATGTTGTGGTGGAAGTTCATCTTAACAAGTAAGTGCCGAGGAGACTGTAACTTCACATGGCGCTGGTTGGCTAAGTAAGCCCCACGTGAACTGAGCGTGGTCGGTCTTTCACGATTGACCATAACACTCCCTTATTGCTGATATTACAGCTTTTATTACAGCTTCCAACCCTTTACGCCATGACGTTAGTATTTATATTCTCCATTCTTATCCCTTTACATTTCCTGTGGCAATAACAAGGAGAATTTGTTTGACAATCAGCAGCTTCTTAAATTGGTGATTATTTCCATTATCTCCATGACTTTTACATTTGATTCAAGGGTGCATGATACTGTGATGAGAGACTGGAAGCCAATCAATCTTTAGGGTGAAAGAATAACGATTTACACCATTAGTATGATAAGTGATTGTGCAATGATGTTTTTCCGAATAGGTCCACTTTTATGATAAATTATGTTTTTGTTCTCCACCAGGATAGTTTCTTCACCACAGTTTACTCTTCGTTATTTTAAAGAAAACGGCCAGTTGGTTCATAGAAAGGTAACACACCAAACAGAAATTACCCTTACCAGCTCTTATTCATCGCATTTTGCTACAGAAGGCCAATCAGAAGGGAGGAAAGGCAATATCTTACTACTTGTGAGGGTCTTTTGGGTTAAACAAGTTAAGCTGCAGTCTGATATTACTACCCACGTTTCTTGCTTTAATGTTAGGAGGCACCGCCTAACTGCCAATATCAAGGTCACCTGAAAGGTCATGAGGCGCAGTCAACGGTCATCCTTGATACTTGTCATGGATTGAGGTGACTCTTTATCATGTGGCGTAATTTGTCTATGTGCAAGAAAATTTCATATACTTCTAAAACGCACATAACAGTACAACTTTCAAAAATTTCATTGACGATTTTTTCGTTAGTTCTTTTATAATTGTTCACGTTCCTCAAGGGATGCAATATTAACCACGTTTTCCCTTTTTCAGTGGCTTGATTGAAGACGAGGAGAGTAGAATGTACATAGAACCATACCCAGAAAAGGTTTGCGAAGAATTTTATAACCTGGAAACAGTTAGCCTAGGATTTTGTCATTAAAAATAATCTTTTCATCCTTCCATCGCAATATTACAGGGAGAAGGAGCGCACAAGATATTCAAGACGAAAGACGGAAAGAAGAAAATATTTCTATGTGGTACGTTGGCACCTTTACAAAGCTCCAAGCTTATAGCACCCGAATTTGTGCCCCCTCTTCAATGAAGGCTTAGTGAATGCACACAATTGGGATAATCATATTATTCAAGACATTTCATGGGCATGGTCAGGATTTCTGGTTTTTAAACAACAGGGTCCTACAGCAATGTCTTATTAGAATTTAGGAGCATACAGGTTTTTTCAATTTTATGGATTGTTACTATTTATCTGTGTCAAACCAGAAAGGGGGTAAAAACCAACTTAGCACTAAAATAATCACGGCCCCGCACTACTTCTTTTTTGTGACGTCCTCAGGGTTTGCTATCCTTGTACGCGTCCTAAGGGTTTGCTATCCTCTCTGTAATCTCGTACCCAGATCCTACCGTTTAACTGTAACTAAAATGTAGGGACCTTGACACCGCTTCTCCGTGGAAGGTCTGGGTATGAGACTATCCTTTCTGAATACCGCTAGGATGAAGCCATCGGATTCATTTAAGTGGAGTTGTGTTTCGTATTATTATAGAATAATAAACTGAAACATCCATTTTGATTTTTGAAGGAACCAGTTTGAATGGGAATACCACAGCAGATGGATTGAGCAATTCATTAACAAAATCTAGGGTAAATCAATAGAACAACACTACGAGTTTATCATACTAAGTGCGATAGTTTTAAAAATCTGGTCTTTTCCATTATTCCACTTTCTAACTTTAAAACAACGCTATACATGCTATGGCTGATCAGCTTAGAGTGCAGTGGATTGGGATAAGAAGGCAGGATATGCGCATATTACCTTTTGTATTTATTTTGTAATCCTTTGATATTCGACTGATCATTTGAGAGAGAGATTTAAAAGGGGCTCAGAACAGGGCCAAACTATTCACAAGTTGATGTTATATAAAATAAATGGAACTGAAAAGTGAATTGCAATGAATCATATCAGGAACAATGCGTGCTCCGCTGCCTTAAATGAAACGTCTTAAATTATTATCTGACGACCTTTCAGTGACTATATAAAGAAAACTATATTAGAATTAGCGGACTGATTTTCTAACTTAAATAAGGGACAATATATGTTACCTTCTACAGAAGACTTATGATTATTTTCAGATTAAACGGGAAGCTGAAGAGTCAGTGTATAAGAAGTACTTGACAACAACGAAAACTCGCTATACGGAGTTAATGATCATTGTTGACAATGCTGTGGTAAGCTTTTTGTGGTTTAAATACTACAATTTTATCAAAGTAAAATTTATTTTAAAAATTACTAGAACTTTTATTTCCTTTCACCCACATGATCTGTCGTAGGAAAAAGAGTAAGATGTCATATTTCTTTTGTTGTTGTTGTTGCAGTACAAGAAATACAAGCAAGACATTAACGACGTGAAACGAAGAGTTTTTACACTAGTAAATGCTGTCGACACGGTAAATTGATCAAAGGAGTTGGTTATAATGTCATTGACTCTTTTCAAGAAGTTCGAGGCTCCATTGACGGAAGTCAGACGTTCAACGGGCAGAATGATCTATAAAATTTTTGTGTTGAAAAAATTCATTATCTATGAAGTTTGTACAACTTTTAAGCACAGATTTATTGCTTCTTCACATCATTGTTACAGATTTATCGAAAGATCAACATTCGAGTTGTTTTATCAGCGCTCGAAATCTGGACAGACGAGGATCACGTCCCTTTTGTTAAGAGAGCCGGCGATGATTTAAGAAACTTTGGGAGTCATCACTCCAGCAGAGAAGCCGGAGTCACCTACGACAGTATACACCTGTTGAGGTACTGAACCCGCGAGGCCGAATGAAACGTGCTAAGATTTAGCTCGTCAATCTGACAGATTAGTTTATAAAGTATTAGAAGGCTTGTTTGAGGTACTTAGTCACAGGTGAGAGTAAACGGATAGACAAAAAGGCAGACTGATAGACTGACAGAGATAAACAGAGAGAACTTAAAATGTGAATAGTTGTTAAGAGAAGAGTCGAGTTTACAAGTCTTGCACAAGACAAATGATAACATTTTTTACTCTACTACTGAAGTCTGACTTTACAACTGTTCTTATTCTAAGGGCTCAGTTAGAGAGTAGACATTACCAGAAGAAAACTGTACCAGAGAACAAAGCATTTTCATGCCTGTGATCGATATTAATTAATCCTTTTGCGGAATGACCGCATATCCTCATCACCAAAGATGTAAATCACACAACAACTTTGTTGTAAAAGTGTTTGAAATCAGGGACCCGTAATCACGTTACGGAGTAATTAAATATCTTGTTCCACTATTTTAAACAGGGGTGTAATGTGGGACGATTATGGTGGAATGGCATACAGAGGAGAGATTTGTACCAGACGATCGCTGGGCGTTGATGCGGTAAGTCTGTAGTCGTGAGGCATAATCGCTTGCATAATCATTCTGTCAAGACTTCTTCCTTGTAAGCGAATACAGGCGTAAGTCCTTTTTCTCAGTTTGACCAAATGTAAAGCTGCACGGCTTTTTCTTTCAATCACTAAGTAGCTTAGAACACTGCACCTGTAACTATATGCAAATTGTTCTCGTTATGAAAATACTCTGGGCGTTTACAAAAACCTCAAGAGACTTTTACTGAACGACGTTTAGCTGGCGAATGCGCAAGCGAGGACTATCCATTGTTTTCACCGTACTGTTGGCGCGTTCTTCAGACCAAGAAAACTCTTTTCTGGAGGGAAGCATCTCCGTTACTTTGCTCAATCCTTACAGTTGTTATGTCGTTATTCTTTTTGCAGTGGAACTACTGGGGTTCCCTTGGTCCTTGGTTAGCATTATCTCATGAACTTGGACACAACTTTAACTTTGACCACGATAACAGTATGTGAATATTTCTGTGTACAGTAGTTGCTTCTTCAACAATGCTACATTTACAAATCGAGACAGCGCAGATATTCAGTCGTATTTTATCACATGAGAGAAAAAGGTTCGGGGAGAACAGAGAAGGGATTAGTCGTCGCTAACAGAGTATAAAGGGGGGGGGAACTATAGAGAACTGACTGAAATGAGCGGGGATCATTAGAATCCTAGAGAGCCTTAGGGGGTATCAGGTAAATTTATTGTGACAACTCCAAAATTCTCCGAATCCCCCTCCCCCTCAGGCGATGAATAATGTCAGGTCTCTAAGATTTCTTTTTTCGTTATTTAAGTTTGGTCTTGTAAGTGCCTTTCACCTCGTGGATGCGTTATGGGTTCCTTCAAGTAAGTCTCCACTATTGTTCATTCGATGACTCATATTCAGTTTCTTCTAATCTGTTTGATTTCATTCTTTTTCCTCTGAAAAAATTAATTAGTCTTCTTTCTTTATTTTATCGTACAGGACCCGAGTTCCTGGTTTCTCCGACTGTAACTTGCTTAACATGACAAAGATTGACGACAGCTGTCTTTACAATCTTCCAAAAAAGGTTCTCATGTGGTGCAACGTATTGAACAACTGAACACCGATGACGTAACTATCTAATAGCCAATAATGTCTTTGCATTACAGGCAGAGAACTCTAGATGCGGAAATGGTATTCCAGAGCCTGGAGAGCAATGTGATTGTGGTACACCAGAGGTAAACAGTGAAAAAATACGAGTAGCTCCCAAAGAACTTGATTTAGGATGAAAAACTGAAGAATGTACTCTCGAAAGTAATAAAAATTGCTTAACAATTTAACTACCATGAGTGACCAAGATATAATTTCTCCTTGCAATACCAATACAAAATCAAGCAGAGAAGTGACGGGAATAAGAAAATATCAATTAGGAGATTACTAGTAGATCCAATACCAAATTCTCCAAACTAACGTGATAAGAATTGCATAGTAGACATTAAAGAGAATTATAAATGAGATCTCGGGAGAGAAAGGTTGAAAGATCAAATGAAGCGTTGCCTTGGCCCTTTGTCGAGATCTACGCTAGTTTGAGACTAGAATCAGAAGAGGAACATATCAGATACCTTTATCGTGATTCTATCGGGTCGATTGGAATGCGGGGTAAAAAGAGCGCCGTAATAACATCTGACTTTTTCACTCTCCCCTTATTCTACAGGAATGTAGGGTACGAGATCCCTGCTGTCAGCCAAATGACTGCCGCTTGAAGAAATCCTCCCAATGTAGTGACGCGCAGAACAAATGTTGCCGGAAGTGTCAAGTAAGAGATAAACTGGGGTCATTGACTTTCATTGCTATTAGCCCACTGTTACAGGAAGAAGTAGCACAAGATAATGCCTGAAACGAAGAACTTATATGAAAATGATCAATTGATATCAAATCGGAACGTCAACATCAAAAGTACTTAAATTAGTGTGTTGTATTAAGTTAACTCAAAACGCAAATTGTTCGAGAAACGATTACATGTTACATGTCTTACATGTTCTAAATGGCCCCTTTTTTTATTCTTTCACCAAGTTTTCCCCACTTGGAACGCTGTGCCGTAAAAGCATAGGATGTGGCAGAAGTTTGTTCCGGAAAGTCTGCTCAGGTGTGTACACCTAATGATCGCTCACCCTGCGTCTGGAATTGCGAATAAAAATCAATCTACTAGGTCTAGTGGTGCGTTAATACTTTAGGTAGCTGTAGTGTAACATGTGGAGAGAAGAGGCATTTGCTCCACAGAAATAGCGAGGGAACACCATGTTTGGGTGCGCACTTGTCGTAATTGAAGGGGTGAACACGTTGAGAGAGGGGCGAGTTTGTAGCGGGCAAAATTACAATGGAGCGAAACCTGCCAATACCTTGAAAATAAAAGAAATTAGAAGTTCAGATTCAAGTATCAATAGTGTTAGGGTCAGAATGGGTCTTTCGGTTGACTTGGGTGGGTTTTAGAAAGACATCATGAAAAGAAGTTCGTGACACCTCAATTTCGTCTTCAATAAAATTAACTGACTTATTATGTTCTTAGTGTCCTCTAGATGACCATGTCAAAGACGGAAGCTTATGTGCTGGGATGGGAAAGGTACCTTGGTACTCATATTGGTTATTTTTTAGTACATTAATTCGTGTGAGACAGGGATGTAATATAGAATTTCCACAGAGCCGACAAAATAAAACAAACAAAACTAAAAACAGTATGTAATACACACAATCCGCTCTGTGATAGGTTTCATCTTAACATTCAACACTCAATCGAGAAGGTCCCATGAGTGATCCAGATATTTTTCGAGCCGCATCAAACTATCATGTGGTCCACTCTAAGGATTATCAATTTCCCTTAGTTAAATTTTATGCATAGAAGAAACAAATAGAAGCATGTCACAGTAGTGCTATTTAATTGAGCAAAGTTACTTGTCAGCTCGATCACACGTAGACTCCGGAACTACTAATTAATGGCTTCGTCAGTTATTTCCAAATTGGCAGTTTTTCCCCGCTGTTTGTTTAGGGGTTTAATCGATGAATTAAGTTAATTCCTCTCAGTCATAAAGACCCTGCATTTTAGTTTGTGGTGAAAATGAAAAGTAGAGGAAACGTTTTATCACATTCTTTCGCAGTCATTTTGTTATCATGGAAAATGTGCAGCATCAGGGGATTTTCAATGCCGAGCTCTTTGGGGAGCAGGTATGAGCGTGCCATTAATTGAAAGAAATAATATTGCATATTACTTTGTGAATGAATGTTTCATATTTTGATTGATGCCCATAATTTATTTCTTACTGCATGCATTTGTTTTAATAGGTGCTTCAAGTGCTCCCCGCGCCTGTTATGAAAAACTAAATATTGAGGCGCAAGGCTTTGGAACTTGCAGTGGGCAGACAAATCTTCCTTGTGCAAGAGAGTGAGTAGATAACAGTGCTTGCTTAATCCATCAGGTTAGGCTCTAAATTGAGTGAAAGCACCATACTATAGAGACAACATAAGGCAACGGTCCGTGGTGCCTTTCAGAAAGACGAGGAAAAGGTAGTAGTGGTGAGATTTATCAACATCATCGAAACCAACCTTCCTTTTGCGAATCTACAGGCATGCTGTATGTGGTCAGCTGCAGTGCTCTTCGCCAAGAGATCGGCCAGTGGTGGATTATGGGAGTTACTATGAATTAAAAGTTCTGCCCACAGGAGAGAAATGCAGGTGAAACAATCATAGAAATTATTGCATGGGTGCTATTAACAGAGTTTCTTCTCCCAAGAAAATTTTCCAAACCATACATTTTACTTTTCGGCTCAATTTTTAATTGCAGGGCGGCTATTCGTAAGGGAGGAAATGCGAAGGAGTTTGATGGAATGGTCAAAGATGGAACAGTGTGTGGTAACAACAAGGTAATACATGTGTTTGACTGACCCATCGAGTGACCTTAAGAATACAAAGATAGGCTAGGAGGCATTAACGAGTGCTGTATTGGAGTTAAGATTTTGAACAATTTTTTGGCATTATTAGTTAAACACGAAGTTGACTCCATTTTAATTACTATTACTTTGCATCTACCGCAGATTTGTGTTAAAAATCGATGCACCCATGTTGGTCGACTGATTTCAACGACGTGTCCAAGAGCAGGTGATGGCAAGCAATGCGCGGGCAAAGGGGTAAGGAAACGATATTCCATATTTCAATTGTGATTGGTTGAAAGACATGTGACACGAACTTGGGCAAACATAGAAGATAAAGGAATAGCATTGGGTAAAATAATTGTTCTATTCTGGTCTTAGTCCATGGAGCTCAACCGAATGGATTGAAAGTCGTTTCTGATATATCGTGAGATAATTCCTATATCTATCGTTCAAGGACAGTAGCTCAGGTTATCTCGTACAAATGGTTGTATACTTCGCAGAACTGCAACAATTTCAAGTTTCAATAATGTCCAAATTCTACCAGAGCCTTGCGTCAGATAAGATATATTCACTGTAAAACAAAACGTTCACCGATATTTCCAGTCATTGATATGAAAAATATAACATCGATTGCTTCTCTAAATATGTTAAAAGCATATTTTTTTTTCGTCAGATATGCACGAATAAGGGAAAATGTCACTGTCTGGGAAATTTAGATCCGGATACGGCCTGCACAATAGGTAATACACTGTCAAGTAACATGTGGTGCTCAATTTTTCACTTCTCTCGACAAAAATTTTAGGGTTGAAAATACATTTAACTTTGAACCGTTCGTAACATTCACATCATAGTATCTACTGACACTTAAAATAACCTTTTTGAAAGCAGCCAAACTAAAATGAAGGTATTTTAAATGTACTTTAGCGAAACAAGTGCGCCATGGCCGCTGGGGTGCATGGTCTAAATGGAGCCCATGCTCAAAAGTTTGTGGAGGAGGAATGAAGACAAGGTATCGCTTCTGTGACAGCCCAGCTCCAGCACATGGAGGAAGAGACTGTGGTAGAAAAAGGACAGAAAAATCGTCCTGTAACACCGACAATTGTCCAGGTAGTGTACCACGAAACAAGATTGATTCTTTTGATCACTCACAATCTGAGTCCTCCACCAGGACCCCTCGCAATTTTGCACCCTATCTTCATCATTCAGTCACATGGGGAGGGCGAGGCCAATCAAGATTCACATGTTCCCTAGCGTACTTCAACAGCCATAATCAGCAATGTTCGGCGAAAAGTTCCTTTGATAATAGTCTCGTAAAATGTCGCTATCTGCTAACTGAACAGTTGATCAGGACCAGTTATATGGAAAGCTTCTTGAACATTTGAACTTTTGTCGAGGGTTACCAAAATGGCGATTGGAGGGAAATTATTAAGTAAACTATATAGTCAAAGGTAATTTACGGAAAAGAACGGAGGAACTGATCTTTAGGAATCTACCATTAGGGGACAATTTCATTCAAAGGACACCAATTTTCGTGCCGAATGACAAAAATTTATATCTGTTACCATATTTAAAGACACAGTCTAAATAGGGGACACGTTCGATAACCCTGTGAGTATTCTTTTCATTTCTACAGTGGCACATTCTTGTCGTCATCTTTTGACTCTGGGAAAGCAAACTGGCGTCCAGTTCCCAGACGGAGTGTACACAATCAATCCTGACGGAAAGAGACCGGTGAAGACATACTGCGATATGACACGTGACGGTGGCGGCTGGACACTTTTGGTCACAAGCCACACAAACACGTGGACAGCTGATAACATCAAACAGAGAAATCCGAATAGGCCGACATTAAATGGAGATTTTTCCATTTTATACAAAGCAGACGACATCAAAAACAGTTTAAATGTTGCCGGGGAATGGTTCGAGTATCGAATTGAAGGCCACGAAAGGGGTAAGCTATACACTAGAGGAGACTTGTGAGATAGAGCTTGTTGTACGGAGCGTTTTTAGATTGTGTGAAGCATCAAAACTCATAGGTAAGAGCATGACGCGACGTTTGCACGCCAATCACACAACACAGTTAAGCAAAACTAAACAGTTCTGGGTTACTTCAAAACAGCACTTGACATATCTGTCTCTGTTGATGGATATTAATCACAACGAAAAATAAATAGAAAAGAGTACAGTATTATAAAGGCAGCGCTGGAACAATAACGGGAAACGACTGAGCAGTTAAAAGCTATCCAAGCAAAAAAATCACTGAAGTTCATCTTCAGAGTACTTGGCCTGAAAAGACAGATGCAAGATTTATTCCACCTGTTATTTGTTCCAAAAAGCATGTTTAATAGAGCGTTACGGAAGTGGTGCTGATGAAAATTGAAAGACGCACCTTCACTTAAAAGCAGGCTCTATGTGACAGCCTCTAATAATCATTCCTTTTCAAGGTCGCTGGGGTGGAATCTGGCGCGCTCCACGTGAGTACACTTTTGTTGCTACGGACAACAAGCAGACGTTTGTCGAGTTGGTGAAGAAATTCGACAATTGGAAATACGACGATTATGGAGTGGAGAAAAGAATGCCTTGGATTTCTGGTCCTAAGTTAACGACTTCTTGGAATGCCACTGCCTTTCACCCTTTACACCCTAACATCAATAGGTATATTCTCCATACTCTTCTCTTTACATTTCCTAAGGTGCTGACAAGGAGAATTTGTTAAATAATCAAGAGCTTTGTTAGTTGTTGATCATTTCCTTCATTCTCGTGACCTTAATGCACGATTCGGGGATATATTATAAGGAGAAAATAGATACTAATCACTCTTGGGATCAAAGGGTTAACCCAAACCTGGCTAAACTGAATTGATTTGACAGTGAAGGGGTCGCTTTAGAAAAGAGTCTTCAGCTTTAAAAAGTGTGGGGCTGTGCGATAGGACTTGGCCATTGGGGAGAGATGGTCGCTGAGTAGTTTTGAGAGAAGATTTGACTGTAATAGATGAACTAATTTGAAATAAGTTTTATTGGGAAATGTATTTTTTCCAATAGATTAAAAATCGACCAATTGACACCAAAGGAAGGCCTTTGAACAGATATCAGGTTGGGACGGGATTTAACAAAACATGCTGTGTTCAACCTCGGTTGAACTCCGCCATCATTGCGAACTTACGAAAAAGACATTGATTTCTACTGTATACAAATTTCTTTAACACAAAAAGTTTCGTTCAGGTTTTTTGTCCAGCCACTAAGAACGAGTCTCGCTTTTCATACTACCAAGACACTGTTCCTTGCGAGTTTCTGTTCTTACCATTATAATTAAGAGTAGGGTCTATGCAAGGCAGGGGTGACCACGCCCTGAGGTAGCACAAAGACTACCCGCATACCTTAAATCAAGCAAACTTATTTTCCTTTTTTTTCTGCCGCAGCCAATTCTAAAATTTTCTTTCCGGCACCTTGGTTGGACGGCAAAGATCTTGAACAGCACCCAGTGAACATTTGGTACTGGGTCAGAGAACAGAGCTTTAGTCCTCCGAGGTCATGTGCTGAGATCCAGCTGAGAGGTTCATATAGTAAACCGTTGACAGGTAAAGACACTAAGTACGCAAATTGGTTTTTTGCTTTGTCGTCGTCACTCTTGAGCTTTTTCTTGTCAGTCACAAGCGAGGCCAATCAAGATTCACATGTTCCTATCGTCCTTAAAATGTCGCTATCTGTTAACTGAACATTTGATCAGGACTAGTTTCGTGGAAAGCTTCTTGAATATTTGAACTTTTGACCAGGGTTACCAAATTGGCGATTGGAGGGAAATTATTTAGTAAACTATGTAGTCAAAGGTAATTTAGGGAAAAGAACGGAGGAACTGATCTTTAGAAATCTACTTTTATTGACAGGTAAAAAGATATATGCTAAGTGCGCAAATTTGTTTTTTCCTTTGTCGTCGTCACTCTTGAACTTATTCTTGCCCTCTTGTTGTCTTTCTTAACAAACAGATGGTTATGTCAAGGTTTAATTTTATCCAAAAGCGACTTTTTCATTTCGCTATAAATGACCTGATATGTTGTAGTTCCTATCTTAGTGACATAGCTCCTTCAATATCGGAGCGCATGCGTCAAAACCTTTTGTGCGAATGATGTGGCATGGTTTTGATCGAAAATTTATAAAAAATAATGGTCATCAAAGTCGTTAATGTGAGAAAACGAAACAAAACATTCTCAAAACAGACACGCAGAATGACAATTCTACCTAATGCACGGATGATTACCTCGTCCTTGTGGTTTTTTTCCTTTTTTTTTTTAGATGGTTTGTATACTATTAAGCCTGGTCATCGTCAAGTTCAGACCTTTTGTAAATTCAGTGACCATGGTGGGGCCTGGACTCTAGTATTGACAAGCGCAAGCGATAATGGATGGGCAAGAGATAACGTGAAGTCAAGAAATACCCACAATCCTTCGCTGTCCTCTGACTTCTCCCTATTAGGGATGGCAGACAACATTACGAAAATGAAACACTTTCAGGTGAGGACTTATCAACATGTTAACCAATTGACAACTCATAAATCCTCGAAGCGAAGTATTTTTCGGTACAAAGCAGAGAAGTGTTTCAATCTTGTTGTTATCAAACAAGGCTGTTGAATTTTGAAAGTTTTGTCTTCATAGTATTTGATGGAGGAAGATGGCGCCAAGACTTGGGAAGGAGTCTGGACAGGAAACGCTGGTTGCTCATTTACCTCTGGTCGATCAGACGGAGCATGCGTGAAATTAGTTCACGAGCAGGGACACTGGGATGCCAGTCAAGTACAGTCCACCAAGCGTCTGCCACGTCTAACAACTTCCGGTTATGCATTACTGACGAGTGCTGACGATCAGACAAATCTCAATGGTGCCATTGTGTTGGATGCAACACATGGTGTAAGTCGAGCGAGAACAGGCACGAAAAGACTCTGGGTGCGCGAGGGAACCTGGTAAGGAAAGTAGTGGGGGCTGGGTGAGGCCTCCAACCGTTCTTTTTCCTCGGACGGGTTTTTTATTCTTCTTCTTTAAACACAACTATCTTTGTTAGTTTTGAGTTACTTTATTGCCTCTACCAGAGAATTACTTTTGGAGAAAACAATTTGGAGGTCCAGTTGAAGTTGATGTTTGCCCTTTTAGACTTTGTGAACAGAATTATATGATGAAAGACTTTGTGATTCTTGAAAATATTACTTCATTCCATTTTTCCACCAAAAATTACTTCTTCCTTTCACCTTTGTTTCGAAATATTTCCCTGAATACGATCAACTGTGTTCGCAGGAGATCCTGCAATGAAATTAAAAGTGAAAACCGTGGAAACAAGGCAGCGGAAAAGGACGGACTTTACTTTATTCTAAGGAACTCCCATGAGTACTTGCCCGTTTATTGTGATATGACGTCAGAGCAAGGAGCTTACACTTTACTCGTCACCAGTGCTTCGAATGGTTGGAAAAAGAACGAAGTCAAACTCAAGAACCCCACGAGGCCTTTGTTATCAAGGGACTACTCCATACTTGAGTATGCTGATCAGATTAAGGCTTTAAGTGGCGCAAAAAGGTTTAAGTATCGTCTGGAGGCTAACGAGAGAAGACACTGGGGCGGAGTTTGGACGGCTCCAATGAGATACAGGTGGGCGATCATTTAACATAATTACTAAAGGGACATGACGGGTGACGTTCGATTCTCAATAACCGGATCAAGCTTGTGCTACCTTCCACAGAGAAGATATATACATATAAACAAGTAATATATAAAGGGGTAGATTTTTCTCTCCTTTCACAAGTCCTCATTAGGAATCGAAGCTAGGTTTGTATGTGACACGCGTCCTGCATACTATTTGGATCCGTATTGTCGAAAGCATCATGTACGCAAATAGAATAAGGAAGATGATAAATATTGAGCTTGGCAATGAAATTAAAAAACATGTTTTTCCGTCTTTCATTACCGTCATTAGGGCTCGGCTCAGCATTATTTATTGAGGGGATCAGCCGTCGCCAAAAGAGTAAGAACTGCCTAATGGGGGATCAGGAAAATTGTATTGTGACACAACCAATATCCGCCGACCCCTCAGGCGATAAATAATTACTGGTCCTTTACCGTCTTGTCAGTTTTATTTTATTTACCATCAGCTTTGTTAACGAAAATAACCAGCAGACAGACGTTGCTCTCGTGAAACGTTATAACGTTTGGAGATATAACTGGCAAGACTCACTTGAGAAGCGCATGCCATGGTTAGGAGCAAGATCAGGTTTATTAACAACTTCGACACACTCGGATTATTCTGAATGGGGAACGATCATCTCCGAAAAAACATCGAACAATCCTGCTCCTTGGATATACGGTGTAATGACGAACCCAGGCTTGATCTGGTATTGGATGAACGAGGGTAAAATTGACAAAAAGCCAACTCCAGGTTAGTATATTCAGATCATGAACATCGCATCAAAATTTGCGACAGATTGCCTGGAAATTATTCGGAAAATTAACCCTTTAACTCACAGAAGTGATTACCATATAACTTCTTCCCATAGTATCCATACATTACACAGCAAACAGGTAGTGAGAATACTCAAACTCATCAGATACAATTTATTACCTTGATTGCACCTAATTCTCGTGATCAATTTACAAGGAAATGTGTAGTAGCTAGAGGGGTAAATTGACAATCAGATCTTGAAGTTAAAGGCTAATAGTTGACAGTCTATTCTTTTTTCTAGGGAGAATCAACTTTAACTTGGAATCTGAGTTAATATTTTAATTCATCTCGAAATGAAACAAAACGATGTTTTTGCCCTGCAGCCTTGAGTCGGATCGTATTTCGACTCTTATCCAACCATGGACTTGGGGAAGGGGGGGTTGACTCGAATTACTTTAAATTGAAAAATGTTTCCATTCGATCCAAACACGAGCAAATCATTCAACAGATTGCCACTGGCTTGATTTTTCTTCCCTCATGAGAAGAGGGCAAGTTTAGTTTACCCTTTTAGGTCCAAGACCTCATTAGTAATTCTCCATACAATTCCTGTGATGTCCTTTTGGAGAATTTGGCGTTGGATCGACTAGTAATCCCCTGCATGATTGATATTTTTCTTCATTGTCATCACTTGTCTGCTTGGTATTTTTTTGATATTGTAGGAAGAAATTCTGTCTTGATCACGCATGCTTTTAAAGGGTTAAAACAGGTTTCACATGCGATGTTTCACTCCATTATCTTAAATTCTTTAAGAAGATAGAAAAATAAATATAAAATAAAGATAAAAAGATAAATTGTTAAACCATTATTGCATGGCCACCATCCAGCTGGAAAATAAATTTCGGCTTTTGTTTAGTTTCTCTTGCAGAAAGTCCGATTAGAGCCTACGGTGGTTTTTGTCTTCAGCCTGAGAGTAAGGACTGCAGTCCGGCGGACAATACCAGACTAGTTTATATAAAGGATACGCCAGAATGTTCAAAGGATTACATGATGTTCACCCATCACAATGATATTCTTACTCATAAATGTAGTGGAAAGAAAGTTTGTCCTTTAGGTACGTTTAATTTGTTGGTATTTTAGCGCGAAAATTTATACAACGTCAAAAAAAGTTCAAAACTTCACTTGATTAAAAGACGGCAGAGTGCATTAATACTACCAAGCATTTTAATCTCCTCATCTTGAGAATTAAAATGCACAAGTCGTATCGCAGATCGGTAAAAAATAAATGACTGTTTACCAATGCACCCGAGTTTTTTACTTTCTTGCCATCTCATTGTGTGAGGTCCTTACACTTTAGGACAAAAAAAAACCAGCGTCAAATTGAACTTTCTCTTTGCTTAACAGGAACAGTGACCTGGCAAACATCGCTGGTCTTATCAAGCACGTGCCAATCAGATGCGTCCAAATTCCAAAGGTCAGTAACTCAACCCCATACTACACTGTGCATTCGGAAATTTCGAATTTCATCTTTTTATAATACTTTATCAGCTCAACTTAAATCACTTGTTAGGACTGTTTATACAACTCTGAGACATACAGCATCCGGATTCTGTGTGCATCCCTTATCCGGGACACCAATCAGCAGTACGACAGCTATAATGTGGAAAGATGATTGCAGTGAAGATAGACTTCGACTTGACTTCCTCAAGTTACAAGGTTGGTAAACCTATGCAAAAATTATTTGTCCCTTAATGAAGCGTTGAAGAAAGTGTAGCGGGGCTTTTCTTTTGTTGTTTAAGTTGACCGATTTGAATGGTTGATAATGTGAGGGCGTCTCCTTAATCAATGTAAAAGGAGACCTTAAAAACCTAAATAGAAAAGGTTTATCTCAAAAGGACTTTTTTGAAAGAGCCTTTTATATTAAGCTTTTGCTCTGTAGTTTTTGACAGTCCAATACAAGCACCTGGGGGGTTCTGCCTTCAACCAGAAAGTGCCAGCTGTAATCCTGCGGACAACAGTCCACTTGTCTATCACCAATCCTCTCGATGCGACAAATATTACATGTACTTCACTTACAAAGATGAAGTCCCTATGCATACTTGCAGTGGGAAGAGAGTCTGTCCCGAGGGTAAGTTTGGTATTTTAAGGAAATCAAGGACATGATAGGGCAGTAGTAATAGCACTTTTATCCATCGCAGGGGCCTGGGTTCGATTCCTGAACTTAGCGTGTGTTGAATTTATCGTTAATTTGCATCTTTTTTCCGAAGGTATTTGTCTGGGGTTTCGGCTTTAAATCCCTCCACAGAGACAAATACTAATTAGGGTTTGTATTGTGTAGAGCATTCTGAATAGCCACCTTAAAGTTGATGCTTGAGTTTTTCGACCGTCCGAAATATCACTCAACACCGCCCGGGAAAGGTAAAAGGGTTCAGGTGTTGGAAAATCTTGGAGAAAAATAAATCTAATCCACTGTAAAACCAGACAGCTCAAAACGTTAAACAATTTTTTTAAAGTTTACCCCCGGACGCAAGATCCGCCCGCGTGACTGGAAGGACTGTTTCTTCGAATTTTAGTTTTAATGGTGAACGAAAATAATCAGAACTACAAACGATACTATTGTTACGATTGCAGGAAGAGGAGTTACAGCGGATATGCGTCTGGTTCTCTCCAGTACCTGTGATTTAAATGTGTCAAAATTTCAAAGGTACAGAGAGCGAAATTAAAAGTAAAACTTTTAACCACTCGGGTCGCATTAACCTTAAGTATCATTACTGCAGTGAATGGAACATTTTTTTTTTCTGAGAGGTGATGCAAGAAACTTTCAATGAGCTAGTGCATTAAAGAGGCTTTTCAGTTGCCTTTACAGGGCAAAAGAGTATATTTCCAATAATCTGTGGTAGAAAACAGATATGTCATTCTTTCGTTAACACATGTACATATCTACTGTTGTTGTTATTGTATGTTTGTTGTTATTTTTTTTGGCGGGGGGGAGGATAATTAGTTTTGAGCCCTCTTAAAATTCTTTTCTGTCAATTCTTTCATCCCATTCCCTAATGACGTTTCGCCTGTTCCATGCAGGTTAGAGGTCGCCTTTGAAGGAAGTATAGTCAATTCATAATATGTTATATCGTTTTCTATATACAGGACCCCTCACAAAACATTGAAACATAAGGCCTCGGGCTTTTGCGTCCATCCATACAGAGGTCAACCCATGGAGGGAGTCCCTGCTGTTTTTTGGAAAGACGATTGTAACGAACAGAGGCTCATACTGGATCTTTATAAGCTCAGGGGTTGGTATAGTCTGAGGACAAGACTTGTTATTGATATCCATTTGTTTTTTATTGGATCTCTTTATCATTTTTCTGTTAAGAGACGAATGCAATGAATAACAATTTGATTGGAAAACGCGTGCACATGAATTTAAGGCTGTCGCTACCTTCCTCTGAACGGACCGGTTACAGATTCATTCGCATATTAAGCTAAATCCGTTCTTTGAATTGACTTAGAAATCATTTAACTTGCATCGCTAGATTTGCTATCACCTTCGTTTATCAAGATACCATGATTTACAACAGAGGCACAATTTTACACTGATTTCCTTTCTTTTAAAACTTTTGCTTTGTTTTGCCTCCTGCGTGCGTTAAGGTACAATTTTCAATAAATTAATACACTGAGAAATCAAATTGTTAAACACATGATACAAATGCATTAAGTCACACTTATTTTGTCTCCCTTGCTTTAGTTATTTATTAATGATAATAAGTGTATTTTTGTTTCAGGTCCTGGGTGAAACTCACCGAGATATTGTGATTCACAGTCTTAAGTGAAAGTGTACTTATACTCTGACGAGTGTGACTACATTAGTGTTAGTCAAAATATCAAATAAAGGAAATCTGTGATTATTGGTTACCAGTTATATGTACTGCATTTGCTTATAAACTAGAACCCAATCATTGCAAAAGAGGCGAGCTTGCCTCTAAAGGCAATAGTTGGAATGGTGTTCTTGAAGAATTGAAGTCTTTCTTGAAGTCTTTAATAAACCATAGGATAAAAGATACATATCCTATGTCACATAAACAAGAAACTGTGTAATGATACTTACAATAATACAATTAAAAAAAAAAATAAAAAAAAATAATAATAATAATAATAAGTTTGGCTCGATTTGGTCACACGCTGGAGAAATACGAAAATGACTCAACTACATTCTGACATGATGCTTTGGTGATTGCTCTGATCTCATAACAAGTCCACTCCCATAGTTTTTAGAGTAAAATCATCAGTAAGTTTTCACCTCGCACGAAATGATTGCTTAAGAAAAGACTGAATAAAAGGGGCTATATGAGTTGTTTGAAAGTATGTGCACTCGTGATTAGAAGAGTTGGGCTCTTGCCTATTAAATCAAAATTACTATTTGGTCCGTTGATGTAAGCTTTACAGACAAACAGGAAAGCCTGATTTTGATTTTAAATTGATGATGTGTTGGCTCTCTTTAATAAGTTAGGAATGGCAGACAGTTCAATGTTTCTTTTCACAAAGAAAAGGAAGACGCTTTCCACAGCTCGCATCGTCCCAGGTCCCGTCACTGATACGCATTTGAACGCAGTTTTGGTATTCATATGCGTTATTTGGCTCGTTGGGGTGCCACTTTTCGTATGTCACCTGACTACCATCGGGCCAATGATAATCTCCTTCTGTGCGTAAATCATTTAGACCGATCCAAGCACCAGCAAAGGCTTCGTTATTTAGATCTGAAAAAGTAAATCCAGAATGGAAACAGGACTTCCAAAGCGAATTCGCAACTAAGCTCAACTGGTACGTTGGTCTCTGGGTTAAAGGCAGTCTAAGAAAACTCTGAAGGATTTTTCGCAGAGCAAATTTTGCATTTTACATGGATCAGAATTAGCCTACACGTTTTCAAAGTATGTAAGATTTTGGAATTACTCAAGGTTGCATGAGATGGATATGGTACTGTTATTAAGTTCGCATTCCGTTTCTTTCAGTTAGTGACTAATTCTTGCAATCAGGTAGATACCTTAGTAAACTATTTCTAACATATTATGTCAGTATAACCGCAAAATAAGACATAGGATATTGGAACGCAAATTCCGATGGTCTTGGGCTCGATTCCTCGTTGGGTAATGAGGTTCTTTTTGTCCAAAATCAAAGAACAAAACAAATTTCTCTTGTTAAAATGAGTATTTATCGCTTAAACATGTGGTAATCATTCTTATAATTTCTAAACGGGAGTGTCTGAAGTTTGTCTGTGCGACTCGGCACTTAGTTGCCGTTTTGACTGTTTTAACTGGTTAACTTTAATTTGTTGTACCTTTCATTCTTAAAATCTCTTCACCAGTCAGAGCAGAGCGAACAATCATCAGGTTTCTCAAATATCCTTTCATTGTGTGATTGCCGTCTCTCTTCAGTCCAATGTCATAGAATGTATATTTAAATTCGGTTGGATCAAAGCCACTCGGACCATCAGAAGTCCCTACTTCTCTGCCGTTAAGATATAAATAAGCTTTATTCATAGTCTTGTCCCACACCGCGGCAGCGTTGAACCATATCTCCTTATTCGGATTTCTGTCAAGATAAAGGCCATATATGAAACACAAAGTTTAGGCGGGATTTCTGAAAAATTGCAAAAAGCTTTGGAAACTAAAATGCCAAAATAGGAAATGTCCCTCTAGCCTTTTATTTCTCACATTCGGCAGCAGATATTTTTTCGAGTTTTAGAGTTGACTGTCTTCTTAACCTGACTCAGACGTTTCTCAAAATGTTAGGGGGAGGGGGAGGAGAGTGGGGGAGGGGGGGAGGGGAGGTCGAGGAGGAAATGTAAAAAGAAACGCGGATTTCCAGTGCACGAAATCGCTCAACAGTGAGGATTATTCGATTTATTCTTACCCTCCCCTAATATCGATTTTGTCCTGGAACCCTCCTTGCGCGTCGCGATTCTGAAATTCAAATTGGAGTTTGTCGCCGAGGAAGGCGGTGAAACGGAAAAGGTTGGGGTTTTTCCAATATCCATATATGGTCGACGGACTTCTAACAGGATCCTCCAATTTGACCCAACTGACCAAAGTGAAACTGATTGACAAAAAGTTAACGGCTGGAGTTGTGGCATAAGCAAACTGTCCGTCGAGGTACAATGCTTTCGCACTTCGGGAGCTTTCTTCTTTATATCTCGCTCCATTGAAAAGACTGTTGAAAGAATAAAATAGAGTGTTTTGTGATGGATGCTTTGTGTTCAGCTGGAATCCAATCAGAGATCGTGCTCAACGTCGCTTAAGTTGAGGGAGTAAGGACGGATAACCTGAATAAATCTGACACCAGTCTGCATAAGCCTAAGTACTTGGCGATGAAATAAACTATTAAAAAATATAAGAATTCTCAGTGATATTAAAAACACAACATTTTTTTTAACCACTGCAGAGATTTATGGAGGAGAAGATCGGGTTCTCTGGCAGAAGGGACCTTTTTATTGCGTCGTGCTAACATTTGAAGATGTGCCGGATTGTTTTTATTACATATCGCATCACTCTCTCTAGTGGATCACCTGTACTTGAGGAACCCCATCCCACTGTCGGTTTGTTTTTTTGAGCCGCAAACAGGTAATATAGATGACGTGCAAGCAATCACGTTCTCAAAAGTAACGCCCGCCCCCTCACGCACGCAATTAGGGGAATGTGTCATTCAGTGCAGTCAGTGGGAACTTTTAAAGAGTGTGCTGAGCCTAACCTGACATCAACGTCAGTACCATCCAGAAACCAGTGACCAATCACATCTTTACCTATTATAAAGAACAAAGAATTCACTCCAGATCTTATTTCAATTGCTAGAGTTTCAATGAACTGCTTTTGATATCATATAAAAGCCAACGGGGAGAAGTTACTAAATGTTGACGTTTTGTACCAAAAACCAAACAGACGCACTTACTGATGACGAATCTAAGGATATGCCTCTGATAGATCATAGGTAAGAACTAATCGTTAAGGGTATGAATGTATTTTCTGGGAAAACATAAGCTTTATGATTTTAAAAAAAGTATAAATGGATTTGGTGAACGTGCCTGCTATATTTGGCTTGATCTGGTTGAGTAGCTGGAATGCAAATTTGTTTTCGTCTTCCCGGTTTATTGACAAAAGGTCTCCACCAATTGACTGACAAAACTGTCGGGCTTGTCCCCAGGTCTTTCTGTCATGAAACAATTTAAAGAGTTTGGAACCAACTCTGTACCAGTCATCTGGAAGAGCTGTTAAAATGCACAAACAGCGTTATAATCCATCTAATGTGTTTGTTCGCGCGTGATTGGCTTAAACGCGTCACGTGAGCGACTGAGCCCCTGCTTATACAGAACTTTAAATACAGCGGTGAATCTACAATGTGATGATTTTAGCAGAGAAATGTTAAATCGAGTAACTCCACGGACGCAAAAGGTGTCAATCAGGGGAGAAATAAGGGAAAAAGGAAGTGATGACAAAAGCTTTAAATATTATCAAGAGGAGGTGATTAGCTTATTGCAGAATAAAGAAGTTTCATTGAGCAGTTTTACCGTCTTTGTAGATGCATTGGTCCGCTGTACAACGTTCAATTTCCTAAAAGTAAGATAAACATACATTTTAGAAGAGCCAGCCTGCAATCACGCTGTTCGTTTCGAGAACTAGAGATTTTCATTATAGCCTTAGACACTGCTCTGATGTTTGTCTCTTCAATCAGGTCACAACATGCTAAATTTCAGGACGTTTTTCCTTCTGCACAGTTGAATCTGATAGAGGAGAATCTGATAGAGGAGAATCTGATAGAGAATCTTTTAAATACCAAGGCTAGTAATAGCATGCATTACCGCTAACTGATGGTATTGACTTCCGGGACTTAGTATCAAATTTTGTTGGTCGGCGGTTTTGCTGGAATTGTTCAGCTCACACGTAACCCTTCCATTTGGTAACCTTCTGACGTTCATAGAGAAACACAGAGGAGTGTCTGCACATTGCCAGCCACATGATATTGGTTTAGAATCAGACACAGTTTTAATGACGTGATTCTGAAGGGCAACGCCTTCTTCCTTGATAAATTTAACTGTTCTGCATCCAGCAGCCACCAAAGGCAAATAAAATAAGGTCGTAATCAAGTGCATTCTATGAAGAGAAATTCATAATGTCATGATAACTGACAGCAGTGCTTATGGAGATATATCGTTTACAAGAAGCACATGTAAAGTCGGACTATTGAATAAATGAACTTAAGAAAAATACTTATGATATTAAAAATAAATACAGCTAAACAAATAAAATATAAATTTATTAAGAGCATCGGCCAGGTTCGTCATGATTCATACTATTTAAATAACAGAGTAAAAATCTGAGTTCGTTTATTGAATGTAGCTAGGGAGTAATTTATATTTGGCTCCTTCCTTTTAAGAAAACAGATGGTCGCTCCTTTCAATTTCTTTTATTTCCAACTCTCAATCAGTTTGTGTTCTCAAGACACAGCGACAAAACTTACGAAATGAATATAAACGCGATCTTCGAAGTAATGAACACCACTTAAGCAATAGTGAAAATAAGGCCCGAGAAAAATTCAGGCCTGTACGGAGTTTAAATCATAACCTCTGCAATATCGGTGCAGCGATCTACCAACTGAGCTAACAAGCCAAGTGGGAGCTGGTCATTACGTTGGCTCCAAGTAAACCCGTGTATTCATAACTTCGTTTTCATATATTTAAAGTCATGAAAACATTAACATTGAAGAAAATCTTAACGTGTGGGAAAAATAACATATAATTTTACTCTAAACCTTTTTGGTGGGTTTTTTGTTTATTTAAATTACACTGCAAGAATTCGTAGATTTTATTAGTAGATTCTTAGCTTGATTTGCTAAGGGATGTTCTTTACATCAAAGAAAGAATAATTAAAACACAGCAACATATAACAGGTATTTCCTACCTTTTTCCGAAGTCGTCCATATTTTTTGCTTGCAAAACTCCAATTAAAAAAAAGCAGTTAAAACAATTTTTGTCTAGAAACTTGCTTCTCTTTAATCGAAGCTCCTTTCCAGTTCATGACATGTTATGTTTGTTTGATTAAGTCATAACATGTGTTTGTTTTTCTCTATTTTTTACAATGATGTTTAAGGTTGTGACGTGCTTCCATATTTGGACACGCAGCCTACGCTATTAATTGTTCTTAAATCTAATCAGTTATAGAAAGCTCACGGGCTCGTTGTTTTAAATATGGGGATATAAACAAAAAAGATCAATAGAAGCTGACGCTGTTTTATACAATAGACATCATGTAGTTTTGCTGCAATTTAAAATTAAGCAATAACATCATGGGAACAACTCAAGCTGACAAATTTCATTCATGTCACTCATTTTAATTTTTTAGTTCTTTTTTTGCCCTTCACAAAAGCGGATCACAAAAGATCCTAATATGATTGTTAGTGGCTGATGAAACTCAGGCCTGTGTCACGAAATAAGAAGTCCTATATAAGTGTTTGGCTTCAACTTCAATCCGCGTAGTGATAGCAGTAAGTGATATTAAATATCTCCCCATTTACTTGCGCCTCTTTTCCTAAAATTGTAGTAGATATTAAAGGCCTCGATACTCAATTCTGTTTGTTTTCTTCCATACGACCGTGTCATCTATCATAATATTATTCTTTATCCAAGTGTCCCGCTGCAGATAATTATTTTAAAATAAGAAAAGGAAAAAGTTGCACCTGTTTACTTGACAATAAGCTGAAATTGTTGAAAGAAGTTACATGAAGATCTTATCTAAGAATCAAAGGTTAACAATTGATGTGGGACATTCCTTTGAGACGAATTAGAGAGCCCGCTCAGTTGATTTAAAAAATGTAATCCCTTTAACTCTCATCAATGACCGAGACAGAATTTCTCTTCACAATATCCTTAAAATATCAAGTTCACAAGCGATGAAGATAACGAAAAATATCAAGGAGGGGATTATTAGTTGATTCAGTGCCAAATTCTCCGAACTAACATCGTAAGAATTGTATGGTAGACAGTAGAAAGAATCACTGATGAGATCTTGGGAGCGAAAGGGTTATGCAGCCGCTCTCTTTTATCATATTAGCGGAGAACACTTATTATCTATCACCTAAAAAGGCAGGAGGGGGGGGTTGGAAGATTTTTTAAGGGTACCACACGGTTTTCAGGGGGGAGCGGCGTGGGAAACAATCCTCTCCTTCAGAGTATAAAGGGAGTAGTATAAAAAATCGATTGTCAATTAACTGCGTGGGTGGGATTATGAGTGGGATCATAAGAATATTAGAGAGCCTAGGGGGAGGGGGTGGGGGGGGGTTGGGTAAATAATATCTTGTCACAACCAGAATCCTCCAGCCCCCCAGGTAGTAAATAATGACCTGTCCGTAAAGAAGAACACTTTAAGGTTTCTTTTCGCAGAGAAAAGGAAGGCGTTTTCCACAGCTTTCATCATCCCAAGTCCCGTCATTAACTTTCATTTGAACACAGTTCTGGTATTCATGAGCGTTGTCTGGCTGGCCCTCACTCCACCTCTCATAAGTCACCTGACTGCCATTTGGCCAATGAAAAAGATCCTCTGTGGTTATGTCATTAAGACCTGTCCAAACTCCATACATGGCTTCGTTATTTGAATCTGTTGACATCAAATTTAATTTCAAATAATGTTACTGAGGAAAATCTGAACCTCTTTATAACCGTAATGGTTTTAAAGGCTGACGTTACCAACGTCTGCCCTTCGTAAGAGAACCCAACAAGAGTCAACTGATAACAAGTTAAGGTTAATGTTGGGTTAGGGGAGAGGTAGGTTGCTAAGATACTGACATTGTTCCGCACAAACCGTACTTTTTTAAAACAAGATAATTTGTGGGGACAGCGTACTTTTATCGTATAAACGTATCGTGACCACTCCTGAAACTTTAACACACCGAGGTGTTCCCAAACTTGAGTTATTACTAGAATTGGTGAAGTTAAAAAATGTTGCTTTACCTGTCATGTTACTTATTTCTTCACCAGTAAGTGCAGCACCAACAATCATCAGATTTTTCAGATATCCTCTCGTTGTGTCATTACTGTCCCTCTTCAGTCCAATGTCACAAGTTGCGGCGGGGAAATTTTTGGGGATAGTGTTGCTCTTGTCACTTCCTATTTCCTGACCGTTAAGGTATAAGTAAGTCTTCCTTTCATCTCTGTTCCAGACCGCTGCGGCGTGGAACCATTCGTCAATTTTTGGAGTTCTGTAAAAGAATGGTGTGGATAAAGTAATAGGAGGTAAAGAGCGCTTCAACTTTACTATGATTTTTATTAGGGTGGCAGTTCTCTCTATATAGTTTAACTCAATTATATAACCTTCTATGCAATATCAACTTTTTGTTTGTTAATTTTTAACAGCTACTGGATATTTTGGTAAGTGTTTGATAAATACAGACAATCAAAGCATCGTTATTCTTGGTATGTGCTGAGATTGGCAGACTATCCAAAGCAAAAAAAACAAAGTTCCCCTTACCCCGCACGAAATTTTAAAACGCGCTGTTTCATTTTGTGATTATATAACTGAAACTGGAGTCCGTTATCTATGTAGGCGGAGAAGCGTAGAAAGTAAGGATCTGACCAGTATCCAAATATAGTCGATGGATCTTTAACAGGGGATTGTAATTTGACCCAACTGGCCAAAGTGAAACTGTCCGTCACAAAATTAACGGCTGGAGTTGTAGCGTAAGCGCACAATCCATCGAGGTACAATGCTTTCTCACTATTGATATCTTCTTCATATCTCGCTCCATTAAACAGGCTGTTGAAAGAAAAAAAGCAGGAAATGTTCAAATGGGTGTGGTTTCCATTTAACCAACCCTATCAGGTGTATTTTGAAACATGGTATAAGGATTATGAGTCAGCTTACCTTATGTCAACGTCACTGCCATCTAAAAGCCAGCGGCTTATCACGTTTTTACCTTAGAAAGAAAATAAATGTCGCTCAATTATTAACGGATGTTAGTTGTTTTTCTTCATGATTCAGGTTGGAACGTTTTGACATCTGTTTTCATACAGGCATCGTTCCCAAATGGAAAAGTAATTCAGGTCTGTTTTCCCATGCTACTCAAATTGTGGTACGAATAAAGACTTTCTGAGACGGACGTCATAAGGAAAACAACTCAAATGACGATGACATCATTTGACCCTCTCTCTTCTGCTTGTTGCCCTTTACACCCTAACATCAGTATGCTTAGTCTCCATACTCTGCTCTATATATTTCCCAAGATGCTGACAAGGAGAATTTGTTTAACAATCAAGAGCTTCTTTAGTTGGCGATCATTTCTGTTATTCTCGTGATCATAATGTTTGATTCAGGGGTGTTATTGTGAGGAGAAATTAGATGCTAGTCACTCTGGATGAATAGATTTGGAATCGAACTCAGTCGATGAAAAAATTAATAAGTATTGGTTAGTATCATTGTATTGTATGTAAACTCAAGCAAGCATGCCTGCTGAAATTGGTTTGATCTGGTTGAGTAAATGGAAAATGAATGAGTTTTCATTTTCCTGATCGATCGACGCAAGTTCTCCTCCGATCGAATGGCAAAACTGGCGGGCTTGTCCCCAGGTCTTCCTCTCGTGAAACAATTTGTGGAGCTTGGAACCAAGTCTGTACCAACCATCTGGAAGAGCTGTGGCAATCATGAAATAAATAGCGCTACAGTTTAGACTCTATATTTATTTTCACGAATCTGCCCAAACTATGTTCTAGGGACAATTTGGAAATTTTAGTCGAACTGAGTACATAACGATAGCTGGGGAAGAATACTTAAGTATAGCTAATTAGATCATTTACAAGTAAGCATCAATTCAGATACGTCTTTAGGTGTGTACTTAAGATTTTGACGGTTACATTACATTTGGTGGCATCATGAGCTCACTTAAAGTAATTAAAAAATAGGAAATAAATTGTTGAAAAAAAGTTATCTTAACAAAATGTTATAAGATATTTAGAAAAAAATAATCGCGATATTTATTACTGTCACAATAAACACATCTTACCTTCTTTGTAGACGCATTGCTCCGCCGTACAATGTTCAACTTCCTAAGATTTAAACAAACACGTATTTGGAAATAGTAGCCTCCTTGATAGGAGCAATACCAAAATGAATTCTTAGGATGAAAAACGATATAATAAACCCTAGAGTAGGTTATTTATACAAAGTTTAGCCGTTATTTAACAAAGCCACGTTCTAAGCTGTTTTCAATTTAGCCGAACCTTTTCTATGAACGTTTATTTTTGTAAAGATTGTCGGAGGGCCGGAAGCTGGTGGAAGGACCTCTATTTAATCGAAAAACTTTCTTATAGAGAATTCTTGAGGCTCACTGCTTGCGTCAGACCCAACAGAGTACAAAGAGGGTGACTATCGTAATTTGACTGCCAATTTATCATTGAGGAGTTCGGAAGAGGGGGGGGAGGAGGGGAGGGATGCGTAAGAATATTAGTGGAAATGATAAATTATTATGAAAAGTTGATGTTAGCAATATCTGAATGTAGTAGTATTGACTTCCAACAGGCAAGCAGGTTTTTTCGAGGTATCTTTCCCTAAATGCTAACAATGATAAAGTATTACCTGTGGTTCATAATAATGACTTCCAGGTCTTGAGATCAAATCTCGTGGGTCAGCAATTTTGCTGGAATTGTTCAGCTCACACGTAACCCATCCATTTGGTAACCTTCTGACGTTCATAGAGAAACACAGAGGAGTGTCTGCACATTGCCAGCCACATGATATCGGATTAGAATCAGTCACAGTTTTAATGACGTGATTCTGTAGAGCAACACCTTCTTCCTTGAAAAATTTAACTGTTCTGCATCGAGCAGCCACCAAAGGCAAATAAAATAAGGCCATTATCAACTGCATTCTATGAAGAGAAGTTCATTGTGTCAGTGAAACTGATAGGGGCACTTGCGTGCTCGGAGATAATTTATAAGTGAAGTATAATTTAAAATTATATCTTCTCTAAAGAGAAGTGCACTCAATATCTACGTATTTGCTCATATATCAGCTACACTTTGTTAATTCAGATCAAACTCAAGGTGGCTAGCTTTCATGGAAACCTGTGTAAATAAACTTTCAAGAATAATGTCCAAAACAAATACAATTGTGCTTTGACATTAAAGATCATCATTAAAGTTCGCTGCGTTTCAAACTTATTTTATCTTACAAAAAGTTGATTGCAGCTTGGCTCCTTTGGTTTAAAGAAAGAGGAGTTCCCTTCCTGAAGTTTCATACTTTTTTCGAACTCTTATTCGGAACCTCCTTCAAAATCGAACCGTAATGTCCCCTCAAGACACAACGAAATTAACTCCTGACACTACAGACAAACCCCAGATGGTCTGCATCTCTAGTTTTGTGTGTCTTTTTTGTGAGTGCCTTTTGTTTATGTTTTTTTTTGGTTTAAGTTTTTTTTTTCCGCTTTTTAATTTCACCCTGAGAGATGTTGCGTTATCTAAACTCAAAGTGCTCATCATATATTTCGCTAACAGATTTCTAGCTTGTTACGTAAGAATGTTCCAATTTTTTTTAACAACAAAGAAGGAAAATATAAAATACAATATTATCTAAAAAAAAAATTATACCTTGTTTAACAGCTAACCGTGCGTTTCTTGAAGAAGTTAAATATCAGGAAAAAACAATCATACGAATTCCCGTCTATAAATGGATTTTTTTATCGCACTTCTCCTGCTAATGGCAGGTTTATACAATTCATCTTTAAGGACAAATATGTATTTTGTGTTATCCTCGATCTTTTAAAACGTTTAAGGTTGTAACCTTTCTCCTTATATGGTCACGTTATCATCGCTTTTATTTTGTTTTTAGATCTTAGGTAACAGCAACTTTATTTGTTTCGTTGTAACTCAGCAAGGGTACATAGGTGAAAATGGTGATAACGCTGTGTTTTTGACAATAAATATCGTTAAACTTTCATGCAACTTGTTATTGATTGATTGCAATTTTTTCCGTGCACCAAGTAATCCTTTTTTTTGTAGGTTTTAGATTTCTTCTCATTCTCTCGCGTTTTATTCGTTCAGATTTTGAATAATGACTATGTACTGTTTGTTTTTAGTGTGCCCTGCTGTGGATATCTTCTTGCTATTATTAATGATAGAGAATCCATCTGCTTGCTTGCTGATTTTTCTCGTGAATCTTTTACAAAGAGTCAAAGAGTTAAAATACAGTCATTTGAGGCTAACACACAGACTTGAAGTTATCGAGCGCAGTCTTAGATTAAAAATCATCTAAAATTTTTCATCTGCATTCTATTTTTCTCCGGGTTTGCAACGATCATGCGCAGTGTGTTTTTCATCCGTAGGCTTTCTTTTCACAGACAAAAGGTAAATGCCTCGCACAGCTGATGTCGTCCCAAGTCCCCTCTCCAAATTTCATCCCCACGCAGTCATGATCTTCATTCATAAAAATATTTCTTGTCTCTGGTTGCTCAGGGGCCCATTTCGTGAATGTAACGTGAGTGCCGTTCGGCCAATCAAAAGTTCCCTCCGTGTAGAGGTCATTAAACCCGATCCAAGCACCATTGAACGATGGCTCTGCATAAGAAAAAAATACCTTACTTTCGTTTTGGTGTAGAAATTTGCTTTTCAAGTTCAAACTTTAGTTAATAAAGGTAAATTAGGCGAAAAATCAATTCAAAAAGAAAGTTGGTGTTAGATATTTTTGACATGTCAGGCGTATGTCATCTGAAACCATAATGAGATCAACAAACATGATGAAAACAAGTAACAAGCTTGTGAATAAGCCTCAGGTGAAAGAATTGTCAGTTAAGTCTGACAATTTATTGAAAAATTACATAGCACTGATTAATGAATAGCTCTCTCAACAAAGATGCGCAGTGGGAATGCGCAGTAGCAATGGAGCCCGAATGCTCTAGAGTTTGACGTCAGTCAATTTCAAAATCAGAAAACTCTGTAAATATTCGTAATATCGATGTAGTATACTCAGCAAATCGACAACTTTTATGCAACGTAATATTTGTTCTTCAACTGTTTGATCATTGACTTTCTCTCCTCTCGTTCGACGACTATCGCTCTGACGAAGGGCTAACACTCGAAACGTCAGCTTTTTTACCCTTTACGGTGGCCAATTTACGTTTTCAACTCAGTTGTTAACACTAAATTACCTGCTATATTCTTCCACCGACGCAGTACCACAGTTTCTTTAGAAACTTACCCCCCGAAACGCAAAAAGATTGTTGAGTATGCCTTTAATTACCTATAATTTTGCTTATTATCTGTTCACCAGTAAGAGCGCTACCAATAATCATCAAATCCCTCAAATATCCTTTTAGTGTAGCACCGCTGTTCCTTTTCCTTCCAATATCAAACTTTTTAGATGGGTTGTAATCCTTCGGGGCAGCATAACTAGATACTGACTGGGACGCAATCTTTTGACCGTTCAGAAATAAATAGGCCATGTGTTTATCTCGGTCCCAGACTGCTGCTGCATGAAACCACTCGCCATGTGGAAGAGACCTGGGTATAAATGGACCGACTTGTTATTCTTTCTAAACTCAGTGTCCCGCTTGCAAGTAATGCTGATCATTTTGATTTGGCTTTATTGTCTGGTCCGAAAAAAGAAACTTCATCAGCTCATTCTCCTGAAGTGATTATTGGAGAAGGCAATTGAGGCTCATATGGCTGACCACTGAGTTATTTTTGGGTGAAACCCATAAAGAATGACCTAAGCAATGAGTGGAAGTTTAATGCCTTCACCTTAATTAATTTTGAAAGAGATTCAAAAGTGCTTCAGGCGTGATAAGAGAAAGGACTGTCTAAAGATGCGAAAAACATCAACAGGACAAAACAACTAGTATATCAGATCGGAATAACAAAAAATAACATACTTTTCTTAGTTTTTATGCTGAAACATAATTGAAATATGAAAAAAAAATCTTACCCCCTAGCCAATGAAATTATAGCTGCCTCATTTGTTTTGTTCTTCACTACGAAACGAAGCTTGGAATATGAGTTTTTACTAAACAAAAAATGTCTCTGATTTTTCCACAAGGAAATAATAACTGATGTATGGTTAACAGAAGGTTTTAGTTTTGCCCAGCTGGCGATGGTGAAACTTTTGTTCCCGAAGTCCACTGCGGCGGTTGTTGCGTACGATGAGGTAGTCCCGTTAAGGTGCAACGTCTTTACACCATCTTCTTCCGTGTATTCCGCATCACTCGCGAGCCTGTTCAAAATATAAACACATTTGTTCTGTTGTAAATGAGACATTTTTGGCTGTGTCGAAAATATTCTGTGTTATTTCGCACTTGAGTTCCTTCAAAACGAGTATAATTTACTTTTCACTCTTTGTATATTGACCCTCGTTATGAGCAATTTCACTCACCCTACATCGGAGTCGGTTCCGTCTAATTTCCAGTGTTTGATGACATTGACTAATTGTTTGTTCTCACCTTAAAAATCAAGATTCTTATTAGTATTATTCTTATATCTTTATTCTTATACTATGATTCTTATTACGATTAGTATTTCCGATGCTCTGCCATTGAGCTGTAGAGGAATCGTGGTAGGTTAGGCCGCTTAGCCAGGTACATGACAATTTTTCGTTTCTCCAGATACACAAGAAACCTCATTATCAATCATTTAACGTCTTTGACGATCATTCTTCTAAAGAGTGGTATTCATATTTTTTAAAGTGACTTTTTAATATCTGCCAACCTGTTTCATCGATTTTGACACGGTCAAGCAAATGACTGATAAACTCATTCTCATTTTCGTGAGTGATTGACGCAAGTTCTCCATCAATCGAATGACAGAACTGCCGGTCTTCTTCCCAAGTCTTTCTCTCAGAGAAACTTTTCAGGAGCTTGGAACCAAATCTAAACCAGCCATCTTGAAAAACTAAATCAGAAAACAAAAACAAAATTTCGAATTTTTCAATTGATGCGTCAAGCGCATTATGAAGTCAACGATTTTCATGTCTTGTCATATGTCAGCAAGCATAACCTCTTTTCTTTAAACTTGCGATACTCAGGAGCATATTAATCGAAGGGCAAGGTGCATTAGTTTTTGTTTGTTGTGCTCTGTGATCGGGCTTTTCTCTTTATCAATAATGGCGACTCGACTCGTATCTTCCCGTGCTTAGAGTTGTCCTCCTGTGCCTCTGAACATTGAATAGAAAAGCACTTTATTGCGCACTGCTATAGCAATGGCAAAGAAAGGTAGCCCTTTTTACCAAGGCCCTTTGCAATGCGATGGTAAATGACAACAGACTTACCCTCTTTGTAGATACACTGCTTTGTTGTACAATGCTCAACTTTCTAAAATTTGAGAGTAAAAAATAAATATTCCAATAATTACTGAGAAAGATCGAATATCCTTGCTTTGACAACCAGAGCAATCAGTATTTTTTTCATGGGTATCTTCGAACGTATCAATATTTTCTGATCTGAGATTGTGTTAATTTGTAGAAAGAATTTACAAACTGGTCGGTGCCATCAGTGAAATGGTGACAGCCACTTACCACAAGTTGCTGGTAACGAGTTTCAGGACTGATTTGGAAATCCTGTGGGTCAGCCGTTTTGCTCGAATTGTTCAGTTCGCACGTGACCCAACCAGTCGGGAGTGATCTGACATTCATAGAAAAACATAGTGGAGTGTCCACGCATTGCCACACACATGTTATCGGTTGCATGGCGGTCACGGTTTTTATCACGTGATTCTCGAGGGCATGACCTTCCTCTATCACAAACTTGGTCGTTTGACAACCAACAACACAAGGTAAAAAAATTATAGCAAACCACTTCATGCTGAAAATGTTGAAAATAGGGAATCAGTAAAGTTTTGGAGTATATGCGTCATCATCATCAATTCGCTGTAACGTGGGAAGATTTAGGGTTAAGGTTCGTGGGAAGGGAGAAAGCTACATTAAGGGAGGAGATGGCGAAGAGCAACAAATGAAGAAGGAACGATGAAGGAATGGAAAGAAATTTGTCAAGAAAGGAGAAAAATAAATCATAACAATTGGTGTGTAATTTTTAATACGCGAGTTTCTTTCCTCAAACCACTGGCTAACAAAATGTTTAGGGCTTATCGTAGGATAAACTTGTTACAAACCAAAACACAAGTACAGAGACTCAAACTTCAAACAGGCTTAAATTACAAGTCAAAGCAGTTAGGAAAATGAAGAAAGATAATAAGATATCCTTGGCACGTTTATTCCTGATCGTAGAGTTTTACCATTTCTGCACCTTTAATTTACAAAGATTAAACTGCAATCGAAATGTCAGATGACATACAAGTCATATCCCAGGGGAGAAAAACCGCGAACTTTTTGTAGCAACGGCAACCACATGCTGCAAAGCGATACATATTCGCTTTTTCGTATAATTTTTTTACTTTTTCAATAGCCACAACTTTTATGTATAACGTAACTTCTAAAGTTATGTTGTACATCAGGTTTTGTTTTCTACCATAGCTACTTACGACATATCAAACAAATATGCGGTTTTGAAACAGACAAGTTTATGCTAGAAAATGAAAGAATCCTCCTTAAAAGTACTTCGTACCTTATTTTCTTCTTGTTTCAAGTGACAAAGTCCTCAAAAAAACTTAATAACTGGAAGAATCATCCCCTTAAGGCTTACGACGTGACTGTAGGTAATACTACCTTGTTATGGTCACCGCTGTGCAGAGCCTTGCAAACACATTAGCTTTTCTACCTTATCTCGTACCAGAACTGCTTCTCATTCAATGTATTATTTTCTCAGATCTAATCGTAGGGGGTATTTTGTAATTACAAATTTAATCTAAAGTATAATAACGAAACGAAAATGCATATCATATACATAATAATATCACAGCGAGGATGATATAATTTTTGTGATCTGGTTTTAGTTTCTTAGTTATAGACAAGCACACTTATTTGGTAACTATGATAAAAAGAGACGAAAAAAAACACCACCATTATATCCGCTGTTGATCACTGCTGCGCTATATCAAGGTTTTCTCTTTGGGGCTACCCTAAATAGTTTAAGTTCTAAGTATTGATATAGTTGTCAGTTAATTAATTTTCACGCAAATATTAGTATACAGTTTTCAATCCATACTCACTTTGTTTTGTTATCTGTTCAGAATCAAATTGAAAAAAGAGAAATAATAAAACTAACGTTTTTACAGATTGGTTTCCCACTACTTCTCATTTTTGTGCTTGTTTATCTCTCTCTACCGTGATTATTAACATTACAATGTAATATTAAATTTCAAGATGTCGTTCATGCTGAAAACATACATTCATCCACCTTTCAATTTGCCCGTTTACAGTTACAATATAACAGAATAAATTTAAGTGCTGTGGATACAATTTACTTGAAGAGAAAGCAAGAATGAAATTATAGTTATTTCATTCCTGATTATTCGCTTACTGTCTTCATTATTATTTTGGGTCAGATTTTAAATCATATATTTTCTAATTACGTTACATTATAATTTCATTACGTGTAACAGCTGCATCCTAGTTGACGGTTATTCATAACTGCCACTTACAAATATCCATAATAGTTATTGGCACTATGCATAAATCGGAAACGTTAAGTGCAAATATTAAAAAGTAGTCAGTCAGAACTTGAAACCAATGGAAAACTCAGTTTTCAGCTCTCTTTTCTGATTTTCATAAGGTTAAAATCGATTTAACTGAAAGTTATTTGCTGGTGTGAATGGGGTTCAAGCAAAAGCAAAATCTCTCTAAAAAACTTTGCTGTTTTGAATCGAGAATTTTAACTTTTGAGCATTTTTCAATCAAACGATGTGTTAATTCCGAGCTTATATTCTAAAAGAATCGAGACTTAATAAATGTTAGGCTTATTTTTCACACACAAACGGAAGTCGCCTCCCGCAGCTTGTGTCGTCCCAGGTCCCTTTAGAAATTATCATACCGACACAGTCCTGGTAACCATAGCTGTTATCTGGTTGATTGACAGCCCAGTTGGTGTATGTTACGTGAGTACCACTGGGCCAAAGGAAAGTCCCCTCTGTGGTGATGTCATTTCCGCCGATCCAAACACCATCAATTATTTCAAACTTAGGATCTATTATGATAGACAACGATTTACATTATAGTGAGGAAAAAAAAACCTGAGTTGTTCTAAGTTGTATGTAACGGTCAAGAATTGCTTTTTCAAGATCTAAGTTGGGTTTTCATAACATCAAGCGGTAAGCCCTCAAAGCTTTCCAATTTCCCTAAAGTTTCATAAGTATCCATCTGTGCTCTCAGGTTGAAAGAGAGAGAGACTGTCAGAGTGAAGTATCTCGCTAGAGAACACAACACACTGACTCCGATCCGGAATGTCTCGAACTCAGATCCCTTGTTTATATCCAGGGCTATGCTAATCAGCCCACCACCTCTAACTCTTAAAGTGAAAGGCTGAAAATTTTTGACGCAAAAGAAGGTTCTGTTTTCTTAATTTGTTATTTTTGTTTTTTTTTTCGTAAACTCGTGTTGAATAAGTCGAAGAGAACAAAAAGTGTCTTTCCATTCACCTGAAATATTGGCAATCTCTTCCGCATTAAGAGCTCTGCCGATAATCGTCAGATTTTTTAAATTTCCTCTGAGACGGCCCCCGTTGTCCCTCTTCAGTCCGATGTCATAAGTCATATGGGAAGTTTCCGCAAGGAATGTGTCATTCGGTACCTGCTCAGTTCCGATCTTTTGACTGTTTAGAAATAGGAGAACCTCGCTTGTTTGTCGGTCCCAGACCGCTGCGGCATGAAACCATTGGTCAGTCGGTGAAGACCTACAGTATGATGCAATTGGTTAGTGTAAGGGATCAGCTTTATAGCCTGGGAGGGGGGTGGTTTAGGGGATTTGGTGGATCACATGGTTTTCAGAGGGAACAGAGGGGGGATCAGTCGTTTCAAACAGAATTCAAAAAGGAGACCTTAGGAAATTGACTGCCGATGAGAGGGGATCAGTGACCTCTGACACCTCCCCCCCCCTCCCCAGGTGATAAAAAAAAAGTTCGATCCATAACCTACATTGACTTAAGAGCTCAATTTATTGGTAGGTTTTATTTCATACTTGAATCATCATCGGGGTTCAGAATCAGACCACCAAAACATGAAACGGTATACAAATAGAGAACTACACATTCAGTTCGACAATGTAACTTGGGATTCATTAGAGTGAATATTCATATTTTGTGCAAATTGGATTTAGACAAAACAGGCTTTTGGAGCCTCGGCCATTTTTTTAATTTTTAATTACTCCTTCTCCATCCTCAGCCCCCTGTAAGCCATGGTTTCCATTCCCCCTTTTGATTAAAATCTCCAAAGCGTAGCTTTTGAGCGTTCCCTTCGGATGCAGTGAAAAGGAAGCTCGAGTCACTTTTCCAGTCGCTGTAAATAGGTGACGGATCATTGACAGGCGTTCGAAGTTAATCCAAACTGTGATTAGAGTGAATATTCGTATTTTGTATAAATTGGATTTAGACAGAATCAACTTTTGGAGCCTTTGCCATTTTTTAACTTTTAATCACCCCTTTCCCTTCCTCACCCCGCTGCAAGCCATGGTTTCCATCCGGTCCTTTGATTATAACCTCCAAAGCGTAGGTTTTGAGCGTTCCCTTCGGATGCGATGAAAAGGAAGCTCGTGTCACTTTTCCAGTCGCTGTAAATAGGTGACGGATCATTGACAGGCGTTCGAAGTTTCACCCAGCTGGCCATGGTAAAACTAGTCTTGTCAAAGTTAACCGCTGGGGTCGTAGCATGGGCACCCGCTCCGTTCAAGTACAACGACTTTTCCTCATTATCCTCTTCGTATCTTGCTCCATTGAGGAGGCTTTGAAAACATAAAAAAAGTACTTATTGTGACAACTTCAAAAACCTCAATGAATACTCTTTGTATATTTAAAAGTAACCAAAGTCAAAGTAAATATCCCCCGTTAGCCACTAACACTGAGGTAAATAGTTGTTTTATTATATACTAAAACAGCGATATAATATAGTAGAAAGAATTATTTTAAAAGAACTTTATATTTTCTAAATAAAAAATGATCGGTCATCAAAATTAGAGCAGTTAACTCCACTTAGTTATGTAATATTGAGGAAATGAGAAGACAGGGGAATGCTTTGCTTTTTTCACGTCTCACCTGACGTCATTGTCGGTTCCATCCAAAAGCCAGCGTGCTATGATGTGATAAGGCTTTTCACCTTGAATTGCATGATACGATTTATGTGAACAATATTGAATTCAACAATATTTAATCCATTAACTCCCAGAAGTGATTAACATGCAATTTCTCCGGGTCATGTGAATACTTATACTTATCGGATAAAAGTTGTTATCTTGAGTTTACACTAAATTGTCTTAACTCATTTACAATGAATTGTGTACCAGCTAGAGGGGAGAAATAACATTATGTGAGTTAAAGGGTTAAGATGATTATCATTGATTAGGAGAGGGAAGGTGGAACAAGAGTTTTTTTTCCCCAAGGGTGAAAATAAAATCAAAGAACTATAGCTGAAACCATCTTGCGTTTAGATATTAGAGTCATAACAAAACCCTTTAAACAGTTTCCTTATTGAAACTGAAATCAGTTTTCATGAAGGCTCAGTCTCTTTGACACGTTTGATCAACACACAACAATCGTCAAGTTCTTACTAGAGAAATCTTCAATTGAATGTCGAGAGTGATTAGAGTACACTGCTTTTGCTTCAGTTCGTTTCGCGTTTGGTTAAGAAAACTTGCACGATCCCCTAAACCAATTAGATTCAAAACTAATACCAATCGACCAATGGCCACTCGCATTTTTCCGCGCTTCAAGCCGTTTACTCGTCTTTACTTTGAGTGCCCATTGGCTCCCAGTAAAATTATTCTTTCCTTGACTGGCTGTTGTTATTATCATGGTTTTTTTTTTCACAACACTGACACTCAATGGAAGCAAATTTCCCAAGAAGTTAAAATTTTTTACCTGCTGCACTCGTGTCGACTTGACCGATTAAATTAGCGACAATATCATTTTCGTACGCGCGTATGATTGACACCAGCTCTCCACCAATTGAATTACAGAACTTTTTTGCCTGTCCCCAAGTTTTTCTTTCGTGAAACAACTTGATGCGTTTTGACCCAACCATAAGCCAACCATCAGGTAGGGCTGAGAGATAATTCAAGAAATTTTAGTAAGTGAAAATGAGGACTTTCGATAATTCATATATAAGAAATTACCGTCTTTGTAGGTACATTCTTCCAAGGTGCAGTGCGAAGTTTCCTACAATAAACACAATAAAACTGATTCAATTCATTTTGAGTCATGGAACATTCAATTATGGGGTGAGAGATTAAAATGATTCTATAGGTAGCAGTGATAAAGAATGTGTGATAATGTATCATTCTGAATGGCTTGTGTTGCATTTAACCCTTCAACTCCCAAAATCTGATTGTTTATTTTCCCCTCTAGCTGCTACACATTTCCTTGCAAATTAGTTGGGAGAATTTAGTGTTAGAGTAAGAAAACAACTTCTACTTGATAAATTTGAGCATTCTCATTACCTTTTTGCTGGATAGTGTATGGATTTTGTACGGAGGAGTTACATGTGAATCACCCTGAGGAGCTTAAGTTTAATTAACTTGGAAAGACACTCAAATACAGCAAGGAATGGAAGTCTGGCCTATTTTGAAGGTAAGGATATATTTTTAAATACTTTCAATGAAAACATATAACTTTGTAGATAAAACATGCAACCTGTCTTAACAAATTCGTAGATTCTTTTTCCATAATGAATGTATTGCCAACAAAAAGATTGTTGATATTGACATGACTGAAGAACTGGGTTCTCCCTGCTTACCGTCAGTTGATGGTACTGGCTTCCGATGCTCGGTTGCAAATCTTGTGGGTCAGCGGTTTTGCTGGAATTGTTCAGCTCACACGTGACCCACCCATTGGGTAGCTTTCTGATGTTCACAGAGAAACACAGAGGAGAGTCCACACATTGCCAGTGACAAGCTACCGGTTGAAATACCGTGACAGTTTCTATCAGGTGATTCTTTAGAGCCATTCCATCTTCTTTGGTGAAGTTTGCAATTTTACATCCAGCAACGAGAGGTAACCAAAATAAGCTGAGCCACTTCATTCTGAAATTTAAACCCGTATTTTGGATAACCTAGTAAGATTATCTTTGTTTACAAATTGCAGTTCAAACAAAAGAATACAAATTCGGAGAAGCGCATGAAAAACTGGTCTGCGTACGTCCATGCATTCAAGTTATATTGAATTTATTTACCGAGCAATCGCATTTAGCCGCATGCAACTGATATTGTTTTTGGAGGTACTATAGCACTGGATACTGATCATAGAAATTTTTGAAAACTAGAATAATTAAACTGCATAAAATCTGTGTTGTTTTGTTAAAGTTACGTGCTGTTTTTGTGCGCAAAGTATCAAATAGTTAACGGAAACATCTAACGACATGTGGGCAAGTTTACATCAAATTTGGCTAGCATAGTTAAGACCCACTTTGTAATATAACAACAACTTAAGCCAAATTAAGTCACATTCAACACCCGACAAATTCCATGAAAATGAGGCGAAAAACAAGATAAGAGTGAAAAAGCAGCTGCTTACGACCTGAAGGAAAGTTTAGAAATAACTGATGATGGCGAAGAGCCAAATTCTGAATGAGATATTTCGTTTGCTTTCACAATCGGTCTCAGTCTTGTATGATGGTTTCATTTCATGAGTTCGGCAGCGTTTTGAACGATTTGAGTCGCCCTCTTGCTTTCACCGTTATTTCCGAAGAATGAGAAACTTCTTAACAAATCACAAATTTGGAAGTTTAACATAAGTACTCCTCCACTAACCTTTCCTATTTCGCGTAGAGTCTATTACATTTTCTCTCTGAACTTATGTTTTTAAGCCAGTCCAGAAGTGTTTCATCTGGTAAATAGACGGCGACGTTAACAGATACCAGTGTGATGGGAGAATTCTTGTAACTTTAGTTAATCTAACAATGCGACTTTGGCTAAACCGATATGGACGTCTGTCTTTCTCAAGAATTTCTAGCTGGTCCACTCATTGTTGGGCTTGAAGTGAAAAATGGTAAGAATAATTTGGTTTTTATGCAGATGATGCTACTATTATTTTCAGTCTTAACAAAAGGCACTAATGATCACCACACCTCTCTGTTTGCGCGTTAATATTGCTTCCTTCACACCTGAAATCATCTGCTCGTTAATAAATGTGCTTTATGCACTATTTTGGGCCCGATACAAAGATAGGCATAAAAAAATCTCTATTGACATGCAGAAATAACGCCAAAGAATTTAACAAAGTAATAACTTGTGTGCCGTTTTGTGAAACACAAAAGGTAGACATACTGTGCTGGCCGCGGGTAAAATTTTTCCTAATTAGTTATTCCTTACACAATTTGTAAGTTCATGTCAAGCATAATAATTTTCAAACGATTGTCTAATGTGACAGATTGCTGGCTTAATTTAACCTCTTGCCTGACAAAATGAATATTTAGGACGCAACTGCAAATTTTCATCCCCAGAGCTCTGCGTTTTTTTGTAACACCTGTCTAGACTTTCTTATAAAACAAGTTAAATGTAAACAATTGGCTGAGATAATCCCTTCGAACTGAAAACTTACAAATTTTTCTTTCAAAATATCCCTCCAATCAGTCACAAACTTAATAACATTACACGTATCCTTGATAGCACAAGATTCTGAACTAAATGTAAGATCATTTTATTAAGAAATTGTTTCGGGTTACACCTGAAGATACAATAATGTAATAAGTTAGACATTGTTTTTGCCTTATCATATCAAAAAATTCAGCTGAACTTTCCAATCACAAACCAAGCTTTATAAACACGTTTTATGCGATAGAGGTTGTTTAGCAGTTGTGTAATTTTTTCGCTAATTTTCGAAAGAGGTTCAAGGTATGTTAAACTGATTATTATTTTCATCGATAGACGTCGAATATCCTGTAATTCTTAGCCCTGTGCTTAGTTAATTTCTACGAAAGAGTCTAGATCTTCTTTGTGGTTATTTCAATTATGTACATAAGATTACTCCATATGTACAGAGTGCGAATTTCAAATTTTAAATCATGAATAGCAAACCTGACACATAATAGAAATATCCAAAAACCTTACCCCTAAGCCAATGAAATTATGGCTGTCTCATTTGTTTTGTTCTTCACTGTGAAACGAAGCTTGGAATTGATGTTTTTACAAACAATAACTGATGAATGGTCAGCAGGAGGTTTTAGTTTTGCCCAGCTGACGATGGTGAAACTTTTGTAACCGAAGTCCACTGCGGTGGTTGTTGCTTACGATGAGGTAGTCCCGTTAAGGTGCAACATCTTTACACCATATTCTTTCACGTATTTCGCATCATTTGCGAGTCTGTTCAAAATAGAAACACATTTGTTGTGTTGTAAATGAGACATTTTTGGCTGTGTCGAAAATGTTCTGCGTTATTTCGCGCTTGAGTTCCTTCAAAACGAGTATAATTTACTTTTCACTCTTTGTATATTGACCCTTGTTATGAGCAATTTCACTCACCGTACATTAGAGTCGCTTCCGTCTTATTTCCAGTGTTTGATGACATTGACTAATTGTTTGTTCTCACCTCAAAAATCAAGATTCTTATCCTTTAGCTCTTATATCAAATTTGTAATTCTCCTTGCTGTCAATCATACAACTCTTATGATGTTACTTTAGAGAATTTAGCATTGGATCAACTAATTATCCTCAAATTGATATTTTTCTTTATTCTCATCACTTATCTGGTTGATATTGTAGTGATTTTGTAAGGAGAAATTCTGTCTTGGTCACTCATGGGAGTTAGAGGGTTAAGCACAAGACTCTGAGAAGCAATTCATGAAGAAAGTAAAATACATTTTGATTTAAGTGGAGGAAAATGTTATTCAGTGGATGACAGGCATGGATGATGACAGACAGATTTATGCCAGAAAATTAAAGAACCCTCATTGAAAGTACTTTGTAACTTATTCTTGTTAGGAGCTACCCTGACTGTAAATTAAATAGTTTTTAAGTTCCAAGTATTGATATAGTTGTCAGTTAATTTTCACGCAAATATTAGTATGCAGTTTTTAATCCATATTCACTTTATTTTGTTACTTATTCAGAATGACACCGGAAAAAAAGAGAAATAATAAAACAGACGTTTTTACAGATTGGTTTTCCACTACTTCTCATTTTTTGAGAATTATACGGTTACGGTATAACAGTATACATTTAAGTTCTGTGGATACAATTTACTTGAAGAGAAAGCAATAATGAAATTATAGTTATTGAACTACTGATTATTCGCTTACTGTCTTCATTATTATTCTGGGTCAGATTTTAAATCATGCATTTTCCGATTACGTTACATTATAAGTTCATTACGTGCAACAGCTGCATCCTAGTTGACGGTTATTCATAACTGCCACTTACAAATATCCATACTAGTTATTGGCACTATGTATAAATCGGAAACGTTAAGTGCAAATATTAAAAAGTAGTCAGGGAGAACTTGAAATCAATGGAAAACTCAGTTTTCAGCTCTCTTTTCTGATTTTCATGAGGTTAAAATCGATTTAACTGAAAGTTATTTGCCGGTGTGAATGGGGTTCAAGCAAAAGCAAAATCTTTCTAAAAAACTTTGCTGTTTTGAATCGAGAATTTTAACTTTTGGGCATTTCTCAATCAAACGATGCGACAACTCCGAGCTTATATTCTAAGAGAGTTGAGACTTGATAAATGTTAGGCTTGTTTTTCACAAATAAACGGAAGTCGCCTCCCGCAGCTTGTGTCGTCCCAGGTCCCGTTAGAAATTATCATCGCGACGCAGTCCTGGTAACCATAGCTGTTATCTGGTTGATTGACAGCCCAGTTGGTGTATGTTACGTGAATACCATTAGGCCAAAGGAAAGTCCCCTCTGTGGTGATGTCATTTCCGCCGATCCAAACACCATCAATTGCTTCAAACTTAGGGTCTGTTATGATAGATAACGATTTACATTATAATGAGAAGAAAAACCTCCGTGTGAACTGTCAGTTGCAATTGTACTTGTCTCTTCGCACGAGTTGTTCTAAGTTGTATTTTAAACATGTTCAATGTAACGGTCAAAAAGTGGTTTTTAAAGGTTTAAGTTGAGTCTTCATAACATCAAGCGGTTAGCCCTCAAAGCCCGCAAAGCTCTTCCAATTTCCCTAAAGTTTCATAAGTATCCATCTGTGCTCCCAGGTTGAAAGAGAGAGAGACTGTCAGAGTGAAGTATCTCGCTGGAGAACACAACACACTGACTCCGATCCGCAATGTCTCGAACTCAGATCCCTTGTTAATATCCAGGGCTCTACTAACCAGCCCACCTCCTCTAGCTCTTAAAGTGAGAGGCTGAAAATTTTTGACACAAGAGAAGGGTCCGTTTTTTTAATTTTTTTTTGCCTCGTAAACTCATGCTGAGTAGGTCGAAGAGGACAAAAAGTATGTCTTTCCATTTACCTGAAATATTGGCGATCTCTTCCGCATTAAGAGCTGTGCCAATAATCATCAGATTTTTTAAATATCCTCTGAGACAGCCCCCGTTGTCTCTCTTCAGTCCGATATCATATGTCGCATAGGAAGTTTCCGCAAGGAATGTGTCATTCGGTACCTGCTCAGTTCCGATCTTGCTACTGTTTAGAAATAAGTGAACCTCGCTTGTTTGTCGGTCCCAGACCGCTGCGGCATGAAACCATTGGTCAGTCGGTGGAGATCTACAGTATGATGCAATTCGTTTAGTAAGGGACCAGTTTCATAGCTTGGGAGGAGGGGGGGAGGTGTGGTTTAGAGGATTTGGTGGATCACGTGGTTTTCAGAGGGAACAGAGTGGGGATCAGTCGTTTCAAACAGAGTTTAAAAAAGAGACTTTAGGAAATTGACTGCCGATGAGAGGAGATCAGTGATACAACTAAAATCCTCTGACTCCTCTCCCCCCCTCCCCAGGTGATAAAAAAAGGTCGATCCATAACCTACATTGACTTAAGAGCTCAATTTATTGGTAAGTTTTATTTCATACTTGAATCATCGTGGTTCAGAATCAGACCAGCAAAACATGAAAACAAATAGAGAACTTCACTTTCAGTTCGACAATGTAACCTGGGATTCACCAGGTGCAGAAATGCGAGGGGCGCCTTAATCCAAACTGTTATTAGAGTGAATATTCGTATTTTGGATAAATTGGATTTAGACAGAACCAACTTTTGGAGCCTTTGCCATTTTTTAACTTTTAATCACCCCTTTCCCTTCCTCACCCCGCTGCAAGCCATGGTTTCCATCCGGTCCTTTGATTATAACCTCCAAAGCGTAGGTTTTGAGCGCTCCCGTCGGATGCGATGAAAAGGAAGTTAGTTTCATTTTTCCAGTCGGTGTAAATAGGTGACGGATCATTGACAGGCGTTTGAAGTTTCACCCAGCTGGCCATGGTAAAACTAGTCTTGTTAAAGTTAACCGCTGGGGTCGTAGCGTGGGCACCCGCTCCGTTCAAGTACAACGACTTTTCGCCGTTGTCCGACTTTTCATCGTCGTCGGACTTTTCATCATCGTCATCGTCGTCGGACTTTTCATCGTCGTCGTCATCGTCGTCGTCATCGTCGTCGGACTTTTCATCGTCGTCGTCATCGTCGTCGGACTTTTCATCGTCGTCGTCATCGTCGTCGGACTTTTCATCGTCGTCCGTTTTTGTATCGTTGTCCTTCTCGTACCTTGCTCCATTGAAGAGGCTTTGAAAACAAAAAAAATATTTACTGTGACAATTTCAACAACCTATTTGAATACTCTTTTATATTTAGAAACTAATAACCGAAGTCAAGTTGGCTAGTGGTGGATATTTATTGAGCTGCGAGGCGGGGAGATAAATACCCCCCGCCAGCCACTGACACTGAGGTAAATAGTTGTTTTATTAGATACTGAAACAGTGATATAATATAGCAGAGAGAATTGTTTTAAAAGAACTTTATAATTTCTGATACAAAATGATCGGTCATCAAAATCGGTTAGAAATTAGAGCAGTTAATTCCACTTAGTTATGTAATAGTGATGAAATGAAGAGACAGGGGAATGCTTTGCTTTTTTCACATCTCACCTGACGTCATTGTCAGTTCCATCCAAAAGCCAGCGTGCTATGATGTGATAAGGCTTTTCACCTTGAATTGCATGATACGATTTATGTGAACAATACTGAATTCAACAATATTTAACAAATTAACTCCCAGAAGTGATTAACATGCAATTTCTCCGGGTCATGTAAATACTAATACTTATCAGATAAAAGTTGTTATCTTGAGTTTACACTAAATTCTCTTAACTCATTTACAATGAATTGTGTACCAGCTAGAGGGGAGAAATAAATTCTGTGAGTTAAAGGGTCAAGATGATTATCATTGATTAGGAGAGGGAAGGTGGAACAAGAGTTTTTTTTTCCCAAAGGTGAAAACAAAATTAAAGAACTATAGGTGAAACTTAAAACATTTTACGTTTAGATTACGTTTACGATTAGAGTCATAACAAAACCCATTAGTTTTATTCTTTATACAGTTTCCTAATTGAAACTGAAATCAGTTTTCAGCAAGGTTTCTTTGACACGTTTGATCAACACACACAGCAATCGCTTAACTCTTAATGGAGAAATTTTCAATGGAATGCCGAGAGTAATTAGTGAACACTGGTTTTGGTTCAGGTCGTTTCACGTTTGGTCCAGAAATCTCGCACGATCCCTTAAACCAATCAGATTGAAATTTAATACCAATCGACCGATGGTCACTCGTATTTTCCCGCGCTTCAAGCGTTCTTGTCTTTACTTTGAGTACCCATCGACTCCCCGTGAAATTTTTCTTTCCTTGATTTGCTGTTGTTATTACCATGGTTTTCGTTTCACAACACTGACACAAAAAGGAAGCCAATTTCCCAAGAAATTGAATTTTTTACCTGCTGCACTCGTGTTGACTTGACCGATTAAATTGGCGACAATCTCATTTTCATACGCACGTATGATTGACACCAGCTCTCCACCAATTGAACTACAGAACTTTTTTGCCTGTCCCCAAGTTTTTCTTTCGTGAAACAACTTGATGCGTTTTGACCCAAACATAAGCCAACCATCCGGTAGGGCTAAGAGATATTTCAAGATATTTTAGTAAGTAAAAATGAGGACTTTCGATAATTCATATATGAGAAATTACCGTCTTTGTTGGTACATTCTTCCAAGGTGCAGCGTGAAGGTTCCTACAACAAATACAATAAAACTGATTCAATTTATTTTGAGTCATGGAACATTCAATCATTGGGTGAGAGATTAAAATGGTTCAAGGTATCAATGATAAAGGATGTGTGATAATGTGTCATTCTGAGTGGCTTGCGTTGCATTTTACCCTTTAACTCCTAAGATCTGATCGTTCATTCTCCCTTCTAGCTGCTACACATTTCCTTCTAAATTAGTTGGGAGAATTATGTGTTAGATAAGGGTAACAACTTCTACCTGGTATATTTGAGTATTCTCATTGCCTGTTAGCGGGATGGTGTTTGGATTTGTAGGGAAAAGTTACATGTGAATTACCTCTGAGAGTTAAAGGGTTTAATTAACTCGGAAAGACACTCCAATACGGCAAGGAATGGAAGCCTGGCATGTTTTAAAGGTAACGAAATATTTCTGAACACTTGTAATGAAAATATGCAACCTGTCTTACTAACTTCGTAGATAAAACCAGTCAATCTACGAGTGGATGTTCCATGGTTCTTTTTCCATAATGTATGTATTGCCAAACAAAAAGATTGTTGATATTGACATGACTGAAGAACTGGGTTTTCCCTGCTTACCTTCATTTGATGGTACTGGCTTCCGATGCTCGGAACCAAATCTTGTGGGTCAGCGGTTTTGCTGGAATTGTTCAGCTCACACGTGACCCACCCATTTAGTTGCTTTCTGATGTTCACAGAGAAACACAGAGGAGAGTCCACACATTGCCAGTGACAAGCTACCGGTTGAAATACCGTGACAGTTTCTATCACGTGATTCTTTAAAGCCATTCCATCTTCTTTGGTGAACTTTGTTCTTTTGCATCCAGCAACGAGAGGTAACCAAAATAAGCTGAGCCACTTCATTCTGAAATTTAAACCCGTATTTTGGATTACCTAGTAAGATTATCTTTGTTTATAAATTACAGTTCAGACAAAAGAATTCAAATTTGGAGAAGCGTTTAAAAAAACTTGTCTTTTCTCTGTATTTATTGGCGTACTGCAAATGATTTTGTTTTGGCTGGTAATATAGCACTGGATGATGGTCATGGAAGTTTTTAAAATCTAGAATAAATAACCTGCGTAAAATATTTGTTGTTTTGTTCAAGTTACGTGCCTGAGGAATTTCTCTCAAAGAGATAGAACCATGCATGTGCGAACATGCGACCAAGAAAACATCGTAGTTGCAGGAAAATAAAGATAACTTGCCATAATTTGTTCGGATTTTGTTTTTAATGGTTTTTTTTCTTTCTATACGGTAACAAAAAGTCTTGCGCATATAGCTAATTAAAGTGTTCTTGAAGAGATTACAGTTACGTGATATACCAGCGTCGGATGACATTCGTACTTTTCTTGTAAAGTAAATCCCAATCAAACACGGCATTGATCAAATTATTCATTGCTAGCTTGACAATGAATCAGAGTTTTTGTGCGCGAGGTATCAAATAGTTAACAGAAACTTCTAACGACATGAGCGCAAGGTTTGTGCAGTTGCATTAAATTTGGCCAGCACAGTTAAGGCCCATTTGGTAATACAAAAACAAATTAAGTCAAATTCAATACCCGACAAATTTCATGAAAATGAGGCGAAAAACAAGATCAGAATGTAAAAGCAGCTACTTACGACTTGAGTGAAATTTCAGAAATAACTGATGATGGCGAAGAGCCAAATTCTGAATGAGATATTTCGTTTGCTTTCACAATCGGGCTCAGTCTTGTATGATGGTTTCATTTCATGAGTTCGGCAGCGTTTTAAATTATTCGAATCCGCTCTCTTACCTTCACCACTTGTCCGAAGAACGAGAGACTTCTTTAACGAATTACAAATTTGGAAGTTTAACATAAACACTCTTCCACTAACCTTTCCTTTCTCGCCTAGAGTCTAATACATTTTATTTCTGAACTTATGTTTTTAAGCCAGTCCAGAGGTGTTTCATCTGGTAAATAGACAGCGACGTTAACAGATACCAGTGCGATGGGTGAATTCTTGTAACTTTAGTTAACTTAACAATGCGACTTTGTCGAGAGCGATATGGACTTCCGTCTTCCTCAAAACTTTATAGGCGGTCCAATTATTGTTGACCGTGAAGTGAAAATGGTTAGAATAGTTTGGTTTTTGAGCAGATAATACTATTTTTATTTTTCATTCTTAACAAAAGGCACCAATGATGGCACCACACCTCTCTGTTTACACCTTAATGTTGCTTCTTTCACCTGAAATCATCTGCTCGTCAATCAATGTGCCCTATGCATTATTTTGGGTCCGACACAATAGGATAGGCATAGCAATCTCTATAGGCATGCAGAAATAACGCTTAAGAATTTAACAAAGTAATAACTTGTGTGCCGTTTTGCGAAACACAAAAGGTAGACATACTGTGATGGCCGCGGGTAAAAATTTTTCTCATTAGTTATTCCTTTCGCAATTTGTAATTCAATTACACGATGTTATGGTCTAAACCATATTTCTTAAACAAAATTATACTTTTTGCCAACGTGAAAAGCGAGATCTCCTGCACCAGTGAACTCATAGTGTGGTTCTTTTTAAATTCATGTCAAGCATAATAATTTTCAAACGATTGTCTGATGTGATAGATTGCTGGTTAAATTCATCCTCTGGCCTGTCAAAATAAATATTTATGATGAGGACGCAACTGCAATCTTTTTGTGTCTAGGCTCTCTCATAAAACAGGTTAAATGTAAACAATTGGGTGAGATAATCCCTTCCAACTGAAAATATTTAATGCATTTCTAGCTCTGAAACTTAAAAATTTTTCTTGCAAAATATCACTCGAATCAGTCGCAAACTTAACAACATTACACGTATCCTAGATGGCACAAGATTCTGAACTAAACGTGAGATCATTCTAGTAAGAAATTGTTTCGTGTTACACCTGAAGAGGCGTTGTAATAAGTTACACATTGTTTTTGCCTTATCATATAAAAAATTCAACTTAACTTTCTAACCACAAGCCAAGCTTTATAAACGCGTTTTATGCGATAGAGATTGTTTAGCAGTTGTGCCATTTTTCGCTAATTTTCGAAGGAGGTTCAAGGTATGTTAAACTGAAAATTTTTTTCATCGATAGACGGCGAAGATCTTGTAATTCTCAGCTTACGCTTAGTTAATTTCTATGAAAGAGTCTAGCTCTTCTTTGTGGTTATTTCAATTATGTAAATAAGATTATTCCATATGTACAGAGTGCGAATTTTAAATTTTAAATCATGAATAACAAACCTTGGTGAACGACTGAGATTTACTGTCGACGATAGGATAATCATTAGCTGATACACTGAGTTGGGAAAAAATTCAAAATGTGAGTGAAAGCAGAGCGTAACCAAAGTTAATTAGTTAAACTCTAGGCAGCTATCGAGAAAGATAAAACCATGAGGCAAAGCTATATTTACAAAAACAAAACCTTAGGAACTCACGTTGGGGGGGGTCAAGTTCAAAGCTGAATATAAAAGAAAAAATTTGCAGTAAAACTGAATTAGCTGACAGTAAATTCAGGCAAAGGATATAAACTCATGCATCAGAGAACAATGTCGTGGACAAAATAATCCGCGCGTTATTCGGACTGCATTAAATTTACTTTGAAACTTTATGTGTTTTAAACATTCTTTAGTAAATAAATGTCTGACTCGAGGAAGTTGTTAGGCCTTCTTTTAGCCGGGATGCCCAGGAGCTTCTGTTTTAAATTGATGACGATTGCGAAGCCTTGAGAATGTAAATGATTTTCAATTATCATGCAAATAAAACTCAAAATTTGAAAGAGTAAAGTTTGAGAAATAGATAAAGCTGACTGCAACAGAAATTTATCATTCTAAACGGTCTAAGCGATTAGTAAGCACGCTTACTGCGCGCCCGTAATACGTGGGTATTATTTCATGCTGTTCCGACCTGAGGGGACTGACCAAACCTGCAGTGGTTTTACGAAACCAATAAAGCTATTCGCTTTTAATTAGATTGCCGAATTCGACTACAAATCATCCAACTACACCTGATAGTGAATTAAAAATCTCTAAAACGTGGATCAACGGGAGGAAAAAAACCAACGAAGAATTGCAAAAAAAGTGGGCCTTTGAGTGCTTGATTCGTATTATTTAAAGTATCCTTGGGAAAGCTGTTGTTATAAGTACAGTGGTTGTTCACGTTGCCTTAGGAACCAGCTCCTGTGAAACCACAGTCGATATTGTTGATGTTTCACAAGGTGATGCTAATCTGAATATGAATGTTTTTCTTTTCTTTTAGAGGGAATTGAAAGAAAAATTTTTTTCTAAAATGTGAAAATGCAAATAAGCGGTGGAGTGCTTTCTTTTCTTTTTTGGCAAATTTTTTAATGCCAGACTGAGGAAAATAGACACAAAATATCGAGGATTTTAATCGGGTTAGTTAGTCTGCGGTGATGAAATACAGGTTCAGTTACACCAATCTATATCACCACACTATTTGAGTTTTTTTCCTTAACTGCCCAAAAAGGAAGCTGAAATTCGATAATTTCTCATCAAATCGAAGGAATGAATAAAGATATGCATTAAAAGCTAATAAGGATATGCATAAAACTTTTACCCTTTCTAATTTTTCTCTAAATCCGAGAAAGATTTGTTATGATTTGAAGCATAAGTTTTGTTTTCAAAGCCTTGAAAACCATAAGAACGAAAATATCCATACCACTTTGTAATGCGCCTGAATGATTTATTAAACATTGTCTAGGGTTCTGAAAAGATTAAGACTCGTTGAGACCCAGCTCGCTTTCTGCTGTCAGTTACCAGTCAGAAGCGATTAAACCAAGCAAGGAAATCGACATAGAATTGAAGTCTTAGAAGCTCGGAAAACTACTTTATCATTCAAATGGTAAAATGAACGCGTTAGGAGTAGTATAATCCGTATAAACCACAGACAAGCATCAGTGTTCTGAGGAGATAAACTGCAAACTAAAGGTAATTCAATTACACGCAGAAAGATGATAGAGAGTTTTTTTATATCCGAGTTTATGGTTTGGTTAATTAAGTCAGTGATAGCTAATCAGCGATAATCTCCATTACAACACTGAATAGTATTATACATCGCATTGTCTTTCATCACATCTTTGAGTCCTTCGAATAAATGAATCTTACACTTTCTTTTAAATTTTTTCCTCTATGCCAAACGCCAATACATTCAATTAAGTGAGAAAGTTTTTCGTCGTTAAGCTGGAGTTAACTCTAAAGTGTCTTTAGTGACAGAACTCGCGAGCGGGTCAATCACTAGCGTTGTTGTGATAACGTGATTTCAACTGTGGTACCATTTGATAGGCTAATTCAAGAAACCATTGTTTTAAAATTGTGCGCAGATAGGAATTACTGGGTGACAGTATAGCACAGAGAAACATATATTGTATAAAACACACACCATCGTGTTAAGGTATGAGCTCTATTGAAAACCAAATCGTGAGGGATCTAGAGTGAAAAGTAATTGAAGCTTGTAAATACAAAGACCGATATTCAGTACTGTGTCGATTTCTTAAGCCGACTTTGAAGAGCACGATTCATTTGGTGTTTGCCTACGATTAGGTCTTCTCTGTTGGAGTTTCTTACTTACGAGCTCAAGGGAAGCTTATCCTGTTAAAAAGACATGACTGGTACTTCTCAAAGACACGAAAGGAAGCAAAACGCGGCAAGTACAAATCCACAAGAGATTAGTAATGGTACTGCAAAGGAAGACATCGTTTCTCCGGGAGTCATTGAGTTGGTACATCATAATAAACACCACCTTTTGTCCCATTCTGAACTACCAGATTGGCTTCGCGGAAATGAATTTTTATCCCATTTCCATAGACCCCCTATGCCATGTTTTAGATCTTGCTTTAAGAGTATCTTTAAACTTCACAGTGAGACGGGTAATATTTGGACTCATTTGATTGGTTTTATTGCGTTTGTATGCATCACATCGTACATGCTTGTGCGACCCGTCACTGAGGCTTATCCATTTCCTGGAGACTGGCGTGAGAAACTTGTCTTCAGCTGCTTCTTCGTGGGTGCAATCTTGTGTTTGGGAGTTTCGTGGATTTTTCATACTGTTTATTGCCATTCAAAGACCATCTCCAAGATATTTCGCAGGTAAGTTTGCCTGTATTTCTGTAACTTAACATGTTTTTTTTTCCACTGCTGAGCTAAGAATTGGTCCAATCGCTCGGAGGCCTGAATTGGGCTCATTAAGAAATCGTATCTTGATGAGATATTGATGACATCGTTTTTCTAAGAAAACGATCGTCAAAGGAAATGAGCGAAAAAGAAGCCAGGGCGAAAGAAAATTAGTCACATAGTTGTTAAAGTGTCACTCGGTCAGTCAGCCCATTAATCTCCGTCAGGCAGCAGTAAGTCAGTCAGTCAGTCAGTCAGTTAACAAGTCAGTCAATCAGCCTGTCAGTCAAACAAAAATCCCGTTTTCAGTCAATCAGTTAGTCAGTCAGTCAGTTCTTCAGTCCGTTCGTCCGTCAGTCCGTTAGTCAATCAGTTAGTCAGTATTTTTGGTCAGTCAGTCTTTAAGTCATGTAGCAGGCCAGTCAGCTATTTAGTCGGTCCACAAATCATTTTTTAGTCAGTTACCCACTTCAGTTAGTGTGCCACTAAATTCATTTGTTTCTACGAGTAAGTCTAGGATGATGTACTGAAAATAAATTCATTTGATCAAATACTGATGTACTTTGTTCCATTTGCTTCCCAAGGCTTGACTACGCAGGAATAGCAATATTCATTATGGGATCGTTCATTCCTCCGTTATATTACGGTTTTTACTGTTCGAGAGTTTTGAAGATTGTATACATGTCAATGATCTGTTCTCTTGGTGTCATCTGCATTATTGTTTCCTTGTGGGACAAATTCAGCGCGCCCCACTACCGACTATTGAGGGCAGGTAAATATGTCGTTCAAAGCTCAATTAATAGAGCAGTTTTCAATTGTATGTCCTTAAACCAAAATAATCACAGTGACCAATCAAAACAAAGGTTTACATCATCATTAGCCGATGAGAACTCAAAGTGAAAACAAGCGGGAAAACGCGATTGTTTCAGTTTTGCATCTGATTGGTTAAATGATGGCACTAGTTTTTTAGACCAATCACAGAGCAGAGTTGAGTAAAACCAATGCAATCCTAGATTACTTTCGACACTCCATTGAAAATCTATAAAACTCACGCTTCCTTGCTTTGCCATGATCTTTCTCTGAAATGAACCCTGCATTGAAAACTTTTAATATTCAATTTTTATGGAAACTTAAAAAAATAGTATCCTTTTTTCGTTTATATCATTATTTCATACGCATTCGCACTACAACTCCAAATAAAACCATTATTTTATATATCCAAGCGGTCACTTAATACCTGTTTTCGAAGATATTTCTCTTAGTCTTATTCTTTAACCATATCTATTTACAATAACGAACTCATCTCAAAAAAGGAAGTTCGCCATTTTGTTAATGCGTGTGCTATTCATGCACAGTTGGAAATGCACAGAGTAAACATAATTTCATTACGCATATTATTTTCTTTCCAGGTATAATGCTTTCATTTGGTTACTGTGGATTTATTCCTGTGATACATCTCATATGTTTATATGGAATAACTTTAGCATACCGGCAGGCAGCGGGCGGCTGGGTTGCTCTGATGTGTCTTCTCTACACAGCAAGTGCTGTTATGTACGCCACTCGAATTCCTGAAAGATTTTTTCCCGGCAAGTGTGACATCTGGGTAAGCAAGCTTTGCGGGTCTTATTAATGGTTTTATTAAATATTTGGTAGGCTTTTCATCTTGCGCAAAGTTTAATTTAAGCCACGATGGAACTTCGGTTGTCAAAGATCATCAGGAAATCAAACCTTCATTAGAATAATGTCTAATTCATTTTTATGGTAGAAATTTGAGATAATTCACCGAAATCCTGCCCTTATTTCTCTCTATTTTTTTTCTATTTCTTTACTCATTTTATTCGCTAGCGCTCGAAACGTAGGCTTTTAAAAACGGTGGACAATATACATTATCAACTTAGTTGATAAAATCAACTGAATTCACCTTTTAAAACCTCTACCGATGCAGCACCACAATTTCCCTAGAAACTTACCCCTGTTATTTTTTATTCAGTTTCAGAGCCACCAGATCTTCCATTTACTTGTCCTGGCTGCAGCATTTGTTCATTTGTACGGAATTTGTCAGATGGCACAATACAGATTTGAAAAGGGACCTTCGTGCGAAAGTTGAACTTTGCCAGGATCATTCTTTCCATCCAGGCACACTATGAGAGGAAGAAGAAACGGCGAGAACACGTACTTGTGATAGAATGCCTTGGTATTTTAAGAGGGGGTCTGGGTCATGGTCATAAAAGGTCGCGAGCTAGGTCTCTCCAAACCGTGTTCACGCTTAGTGAGCCCAAATATTTTTTTGCTCATTTAAAAGTGAATCAATCAGAAAGCGTTTGAGTAAAAGTTCCAGTAACTATCGACTTTAGGTAAGACTCCGCAGAACTCATGATTTGAAGTGATGCGTGTAAAGGAACTGGTTGGAAAGGAGAGTTAAATTTCTGAGTCCTACGATGGAACTGCTTCCTAATGTTAGTGTGAGGAGGACACAAAGGCGATTTTGGATAACGCCACAGTAAAGGCGTTAGCGTTGTGCATTTCGCTCGCGTAGGGTGCTGAAGACTGACCCTTGCATATATTTTCTCATCTTTCTCCGCAAAATGATTTTACAAATTTCTAACGTTACCTGGATTGAAGCATTGATGTTGCTCTGGCTATTTATAAAGTAGTATTAATTTCCTTCTTGAAGATTTGCCTTAATTTTACGTTGAATTCTTATTATGATGTAATCAAGCGATGCTTTATTTTAGATGATTCTTTGTGGATCCTTCAAAACGTTTTTAGATTTATACTGATTACTGTGCAAGTGAAATGCACACGAAGTATGTCTATTTGATGATTTTCTTGAATTCTAATTAAATTATAACTTTAGAACTATACTTTTGAGTGTGGAGAAGAATGTCTCTCTTCACATTTATTTACTTTTTATCCACCTATACGCAAAAACCGGAACAAGAGAATGAAAAGTTAGGTGTAACTCACAGTACATCAAGGACAGTGGAGCCAAGGGGCACTGCTCTCACTATAGCCACCTCAATTACGGCCCAATGTCATGCAAAAATATAGCAAATTTTCGGGGAAACCTGCCCCATACCCCCAGGCTGCGTCCAATTTTACACGTACAAGACCTTCTGCAGATAAGAAATCAAAATCTTTTGTCCTGCTGTCGCTGGATGTACAGCGTAGTTGCAGAAATGCAATATGTTAGCTGGATTACATTGGTTTCTACGCCTAAAATCTGTACTTTTTGATACATTTTCGTTCGCGACACAACAAAGTTTGGCCTTCTATGAGCTATTTAATTGCTTGTTTTCTTTTGATAAGTTACCGAATACTAAACGATGTGTACTCAAATGATAAAAAAAATTATTGTTTTCCTTGTCAGTTTGATCTGATTTTTTACAAAAAAAGATTCACTGTAAGATGTTTGCGAAGAGATGCAGGATGGAGGCAAGACCCAGAATGTTACGGGCGTGATAAGGTGCGATAGAATTGGAATGATTCTTTGATCTGCAAGTTATGAGTTAGTAACCTTCAATTCTTTACTGCTGTCCTCTGCATCAAAAGAAATGATTCAATAAAGGTTCTCCCATGGGCATGCAAAGGCCTCGCGCAAGGTTTCTCCTTTGGCAATATATTTATTTATTTAAGGATTTAAGCAAAGCTGTACCGGAGCAAAAACAATAGGACATAAGTCCCCTAAAATAATTTAATAATATAAATAGACTAAATAGGCTGCTTAACAATTGCACGCAACGAGGATATTTACCCGGCCACATTTAGGACAAATTATTTTAAAGGTACGCCATCATAAACGTTGAAAAGTCTCTTGAAATAAAACCACTTAAGTTTACGCTTAAAAGAGTCAATAGACTCAGCCTGTCTAACATCATTAGGTATATTGTTCCACAAATTTGCTATCCTATAGCTATTAAAATAGAAGTCCCGAAATGTTGATGTACGATTATTATTAATCTTTAAGTTCAGCCCTGAGCACGCTTGACGCGTCTGACTCGTAACATAAGAAAAATAGTAATTAAATGAACGAGTTAGATCAATATGACCATGAAGACATTTAAAAAAGAAAACTAAGTCGAGATATTCAAGCCAGTAATTAAGGGGCAATACCTTCAGTTTGATTAAGCGATCCTTACAAGATAAATCACTACTATTTCTTTTTAGTATAAAGCGTGTAGCTCTTCTTTGCATATTTTCAACGAAGAATAAATTGCTGATAACAGACTGAGGTGCCCACAACTGTGCCCATAATCATGCGGCTGTAAGGATTTTTGCTCCGCTCTCTCCAAGCATTCCTTTTCCAGGCATTTCTTTTTCAGCGGGCTAGCCTAGATTCTGATAGTTAGGCCAGTGGGCGTGCTTGTAGTTTGCCGTTAAAAGAGCGGATTTTTGGTAAAAAATGGAAATTTAAAAAGAAATCGGCTTAATGCAAGTAAGTAACCCATACCATGATTACTTGTCAATCTGCTAGTGCTTCTGGGATCGCCAGCTTAATTGCGCGTCAGTCAATATGGCGCCTGATTATGGCACGCATGCTGCGGTGGCTAGAAATTGGTCCTCTCCTTTAATTTATCTTCGAAACTTAATTCTTTTTAAGCTACTTTGTGTCAAAAGCAACGAGTGGGATAGTGTGTCTACGAAGTCTTACCAAAAGAGCGTGAAATGTACTCGAGGGGTTACTTTGCACTTTGCTCGCTTGCTAGGACAGATTCAGCTTGTTTTGATGCGGGCAAGACAGCTCATGATCACAGGTAAGACTATTAACATCTTGTATAGCTACGCTTTAAATAACATGCGCAGAAGTAGTAACCTGTTGATCAGTAGAGGTCTCTGCCTCTTAATATTATCAACATCATAACAAAAGGTGTAAATGATCCACGCGCTACTTATTTTGTGGATGCGCTCGAGTGCCTCAATTTGCATTTAAGGGAAATCCCCATGCGATTATAAAGTTCCCTTAGACGTTACTTTAGATGATTGATTTAATTTTAATCTCTAGGACTTCTTGAGTGCAGTTAACTTTATCTGGAGCAATATTAATCTAATCAATAAATTTAAGGTTCTGACATCTTTTACGGCAACCACCAATCAGTTAAGCTTATGGCATCGCTTAAAATAACTTTTACTTTTTCCATCTTATTGCTCGCGTTGGACTGAACTAATTTTAAAGTGAATGTTTTGAACCAGGGAATAGCTGTCAATGGCTTAGTGTAATTATCCAGTTGCCATGGCAGTAACTGGCATAATGGACAACCCTAGCTTATGAATTTGGAGTCAATTGGCTTTTCCTTCCACTCAAATTTACAAGGGGTTGGTTGCCATGGCCCTCAACAGTGTGTTCCAGAACTGCCCTTATTTTGATGATAACACTTTTAATAATGTACATGAAAAAATTATTTTTGTCTGATTGGCAAGTGCAAAACAAAACAAGTGCTTTCTCATGTAACACTAGTGCAAAGTTATAAAACTACAGGCTTGTGCAATTATGCTGTCTTAGAAAAATTTACTCATGCTTATTAACACCAAATTCCACTCAAAATCATGTCATTACCCATACATACATTTATGCAACTGTTCAGAATTGATATTTGAATTTTTTGTCTTCAATCCTCCCCAGCCCTTTCAGTACATTTGAGTCTCTCTAAAACGAGTGTGGTGATGTTTCTATGGATTAAAACATGAAGGGAAAGTTAAGGGTCATGAAAAAACCACAAAGACATAATTTGATTTAACTGTCATAATCTTACTTTATTAAATAACACGACAGTATGTAACTATCATTTTCCATCTCATGAATTAAAGGAAAAACATGCAACAACATTTTAATTTACCAAGACTGAAAGTTACTTGAAGAAAACTAAAAAAAATTGTACTTAACAAGGTGCCGATTTCCTTGAAAGAATTGGGAATGGTATGTTTTGAAAAAATTTGCCAGTAGCGACTAAAAAAATCGCAGATTGATGAAAATCACAGAAGTGAACTTGAGACAACTCAAACATTCAACCCTATTCCCAAATAGAACCTTTGCTCACTGCCCACCACAACTCCAGCCAAACACTTTACAGCCACCTCCCAACACCATAACAACCACCTTGTTCCCCTTAAACCAGGTTGGGACCCTCACCCTAGCCTGTACCCTTCCTGCCTTCATCCCAAACCCAAACCCTTTCAATCACTACCCACCTTAACACATTACCTCCCTCCTCCAGCTCCCCTGATCCCCTTCAGTCATAGTCCCATTGTGAAACCTCCACCCACAATGGTACCCTTCCCTTCCAATACCTTTCTCAGTCGTTAAACTACCACCCCTCCACTGCCCAATTACCCTCCACCCCAAACATTTTAGTTGTCTCAAATCCACTTCAGCATTGACATCAGTCTGTTTTAAAATTTTATGGGAACAACATTCCAAATTTTCTCTTAAATGTCTGACAACCTCTAAATTACATGCAATATCATGTTTTCAAAAGCACAGTTCTTTACTAACATGCTATTTCGGATAACTACATTACAGTGTTGCTACAGAAGTCATTTATTAAACCTTTTCAACAAATCTTAGAATTACAAAAAATTTTAAAAGATGTGGATTGAGAAATCTTAACATTAACTAAATACTTCAAAAAATTGCAATGAGCTGAGACTTGAATCATTTTCCCAAAAAAAAATTATAATTTGAAATTTGGCTTAAAATCAACCCTGGAACACTCAGATTTCTCCTTTAGTAATTATGCAATTAGTGATGTAAAGGTTAGCTGTTAAGTTGTCAGCTTTAGAGCATATTTTGGAGAGCTCAGAATGTTCCAAGTTCAAAATATACAAATTTTGAAATGTCATATTTTAATTTCTAGCAATTTAATTCAAGTCAAAGATCTTTTTTGGGGACAAAAAAGTTACTTCATATCAAATGTAAGTTTTTTAAGATTTGTTGTTTGTCTAGGTGAAATATGTATTACATTGAACAACATATTGAAGAAAGTTTTAAGGCTACTTTTTACAATGAGTGACTAGCATCTATAACTATTTCTTACAGTATTAATGTTGTATCAAACATTTAGCTCATTAAAATGAAATAAGTGATTTCCAACTACAGAAGCTCTTGATTGT